AGTTACAGTAGTAAGCCGCGTTTATTGTTCTTCGCTCATGCAAAAATCTACCAACAAAACTCTTCTCCAGTCCCAGAAAACGGTCGGTAAAACTTTGCCTGCAGACAGCGTTGCCAGCGCTATTACGTTCGTAACATATCTATTACTAAAGGCAATTATTTATTACGCTATTACGCCGCTCAGCAATCTATTACGTTTTTGCTATATGCCTCTAATTAAAAAAATCTCAAAAAATGGATTCAAATTAACCAAAGAAGCGAAAATTTGTACCCCTGTACGTGCTATACTGGTTTTGCAGCTTGCACCATAACTCTAATTACGCCGTCGTTTTTAAAAACTGGAGCCACTACCACACCATTGATCCTAACCTCACTTTTAAAAATTTGACGTTTTTGTTTTTGTTTATTTGATGTGTAATGTGTATTATGATTTGTGTTCTGCCGTTTATCTTCTATCTTCATTGATCTAAATTTCTTGTTTTATGGTGCATTTGTTTTTCAAGAATACAAAAATTATGTTGAGCAAGTAAGTAAACTTATCATATCTCAACATTACTTGAAGCTATTTATTATTTTTGTTCAAGTTTTTTCATGTGATGACTTTGTAGTTCCTATTTCTTTTAGTTACCTGTTACTTCTGGTTCTAGTTCTAGTTTCTAGTAATTCTAGTTAAGTATATGTTACACAAAATCTTTATTATATTTCGTAATGTTGTAATGAGGAAGTTTTTCTCTTTAAAATAATGTTTTTTTTTTTGTTGTTTTGTATTTGTTTTTTTTGTTTGTTTCTTTTGCAAGAATATTTGTTCTTATTTTTTTTTTTTTTGAAATAAAATGTAAGCAGGAGCAGATCTTCTGAGTTTTATTTCTTCTGCAAATTTATGTTTATTTGAAAAAACTTCGACTGTAAACTTGGCCAGTAACGACATCTATAACAATTTTACGTAACAACCATGATCGTAATCCTCTACGTTCCATTATTTTATGACAAGAGTGACAAGTAATAATAAATATAATTTATAATATTTATATAATTCCATTAGTTGTATTTATTAGACTAACCTCTACTAAAAAAAAGCAACAGCTGATGCACCTTGTTCATTTAAATAATAATTTCTCAGAAAACTCCACAAAAAATAGTCTATTACGAAAAATCCTAATCTGTTACGAAAATTCCACAGAATTTAGTACGAAAAATCAGACGCTGCTGGCAACGCTGCCTGCAGACAGACGACTTTTCGCCTTCACTGGATTTGGTTCGTCTTTGTGGCGCCGCTCCATGCTTACTTGTTTTACACTAAGATTTTGCACGTGCCCACGAAAGCGTTTCATTCCCGAATTGTGCTCGCAATCTGCGTAGAATTTCAGCAGGTTTTACGTTTTCGCCCTTAAGAAATTTAATAATTATTCTTTGCGCAACACTGCTGTGTACCTTCGTCTCGCTCATTGCGATTGCTACTGGTCAAATGAGAATCGCGCCACTACCAGCCGCTTACATGCTGCTGAACATTCCTACTGCAATATTATAACAGCCGCGTTTACCTTGAATGACTTTTCCCTTTATAATTTTAAAAGGCTGGTTTATATTTGATCTAACCACGTATAATAAAAATTATTTATAATAAACCGCTTACCTTTTCCTCTAATATTTTATATCAAGAAAGTGGTTTTCTTGACGTTAGGCAAATATATTTTTTATTTACAGCTATTTATCAAAATAAACATAAAGAAAATTTATTAAAGCCGTCTCATACTTATACAACTAGACAAAATCAATATTATATAGTTCCAAGAGCAAGAAAAAACACATTCCAACGAAGTATAACTGGTTAAATTCTACAATTTCACCAGTAAAAACATCAACAAATTAATATTTTACACCTACTAAATAAATAAACAATTCTCAAATAGTTCGACTGCTTTTTACCCTAATATAATGTGAAGTCATAAAACTATAAATAGCATTTTTCTCAGAATACCGAACGTCGAACACCTGTGTTTTTAAGTGCACAGCGGTGCATTGGAACAAAATGAGTGTCCGGCGCATAGTGAACGAAGCACAAATGACGTATTTCATTATGTCATGATGTTTTCATTGGTTGAAACCGAATAGGTGCGTGAACTATGCCCTGGACACTCAGTTCGTCCCAACAGTATATATTAAGGTGCGCTCGACGCGAGCAGTTCAGTTGTATGTTTGCCATCATTCAGTAGTTGTCTTATTGCCATCGAGTTCAGTTGTCTTTTTGCCATCATCGCTCACAGTTGTCTTTGCCAAGTGCTTCTGCCGACGGCACGTTACTTTCTACATTTTTACAAGCGTTTAATGCAGTTTATTTTCTGGTGCAAGTTATATCTTCTACAATTATTATGGCGTAAGAAATTCTACAAACAAATGTTTTCAAGTTGGTAACTAAAAAATCAACTGTATTAGTTAATCAAATTGTGATGAACTAAAATTGTAAATATTTAAAACTGTTTAGTGAAGATAAGTGAATCAACCACTATGTATCTACTTCAGTGAAAATAATAAATAAAGAACACTTCTTTTTCTACTACCTATGACTCGTTAGTTATTTCTACAAAAGAACCCAATTCTTCTAACACCAGCGTCATATGCTACAGAACATTTTTACCAAAGAAATATTCGGAAGTAACACCGGTATTTTTTCAATAACATTCCTCGGCCCCAAATTGTATAACCATATTCCTCCTGAAATTAAAAAAATTAATTCTGTTAAACTATTTAAACAAAAAGTAAAACTTACGCAACCTAGGCTTCTATTTCAACAGTATATCGATTAACAACACCTACTACTAGTAATGAATAAATTCATAAAAAAAATAACTTAAAAAAAAATACTTTTCATAATTAATTTATGTATACCATAGTTTCATATAGATCTACTCTCAAATTTTTTTTTTTGACTTTAGCGGTTCTATTACTGTGGATATACATGAAATACTTAATCCCTTTCAAGTCACCTATAAGGAGTTTTTAGGGATACTTTTTCACGTTTATTCATAAAGTGTAATTTATATCTATTTTAAATAGTATTTGTAAAATTGAATTGTTATTGTAATATTTCTTTGAATAAACGTTATTATTATTATTATTATCAAGGAAATCTTCTAATAAAGTTGTAGCAGATCCTACTTAAACTACTGGTTATTCTGCAGGATAAATTAACTTTTATTGAGATTAATCTCTCTCTAAAATCCAAAACCGACCTGATGTCCCCAAATTGATTTTCCAATGTATCCTGATTTAAAATTCTGCCCTTTTGTGATTCAATTTTTTTTTCTTTGCTTAAATGACTACAATCTTCTAATAGCCACTAGAGTGGCTATTAGAGGTATGCAAAAATAGCCAATCTCCAATCATTTCAAAAGTCCTTTGCCAATACTACATGTGCAAAGGTTTTTTACTCAACATACATTTTACTTTTCTAGTAGGTGAGAACTTTGTGCTGCCATTAAAGCTGTGCAGACATTCATCTACCTACTTAATGAACAAAAGTAGCTGTAACAATGGATCTCTATTCCAATTCACCTAAAATAATTATAGCCATTTTGTAATATATTATTAAATACACACATTTATACAGTAGTTTTCTTAATAAATTGGAAATTACTTACCTCCAGAAAGAAACGTGTACAAAAACGCGAGTTTGGTTCCAGAAATTGCTTCATGCAAAAAATAATTTGCGAAAATAAACATTCCCCCCAAAGAAAATTAATTAAATAACAAAATCAGACTCAAAGAAATAAAACGGGGCCCAAATTTAATTAATTTTAATAAAATGCACACGTTCATAAGAACATTCATATTGTCAGGTCTACTCTATACGTCGACGTCAAAAAACCAGCAACATCAGCGACCTCTAAGATTGGTGTTAGTTTTATTGGAGAGAGATAAATATATGTAAAGATCCATGTAAAAGAGAAAGAAAGTCATATATGTAATTTAAATGGACCACCGAACAAATTTTCCTATTAAGTTACACGTCTCTGTTGTCTCTGCTCATACAGAATATTAAGAATGGGACAGAGAACAACTGAAGATTCTGTGATTAAAAATAAGTAGTTACAAAACATTCTTAGATAAAATATTATTTGTTTCTGAAACACAGGGTGTTAAAGTTGAACATTTAAAAATGATTGGCCTATAATTTTTTTTATTTCTTAGCATAATTTTACTAAATTCGATAAATGTTTTTGGTGGCATAAGATACACCTAAAAACAACAAAAATCGGTTAAATAAACTTGGCATTTTTCCAAACACATGTAGGAAATGATTTTCCAAACTTGTAGTAATTTGACTAGGGTGTCATTGTTTTTGTGTGAGTTTGAAAAGTGGAATATTTTGAGAAAAATATATTAAACAAATTTGTTTCATTACATCTCAATTTTTTATGCAATCATGCAAACCAATGGATTTGATGGATATTTGTTACATTCTCACATAAAAATAACTTGATGTGAACACTGATGAATTATAAAGTATTTTTAACAAGATTCAGTTGTTGTTTTTTATTTAAAATAATGTTCCTTATAAGTTTTAACTATTCAAAACTATTACTTGCCACATTATAGTGTTCATACCAATTATTATGTTACAACTAAAAAAGAATAGTGATATATTTGGAGAACATCAATTTGCTTTAAACAGACACATAATATGGATTACAAAAAACTAAAAATATGAAGTCAAATTCACACAAACAAATTCTTTTTATACATTTATGAAGTATTTATTTATACAGGAAGGTTAACATATGTGTTAAATATACCTACATATATTATTTACAAATATTAAAACTTAAAAATTATAAAAATATTTTTTTTAAATACAAATATTCTTTACTTTAATCTTTAAGAGACATTAAAGGTGTCGAAAAAATGCAAAACAAATAAAGTATAACTTAAAAATACTATTATTGATGTTCTCCTTAAATTTACAAATTTTCTATTTGTCTAATTGAATAATTACCGTCATAGTTGACAAGTAATATGGTGAATACTCGTCGAAAGGAGTCAAATGGCTCGCTGGAAGGACCAGAGCTCCGTGGAAGGGTATGTTGTCCTTGTTAATTCACTTTTTTTTTATAAAGTATTTACTAATTAGTTAAAAAAATGCACTTTTTTTAAGACTACTAACAATAATATCACGATCTATTTTTCGATAAAAGTTTTATTTTGCAGAGTTTTATATTTTTTTAGGAGCATCTTGTATATTTAAACTTTTTTGGTTCTGTTTTAACAGCTTTCTCTAAATGACTTATACAGTATGGTTCAAATGAAAGGAATAAATTCATTATAATGGAAGTAGCTGGTTTGTCGAAAAAATGCTCGGACAGGTCAATTTTGTTTACTCAAAGCGCAATTTTTTAAATAGAATTCAATTTTCCCTCACTTCCCATTTTTGGGCAGTGACGTCATTGGCAATTTTTTTAAATGGTAACCTCAATTTTTTTTTCTTGATTTTGATAGATCTTGCAATCTCCTACTCGGAAACATAATATTTGAAATATCTTACATAACAATTTTTTTTGAATAGAAGACATTTAAAGATCAGACAAATAAATTTTATTTTATTTTGAGAACACAATAAATGAATAAAAGATAATTATTTGTAATTTAATGCTTAATCTAACAAAATAATAATAAAAATAATAATAAAAAGAATTTGTGAAATTGTCATTAAATTCTTTTTATTATTATTATTTTTTAGATTAAGCACTTAATTACAAATAATTATCTTTTATTAATTTATTGTGTTTCAAAATAACATAAAATTTTTGTATCTGATCTTTAAATGACTTTTTTTCAAAAAAAATTGTTTTGTCAGATATTTCAAATATTATGTTTCCGAGTAGGAAATTGCAAGATCTATAAAAATTAAGAAAAAAAAATTGAATTTTATTTAAAAAATTGCGCTTTAAGTAAACAAAATTGACCTGTCCGAGCATTTTTTCGAAAAACCAACTACTTCCATTATAATGAATTTATTCCTTTCATTTGAACCATACTGTATGATTAAATGATAAAGAGGCTTTACTAAATATTTGAAAGGTTACATTTCAAGTAGCGAGTCAAGTCTAGTGAAAGGCCTTTTTTCGGTAGGACGAAAATCTTACTTACGACCTCTTATCACTAGTTAATGCCTTTTTTTGTCGTAGTTTAACTGTTACAAAATTATTTGTTTAAATTCCAAAATTATTTTAATCCTGTCACATGGTAAACAATAGTACAATTCTGTCTCCGTCTTCTCTACTGTCAACATATATGACTTATAGTACTAATTCCCAGTGGTAGCATTTGATCCATTTCACTGCATCTGGGATTATTGACTCCCATTTCGCTTGCCTTGTACTTCTAATATTTTGGGAGTAAAGTCAATCCTCATGTTTCACAGCAAACCTCTTTATTTTTCTTCTTTAACAGTTGGCATCTTCAGGTCTATATGAAGATAATCATTTCAATAGAACCAAGGTGCATCAATGAAGCATCTTAACACTTAATTTGGGAAAACTTGTATCATGTTAATATTTCTCTTGCTGGCACACCCCCATAGTTGTTTGCCTTAAATCCAAACGTGTACGTCCAAAAAAGCTTGAATATTAGTTTGTTTTTGGAGGATACCGTTAGCAGTCCAAGTGGCTATTGTAATATCTCTTGTCCATTGGTGGTTTTGTTATATATTTGGGGTTTATTCATTTCGTCTAGCTTCTGGAGCCTGTCAAAGAGTGATTATATTCTGGCTATTAATAATTCATGAGTGGTACTTTCTGATAGGCTAGCTGACTGTACCATTTGTGGTGTGGGATTATTTGCTGGTTGTAAACTTTGAATTGGTTGCTCTTGTCAATTTGTTGCCTGAGAATATGTAATTTCGTTCCTGACAGGGTAAGCATTTATGGATCACCTCTACCTCGTCATTAGGTTTAGTGGTGTTATTCTTCTTTATCTGTAAGGTCTTACCTATCTAACATCCTCTATAGTTGGCAGGTATCACCTCTGTAGATCCAATAACGAAAAGAAATTCATTTCATATCTAGAAATGTACAAGTTCTATCAAAATACGTCTCGAAATAATGCCCAAAGGATCACTAGAAATTAGAACAGTTTACAGTGACAACTTCAGCATGAAATTGTAATTTTTCTAAATGAATCCTACTGAAAATAGGTCATGAATACATTTTAATTGTCATTTAAAGTTTATTTCAGGACAAAAAAAGATAGTTTTTTATATTTTTGTGAAAATTTTTTTTAATGTATTCAAAATAGATCACTTAACTCATCAATTTAAAAATTTGCTTGATTTGCATGTAAAATGAAACAGTTTATTATTTGTTGTTCCTTAAATTATCCCAATTTTGATTGTTGATTTTATTTTCGAAAAATTGAGTAGAATTTTTTATTATGGCTTTATTAATTTTAATTTTCTATAAATATTCAGGTTTAGACTTTTTTTTCTCTTATAAATTTAGACGCGCCCGAAGCAGATCAAACCAGAACCAGCAGAAGAAGACAGTGACTCTTCGAGCGTCAATGAAAGTGACAGTGAATCTTCAGATGATAAACCATCTATAAAACCATCAACATCCCTACCTCCTAGACAGTTGAGAAGTAAATTTAGCTATGAAAATAGGAAATATAGTCGTAAGTTGTGCTTAAAAAATGAGTATTTATAATTTTTTTCTTAATATAATAGAATATGGAGGTAGTAAAAATGATATTGTCTTTGTTGCACTAGTAAGAACATTGTCTATAATCAGATTTTTAAATAATCTTTCAGCCCGTCCATTAAGAGCTACTCACAAGGAAATTTCGGAGCAAAGGAGAGCTTTATCTCTGTATTCCCGCAAAATGGACAATTCATATGGGTATGGACAGGGTAATGAATCGGAGGAGGAAATCTTCAGAGTTCGGTAAAGCTTTGAATATTCTTCAAAAACCTTTTCTGATTTTTTTTTTATTCTAGGGGAGAAAGAGCCCGGCACCTGATACGAATGAGTAGAATACGAAGACGTGAAGCTCTATCTCTTAGACCTGTCAGTCAAAGTTATGCAGATCCTCATTCACCACTTCCATTTAATTCGGATAGTGAAGGTAAGTTCAAACAATTTGTTTAATTGGGAAAATATAAGTGGTATACTACATAAATGTAAAAATTAATTGACAGGAGATATAGGAATTGTATGTCATATAAATATATTGAAATTTTACAAGTACAATATATAATAATAATAATAATAATATTTATTCGGTTTTGAGACATACATACGATTTTTAATAATTTTTCAATCATCGGAAGTATATTTATAGGTGGCAAGTTGGATGCATTTGTATCGTTTGCAATTTTTTGGACTGGAACTATCTTGCTTGCTTTTAGTATATCAGGAAATGTTCTTGTTTCTAGTGATGTGTTTATTAAATTTAATACTGCAAAGCCAGTTGTATAAAAGGTTTCCTTTAAAAATTTAGCACTCAATATCTCATCATAGCTTCCCTTATTTTTTAACGAAAAAAACAGCTTTTTTTTTTAGTTGATCTAATGTAAATTTAAAATCAGTTAATGTTGATTGAATATCATTTAAAAAATTTGGTGACCAATCATCAGTTGAAAGTTTTGAATTTGTTGTTTCACATATACTATTTACAAAAAAAATTATTTAATTTGTTGGGTGCTTCTTCTTTCGTTTTAGCGAAAGATACAGATCCATCAACAGAAAACCCAACAGAGTCAAATTTAATTTCCATATTTTTACTTTTAATTTTTTTAGTGATTTCCACATTTTCTTAGAATAATTTTTATGTTCATCTAATTTATGTTCATAAAACTCTTTATTCTTGCACTTCAATGAATTAACAACTATATTTCTTTTATTTTTGTATTCATTCCACAATACATTTTTATCTGGACCTAAGGCTCTTTGGAACTTTTTGTACACTTTATCCCTCTCTCTAGCTTGTACTTTTACCTCCTTACCATACCATGGAACATGATTTTTCTTTATCTGTATCTCTGTAATAGGTGCAACACTGTTTAAAACTCTATTACAATTACTTTCCAGTTGACTAAAAATTTCATTTACATTATTTGAGTCAAATAACCAGTCACATGATATTAATTCTAAATTTATCTCATATTTATATACATTTAATTTTCTAGAAAAAAAATTTAATTCATTCACATAATCCACATTTTTCTCAAAATTAATACTTATAATCGAATGATCTGTTATTTTAGGAAAATGATGAACACTTCAGAAATATTTTGATTTGATAAAACATAATCAATTAATGTCGAACTGTCCATACTTATTCTGGTATAATCATTTACATGTTGTTCAATGCCAAAAGACTGAATTAAACTTTTTATCTTTTTGCTATAAAAACTATCTACAAAATAATCAATATTAACATCACCCACAATTAAAGCTTTAATGTTTCCCGATAAGAAATCTTCGCACCATTCTTCAGTTTTATCTATAAAGACCGCATCACTGGAACTGGGCGAATGGTAAAAACCGCCAATCAACCATTTAGTTTTATTAAAATTAATGTTAACAATTTTACACCAATAATTTGGCACAAGAATATCTTCCTTTTTTACACTAAAAGTAATGTTCCACAGATAAATAAGTACTTCTCCCGTATGTCGATTTGAAGAATTACATCTTACACATACATATCCATCTACTGCAATTTCAACATCTTGGATATCATCTGTATATCTTGCTTCACTTAATATAACTATAGATGGTTGATAGCAAAAATTCGTATAAAATTTGTAATCAGACTTATTGGTCTGTAATTTGACACATCTTTTTTGGATCCGTTTTTGAGTTGAGTTTTGATTTTAGGTAGAGTTAAAAGAAACAAACGAAAGCGAGCCGTCAACATGTCCTGGTTAGATGACAGTCAAATGCACAAAGTTGGTTATCCGAATCTGCACACTGGTTATTCCGAAGAAGACAGCAGAGATGCGGCGGACGCTCATAATGAGATAGAGATAACTCGTCGTGTTACTAGGCGCAATAATTTAAGACTGAGACACGCCGTTGAAACCCCGAAATACCTTTACGATTACGGCGTGAAATCAGAGCCTAGACGTTTGAGAAGAAAAAGTAACAAAGAAGTTGAATTGAACCAAGAGTAAGATTTTTATTATTTTAGCTGTCTGCATGGAGAATTAACTAACTGACAACTTTGTTCATTACACAAATTACTTCATTACATAAGTTGTTTCCTGTAGTTCAATGAATTGAGCTGCTAGATTAAAATTACTTGTAGACGACACGATGGATGGTCCAAATATCACCGCGGTTAATTTGCATGGTTTGTTGTAGGATTTGATGGGTGGCATATCAGCAGTAATTTAATTTCTGTTAATATGACATTCTGATAAGAGAGTGAATTATAGGGAGAGTATTATATGTAAATTCATCTATGTGTAAGAAAAAACAGTAGTAATGATGAAATTTTTTTACATTATATTGACTACATATTAACTCCTGCATTTCATGATAATATTAACTTACATCTATGTTTTCAACTGAGCATATATTGGTACCCCTCCATATTCAACCTTAGATCTACAAAAAACTTACTATATTTATGGTAGGGAGCAGGTTTCACTTACACATATAATATGATAAAAATGTTTCTGTAAAAAAAAAAATACTTAAAATATCAGCTTTGTTTGCAAATGACTGACTGTTTATATCAAAAATTGAAATATATTCACTAATGTTACTTTTTGAATTTGTGGTTCCATTTGATAAAAAACCTTTTTAAAACTTTTGCCTTGATTTTGTTGTTGTGGGATGCATAGTCTGTGCATTTGACGATGGTCTGTTTGTGTTTCCACTCCTGTGTGTTGGGTTGGGTTCCTGCTGACTATCTAAAATATGTTTTCCCAAATTAAATTTTTTTTTTTTTAATTCATAAATGAAGGGTACAGGGGAAAAAAGATGAATGTCACAAAAATGAGTTTCTGAGAAAGTAGGATTTTAAAATTTGAAGACTTCTACAATACTTGTCTGAAAATATATTTGGCTCAAATATTTTTTTCTCAATACCTTGTAGTATAGAATACTTTATTACCAATTATTGAGTGCCCAGGTTTATTTTTGTAGCCGAATAAAAAATATTTGGAGTTATACGACAAAGGTTCGAAGTGGGGAAATGGAGTAATTTATCATAAACTATGTGCTAGTAGTTGCATTATTTATTGAAACGAAAGAGCATACAACTTTAATTTTGGTTATATAAAAATAGTACCAACGAAAATGGTAAACAAATTTTCATACAAAAAATATACAAGGCGTTTTAGATGTAGTACAAAAAAATCAACAAAAGATTAGTAAAAATTTAGGGCAAGCTCTTAATAAACAAACAATCTAAATAAGTACCTTTTTATTTAAACTAAGTCACATGATGGTAAATTTCGGTAGTAAAAAAAAACATACAGTGAACGTCAAAAAGTTAACTTGTAAATTATAACCTTTAACATAAATTAAGCGTCTTTATCTTCGGTAGTGTGGTTATAAGGTAAGTTTTCAAAGTAATTACATGCATTGGGCTCACAAAATCTTTTAAGTTCTTGTAGGTCTTGAAACTTTTTCAAAGATATAGGGAGTTTCTCGTTGTATTTTAAAGAAGGTACTTCAAATTTTCCAGGAGGTAACAAATCAATATGTTTTGACTTTATTCTAGGCGGTATCACTAGAGAAGTCGTGCAAGCTCCGTTATATGATTCACGATATTCTATCATTCTCGGCATACCAGTATGTACTGTAAGTTCTTTGATTGGTCTGCTTTTTATAGAAGTAATTTGCAAAGTGATTCGTCCATGAACAAAAAATATTTTGATCTTCACAGTCAATTACACAAAAAGGACCAGGTTTACTTCTAGCACTCAGAATTTGCTCATTCCATCCACCCGGAAGTTCTACTGCTGCCTTTTGGTTTATTAGACCCATGTTGCGGTCGCATTCTAGATAGCTGTGTCCCCGAACTGGAAACGTCATCTTGATTTTCCTTAAGCGTTTTGTCTTATGGACAACGAAATAAGGTATAATTCTTATTTTGGCCGCTACACGAATCGCAGAAATTTTTTTACTCTTGGACACGCTCATCCAAGAAATTGAAAATAAAATGAAATAGCATGGATGCTACTTCATCTGAGCCCTTCTTGCCAGCAGTTTCCGTGTAAGTATAAAAATATGAAGCAGAGTTAGAGAGCACATGGATATTAAAGGAATAAAAAAAAAGTTGGCGTTTATATTATACATCATTAGTGCTAATATTGGGCACTGGCAAACTCCATTGCTATTGTCTCTTTTTCTGTACTTTTTTGAGAATTTAAACGGACTGCGCTCTTCTTTTTTGTAAAACGATTCAGCTTTTAAAAGATGCAGTTTATGTTGTTTCCAAACGAAATAAAAGCGCTTTTTGTGAAGGATCGTTTTCGATGCTCATTTTCTTGGCCTTGTGCTCATCACAGGGACTGCAGGTATCCGTTCGTGAATAGCCAAAACTTGTGTTGAATTTAGTTACAAATATAGTTCTGTAAGTTGTATAGGAAACCTTTTTCTCAGGATTTTGTTGCAAAAACATGTTGAACATCTTTTTCACGTTGAGATCTTCCTGTAAATATACAAGTTGGGAGTCATGAAGACTGTAATGTGATTTTCGGCCTTTAAACGAAGCAATATAGTCAAAAACAGCAGTGAATATTTCATCTGGGAGACGATTTTTTCGATTGGAATGTTGACCTTGCCCATCGTGTTTAACATGTCCAAAAGTGGTTAACTGCTGCTGGATATTCTGAAGCCGTTTCGTAGATATTCCATGCATAGAAAGCTTTATAACATTATGGCATTTCTATAGCTGTATTATCTTGTTGAACACGAATTTTGTATGTGTACGAATATGAGTGATATTCAACATCTTCATCATTATTCTTTCTATTTCGGTTTCGTTTAATGGGAGCATGTGAAATTAAGCCACCCGGATACAAATTTTGTTCATCATGATTTTTAAGTTCATTAAACTTAAGCTCTGGGTCTAAATATACCAAATTGTATTCTTTTTATTAATAAACTTGATGGAACCTTAATTATTTGCAACCTCTCTCCTTTGGTGACATTTCCAAAACACTTAAATCTAGTACAATTTCAACTTGGGCCTGTTTCATGGCTTCGTAGTTTTTAATAACTTAGCAACGTTCTTCATACGTCCATGAGATTTCTGTTTCTTAGACCTTAGAGGAAAAACTGCACAATCAACTTCAATGTCTTTGTCACTCATTGCGAAATATTTCGATTGCACGTGGCATGAGAAAAAAAAACAGCATACAGCAGGGTGGTCGATAGCGCGTAATAAAATGGGAAAAAGCATGGAGAAAAAAACAAAACAATGCGCGATTGCCATATTTATGGACATTCATCTTTTTTCCCATGTGCGGTAAAATTTAGATTCGCTGTGGCTTGTTACTCTCGTCTATTTTGATTGGTTTCAATATTTTATCGGATTCTTACAGCATTTTAGCATAATATTCCCGCAATTAACTTAAAATTGGAATTTTTGGATATTCATCTTTTTTTCCCCTGTACCCTTCAAATGTGTTGTTTATAATGTAGCTCAACACCAATCATGAAGAACTGATTATTTAGTCTATTGATTTTTACATGAACATCCTCAGATCCTATGTTACTTTTTATGTATTTTTCAATATTTTCGGTTGTAATTGCATCAGGTATTTTTGTTTATGTTCTTCTTCTCTTAACAATCTCAAAATATTCCTCCTTCTCATCCTTATTTTCATTTCTATGTTTATTATTTTGTCAAGAGCATGTTTTGTTTGGACTTCTTATATTTCTGCTCCTTTTTACCATTAAAATTTGGACCACCATGTATATTGGAATTTCCTACGATTCTTGAAAGCGAGTTTTTATTATCTTTATAGGTAAATCCGCTTTTTGTTGTCCTTTCCTATTTGTAGTTTTTTGTTTAGAAACACTCATTTTTGTACAAAATTCTTCGACCTTGTTATCTCGGTTTTTGCTTGATGTTTTGGATGTTTTTGTGTAATTACTAGTTCGTTTTTCTTCTAATAGTTGTTTATTTACTTTGAGTAATTTTACATTATTTTCTAATAATTTATATTTAGATTCTGCTTCTGACAAATTTTTTTCAGCATATATTCCATCAATATTCTTTTCAAATCGTAGTTTAGTGTTTGTGATTCTGAATTATTACCTGATATGTCATCTTCCTCGTCCTGTGCTTTCTCCAGTTGTTGATTTTCACAGCAGATATTTCTCTCTGCACAATTTTTATGATACACAGCATCACAAATTACACATTTTGTAATAGTTTTCAGTTTTTTTTTTATTCATAGAGACATTTTCGTATTTCTAAAATTTTTGGGATCTCAATCGATTTTTCTCATTTTATTAATAAATAGTTAAAAAAATGGACTCAAAACTAAAGAGATGTCCAAACTTTTGATTTCCTTGGGTCACATTTGAAGAAAAAAGGACTTGGAATTTTGTTAAAGTTACTCTAGAGGTAGATGTACATATTTTTCTCATTACCTAAAACTAAATGTTTAAACATAACATATAATTTGTTACAAAATTGTCATTTGGTAAGAACAAAATTTATTTTTGAACTACCTTTTAATTCAATTATTATTCTTTCAGTATGGTAGTCACTAGAACAACTAATGACAAAGAAAATAAAAAAGAAGAAACTGATAAATTCCACGGTAGGCTTAGAAGATCTAAAAATATGAATTGCGTTGAAGAAACGGAAAGAGACGAAGAAAAGCAATCAGATGGAACAGACGAAAATAAAAATGATGAAGATGAAAAGCCCAAAGTTAATGGCAAAATTGGTAAGTATTATTAATTGAGATTTCTTTATGGATTTGCTGAACTAGTTGTAGTTCATATTCTAGCTTTATTTAGCGATAACAATGGGAATTAGTTGATGCAGATTTAAAATTGTAAATTTTTAGTTGGGGGAGGAGTTCCAATGTCTAGACATTTTTGGTATGAAAAAACGGCCATATCAGTCAGTTCTAATTGTTTCAAATTCCTAATACTTAAAATAAAATGCTTTAAAAATTTGAAACCCACAAAAATATATACAAAATTTGTGTCAAACTACATTAATATATAGATATTTGATTTATAAAATCGAAAATTTTATTCAGATTGAAAATTACCACATTTATAAGTTTACTAAATTCTGGGATGGTCCAAATTCATTTTATTTTTCTTATTTAGGGATTCATTCAGAGGAACGCTATAAATATGTATCGTTCTTTAAGTATGTTATCTAAAAATTATGAATTAATGTCTTATCACGCTGTTATAATATTTTAACACCTTTTTCTACTGTTTTTTGGATGCAAAGATTTTAATAAGTTTTACAAAGAAATATTTTTTTAGAAGAAAACAAAAAACAAGATGATAATAAAAAAGAAGAATCGTCGGAAAGCGAGGACGAAGCGGAACAAAGAGAGCTTCCAGTTACAAGACTTCGTACCACTAGAAATAGCCGTGGTGGTATTAATAATAATATGTTGCTCAATTCGGATTATGCCACAGCGTCAGTTCATCCAGTAAAAGGCCAAAAAGTTATAAGAAGAATTGGTAAGTATAATCACCAATTATCATCGAATCTATTGCGTTCTCTTCTGTCTTGACGTCTATAATGACCCTTCCAATCCTATATTTTCAGGAAAATGTATGATTTGGAGTGACTTGATTGATTTCTATTTCGATTGTAAAACATAAAATTACTGATGGATTTTATACTGAAATCTATATTTTAATTTTAACGACTAATAAATCAATGAGAAGTTAATTTTTTACAAAATTTGTGTTTCAAATCAGGTGATTAAGCTTAATTACTTAGTAACAGTTTAAATGCCTAACAAACCAGGTGGGAAACCTTTATGACAATTGAAATAGCTTATTTTAATCAAGATTTTTTATATATAATTATAAATAATAATGTATACAATAATATTATGGATATTTGTATAAAAAAGAATTAGCCAATCAACGTTGATTTATTTGCTTAGTGTGGCAATATAAAACTCTAAGGATACTGACAAATTGCAGTTTCAAATGATACCAAAAAAATATATAGGTCCATTTCCTTTTTTTTATCATCATTATCCTATGCTTAATTATTAAACAACCTCAAATACAAACACATAAAAAATATCTAAAAAGTATCCTTTCAATACCAATAGAGGTGTTGGTTTTTTCCTACTACCAATAATACATCCTGAGAAAATTTTATTAAATACAGTAGGTATTCGTTGTCAAAACATTAAAAAAAAAACCTTAAATTTTTGATCCTTTATATTTTCAAATTATCTTTGTCCAAGTTCTCTAATTTTTTTTTAATTAATTTGATCAAACATTAATTAGATTCCAAGGAATAGTGAACTGATAGCATAATTTCTTTTGTACAGTTTTCAAGTTGCCTTTTTCCATAAAATGATTTAACAATGTGCACCAAATTAGTGTTCAAATGAATAAACAAGCTTTTACATTTTTTTTTTTTTTTTCATTTCATTGATAGACCCTGTATTATCAGCAACATAGACATATGGATTACATTTGGCTAGATTGATATCTACGAGTATAAAGTTATTACTCCTCTCTCCGTTTGATATTTGTCAAATAATTTTAGTAATGTCAAAGATAATAAATATATATTTTTTGTGTGTCATCGGCTTCAACTGCTAAGGTTATTTCGCCTCGTGTTCTGTGTAGGCTTTGTTACTGTTTCCCAGCGCCACTTCAGGAGCAGCACTGTTAATTAAAACCCAACAGTGAATGGTCGAGTGGAATCAACAGTTATTGGGAAAATCTTATTTGTAATAAGTAATTTATTTTGTACTGAAAATTAAAAATGTCAGTTGTTTTGTTTTTCTATTCATACACTTTTAAAAAGTATCGTTTATTTTTTGTATTTTATAAAAACCAACTATTTCGAATATCATGATTATACAGTGTTTTCTTTTCTTTTTGTTATTGTTTGTTTATGGTTAATAATGTATACGAAATATTCTTTATTTATTGTTTCCATGCATACAATAAAGACTGAATACATTTTCTTTTTAGATACTAGTTCTGAATCTGAAGAAGAAGAAGAAAGGAGAAAATATTCTTTAAGAGATAGAAGAGCAAAACCAGCTCCTAAAACAAGTAAATGCTTATTTTTATCCTTTTAAAAACCATCGACTATATTTAGACTATAGAACAAATATTATACAAGACTTGTTACAATTTAATACTTCAGATTTATTGGACAGAATTGAAGCATTAAAATTTGGCGCAAATGAGATTTTTTGGGTACACGATTAGGTTATATTAAATTACTAGCAGATCGTGTACATTTTTTTACATAATTCGTTGAATTATTTGATGGGTAACGTATTAGAAGTAATTTAATTTATTTTAGTTAGTTATTGACGATTATGGGTAAGGTTTTACCAGTTTTCCTCACCTGTTTATCACAGAAATTAATAATAGCTGTCCCACCCTTATGACATTGTATAAATTAAGTAAAGGGCAGGGATGTGATTAAAGTTTGCGCCGACGAGAGTCAATCTGACTTCAAATTTAAAAGTTGGGATGTCGAAAGCAATGTGCCGCGATAGCTCAACTGTTAAGAGCATGGATGGCTACTGTCCAAAGATTCCAAGTTCAATTCTTAGTTGATGCACTTATTTTTTCTTACTTTACTTTTTCCATTTTTGTTTGTTTTTCATTTTGGGAATAAAGGGGTGTATTTTTCTTAATTTCGTAGGGGAATTGAATATTAATCATTATGTTCAAAATTAAATCTTTCTTTTGAGATTTTATTACCTGTTAGGTCACCTTAATCAAAAAAAAAACTAGTGTATTGGGTTGTGTGATGATCTTGTCTGAGAGCAGTGGCGGCTCGTGGCTAAAAAATTGGGGGTTCGCAATGATGGAATATTGGTCTCAGTACAGATTAAGGTAAAAAACTTTCAGTGTTTTGGAAAGGTATTTAACCAAAAAATTTCTATATCCAAATAGTCATCATTGTATGCCATGTAATATTTCTAAACGTCTAATTGGGAAAGAATCAGTTTTACAAAATATATTGAGAGTAATGTGGATATATAAACTAGTCACAACGAAATATATAGGTATCACTTATTTAAATTGTTATAACTCCAAAAAGAGAGGAGATACTTACCTTAACTTTTGTGTTCTTATAGTTTAGGTATGTGTCTTTAAGAGTGTGCAAGTTTTAATTTTTAAACATTTTCGTACATTTAATAAAGTTAAAAATAAAGCAAATTGATAACAACACTTGTTTATTAATATCAAAAAATTTCAACATAAACAAAAACTAATAATGTGTATGCCCTCCTCTGGCTCTTAAAACTTCAGCAGAACGTCTAGGCATAGGTTCTATTAGTTGATGAATCGTTCCTTGGGGAATATTGTTCCATTCCTCCTCCTCCTCCTCCTCTTCTTCCCATGATGCTCCAAAGATGTTCAATGGGGTTTAAGTCAGGGCTGTTGGCTGGCTACTCCATTACAGTAAGATTTTCCTCTTCAATAAAGTTTTGAACAATTCTTGCAGTGTGGGGCCTTGCATTATCTTGTTGTAAAACAAAGTTAGGGTCTTCTAGATGAGCCAGTGGAACGACAATAGGTGCTAATATCTAATCGATATAACGCCTAGCTGTTAGAGTGCCATTTTCAAAAACATGTAAGCGTGTACGCCCGTTAAATTGAATACCTCCCCAAACCATTACAGAACCTCCGTCAAAAGCTCTTACTTTGCTTACATTGCAATCCAAAAATCATTCTCCACGGCGTTTATAGACTCTCACACGTCCATCGTTGGAGTAAAGGCAAAAACTTGATTCATCCGTGAAAAGAACATGGCTTCATTGATGAATATCCCAATTTACATGTTCTGCTGCAAAGTTTCTTCTTGCTCTACGATGAGCTGGTGTTAAATGAGGAACAATAGCTTGACTTCTTGAGTGTAGTTGGGCTTCATGGAGTCTGTTACGTGTAGTCTGTAGAGATATGCGTCTACCAGTGGCCCGAAAATGTAAATTTCTTATCTGTTTAGCTGTTCTTGTCCTATTTTGTAGGGATAATCGTACAATTTGGCGGTCCTGTCGGGGCGTAGTTATTCTTTCTCGTGATGTATATGGTCTTCTACGGATAATACCTATGTCTTGAAATCTATTCCACATTCGGTGAATCGTTGGTTGACTTGTTTGAAGCAAGCGGGCTACGTATCTCTGCGAACGTCCTTCTTGTAATAGTTGCTACTTCAATTTCACTTAGATGCCTTCTTTGTACAATAGATCTTCCAAGAACATCGTTATTCATATTTTCAAGTCAATTGTTAATGTTACAAACAATTTAATTGGTGTACAAAGTAAAACTGATACTTTTAATTTTTTGCGTATATATTTTTTTTCTCACCTCATAAAAAAGTTTTGTTTTTTATATTGAAAATATGCATTTGTATAAATTTTAATGGAAAATACATTTAAAAAGATTTAGATAATTAATTCACTAGTTTAGAAGATTAACAGATTAACACTAATCATTTATTTGTCTTTGATTATTTACAGTGCAGTAACTTCTATAATCAATAATTTTTTAAGTCAAACTCAAAATGAAATGTTTATATATGTTTTATTTGAATAAATATGTAGATTAATTTTTGAAATTCATGAGTAGAACGTGAAATTGGTTTTATATTGCAGTGCAACAATCGGTTTTAAAAACAAGAGAGCTGAGAACAAGAGAACTGAGAACAAGATTTAACAGGAGGCGAGTTTCTTCTAGCTCTAGCGATTCTTCTTCATCAGATGTCCGTCGAGGGTTTGTATTTATAAATTTCACCATTTGAATCTTGTATAACACATGAAAAAAATAGTTACTAGTATTTTTAATCAATTATACATAAATTTAAATTATCTAACGTAATATTTTTACATAGCAAACAACCGAAAAGTCCTCATCACTCCAAAAATGAAAGGATGAGAACCGGCGCCGGTGGAAGTACAAATATAATTCCGATAAAACCGGAAACATTAGATAATCGCATTCGTTTCAACACCATCGGTGGATTAGATAGTCACATACAGTGCTTAAAAGAAATGATATTGTTGCCTATGATGTATCCAGAAGTATTTAAACAGTTTCACATTCAACCCCCTAGAGGTGTACTCTTCCACGGTCCCCCAGGTAATTGTTTAATTTGGAATTATGACTCAAATATGCATTGCCAAAATTAGAAAAATTACAAAACTTGAAAATAATTAATCCTTTATAAAAGTAGTAAGATTTGTAGACTTGTAAAAAGAAAAAAACCTCTATTATATGTTTCAAACCACATAAATCCAGAACTCAGAATAATATTCTACATTTATGAGGTTTGAAACATGTAATAGAGATTTTTTTTCTCTACAAAATGTGAATTTGGGTTAATTAGGATAACGATATGGACAAATTTGATCAAACTTATTTGCTCCCATTTACAATCAAAACAATTTTTTTAAGGTACTGGCAAAACGTTAATAGCCAGAGCATTGGCCAACGAATGTAGTTTTGGAAAACGGAAAGTATCATTTTTCCTCAGGAAAGGGGCTGATCTACTTAGTAAATGGATAGGAGAATCAGAGAAACAATTAAGACTCTTATTTGAACAAGTGAGTGGTTGTTTGAATTGACTTTGATGTGCGTTATTGTATTGCTGTTTAATATGATTTTAGAATCTTTTTACTCCAAATTCTAACTAAAAAATTTATTAATTGGAAAATAAACACGATTTGTAATTTTTATTCACACTACCCATTGTTAATAGTTATAAGTTACAATGAGTTACAATAATAAATAAGTTACAATAAAGTACAATAATGGAAACCAATTATATAATAATTATATTTAATGAATTATAAAGGAAATAAAAAATATAACTTGAACAATTTATGCAAGAAACAGAAAAAAAAAACTTTTTAAAAAAAATCCATGTGTTACGTCCGTTATTCTTGGAATATTCTGATAAACTTTGCATTATTTTGGAAAATGTATATTTTGCTAACTTTACAGAATTTTTTATATTTGCTTAATAATTTTATATGAAATCAATTCATGCATAGCATCTCCAGAACTTGGGAAGTAAGTCATTAGTTTTTAAAAAATCTGTCAGTCTATCTTTCACACATTTCTCAAATATTTTGGCCACATTACTAATTAAACTAATAGTCCTATAGTTAGTTATTAATTTTGGATTACCAGCTTTATAAATAGGTGTTATAATTTAAGTTTTAAATTGTTAGGATATGATTCCTGTATTAAAAATACAATTATATGCATTAAAGGTTCCAGTAAATACGGATGTAGTAGTTTCAGATGTTTTACTGTTATACAATCAAATACCGGTGCACTATTGTTTTTTAAACTATTTATGTGTTTTATAATATCGTTTTCGCATATTGGTTTCAGAAACATTGATTTTTCAGTGACACAGGAAAATCCACATTACATTCAGGGATATTTGTCAACAAATTAGTGCCAATAGTCGAAAAGTAGTTATTGCAGTAATTCGCTATTTCATTATCATTTTCAAATTCCTCATTATGTTGGTTAACAATCTGTAAATTGGTATCATTTTTATGATTTTCATTAATTGCTTCAGAGATTAATTGATAAGTTTTTTTTAGATCATTTTTGGTTTGGTTTATTTTATTGTTATAATAATCATTTTTAGTTTTTGATATTAATTTGTTTAAATTATTTCTAAATGTTTTATAGTTTGTTTGTTAATAGTATATTTTTTTTGTAGATCTTTTTTAAGTTTATCCCTAGTTTTAATATTTTGAGTGGTTTGACATGTTTCAATGATATTAAGATACGTGTCATAAAAAAGTTGTGTTGCAATTTCTGGATTATTTTCATTGCACACAAACACTTTCCCAATTTACAGTTTCGAATTTTTGTTTTAATTTATCAGTATCGATTTTAGTTATAGTTTTTTATGTATTGTAGGAACTTGTGTATTTTTTGACAGATTGTGAGATATTTATCATAATAGGATCATGATCAGTCATATTATAGCTGATTACATAAAAGTTCACCGATAGATTTTCAGTCTTAATATTGTTTTTAAGAATATATGATCCAAGCATGTTTTACTTTGTGGCCTCGTAATAGTGGTTTATGTAAGACTTGAAACCATGGGAGTAAAAAGTTGCTTGGTAATCAGTAGTTAATTGATTGGTTACATTTAGGAGATCAATATTAATATCCCCTATGAATATTTCTATTTAGGTGATTCGGTATGAAATTTTCTAAATCCCTTATAAATGTTTGTGCAGAGGTTTGAGGAGACCTGTATACACCTGTAATGCCAATGGTCCGATGATTGACTTTTAGATTTATTTTAGTGACACAAATATCAGAATATTCCAGTTTAACTATATTTAATTCTGCATTTAGATTTGACCTGACCAAAATTACAACACCATCATTTCTGTTAATGTTGCCATTGTTATAGTGGGTGGTGAAGCCATCTAGGTTAAAATGAGAAATAGATTCTAATTGGAAACATTCAGTCAAAACAATAATTAATTTTATAACTTTCTAGAAATACTAACAACTCATCAAAATTCTTTTTAATACTCCTAATATTGAAATGTAAGACATTTTGGAGTTTTTCATTTAAATTAATTTTATTTGTTATATTAGCAGCATCAACGACTTCATTAATCGAATCAATTTGAATAGAATTTAATAGATTATTTTCTTGATTAATAATCATAAACTAACTATTTGAATGTGTGTACAAATATTAGTTACGTTATGTTATTGATTTATATACTCGGTTTTATTTTGCAATACCATTTGATGACATTTCAAAGAGGGACAAGTCAAATCCAGTACAGAATGGTTGTAGTCGTACTCAGTTTTATATTTTTCGTTAGAATTTTTATAGTTCTTGCAGTATTTTATTATTTGGACTTCACTACAGATGTGGCACACGATTGCATTCTTACCATTTTCTTTTTTATGGTAGAAACCTTGACATTTAAAACATCTGGGTATCTCCAAATCATGAACTATTTGAATAGAATTTCCCTTTATATTGATTGATTGTATTGAATGATTTGTTTTTAGGCAGCTGAAATGAAACCTTCCATAATTTTTTTCGACGAATTAGATGGTCTCGCACCAGTGAGATCGTCGAGACAAGACCAGGTGCACGCCAGCATAGTGTCCACGCTTCTTGCTTTAATGGATGGGCTATCTGACAGAGGTGAAGTTATTGTCGTTGGTGCCACGAACAGAATAGACGCCATTGACCCGGCTTTACGAAGGCCCGGGAGATTTGATAGAGAATTGTTCTTTCCATTACCATCGAAACAAGTAAGATCATACTCAAATTTCCAGAATGTTTTAATTTTATTTTTGTATCTTATTAAATGATGTGCAATTTTGAGTTCACTACAAAATTTCATAGTAAGTTAAATTCAGTTTTTAGAAAGGAAAAAAAGCTTTTTATATTCGCTTGAAACATATTTGTATCATTTTTCTTTGCAAAATAACCACCATTTTGAATGTGTTGTGTTATATTGTTTGTTTATATTGTTGCTTAGTCAATAATATTTTGTTGAAGATATTTATTTTTCCTTAAAACGTCATTTAAGCAAATCATTATATTTTATTATTTTAGGAACGAGAAGAAATCCTCAATGTCCACACATCCCTTTGGACTAATCCGCCAAGTAAACAATTATTGGATTACCTGGCTGAAAATACAGTAGGTTACTGCGGTTCAGATTTGAGAGCTTTGTGTTCTGAAGCAGTTATTCAGAGTTTTCGAAGAACGTATCCCCAAGTATACAATTCAGAATTTAGATTATTATTGCAACCAGAAAATGTTATCGTGAGTATATGTTTCATATCTGTACCTTAGAAGTTAAGAATCGTATCTACAGTTTTGTATTAAATGTAGAAAATGCATTTACTAAAATATATAAAATTCATATTTTTATTGCTAGAAAATCGTATATGTATTAGTACTAGTTTTTGATATAGTATGTTTCGAAAAAATTAAAATACTATTTTATAAATAAGATTTACTCCTAAGATACAGATATATATTTTTTAATAATGACATCCATTTTAAACCTTCTTCTAAATCTTTATTTTCTCGTAGGTCGAAAAGGTTGATTTTATGAGAGCAAAATCTTTATTGGTACCAGCGTCCCATAGAATTACCCAAGGTTTAGGAAGAAAGTTGTTTCCGATTTTGGAACCACTCTTACAAGACCCTATAAAGAAATCTTTTGAACTTCTCGAACGGAGTTTTCCACATGGATTAAGTACTGCTTTAGCAAAGTAAATATAAATTCATTAAAATCCTCTTATTGCGTTTGTAACTATCACTTATTATTTTTAGAGTTAAATTATCTCCTAACGTAAGACCAGCACAACTACTTATAACTGGTAATGGATCTGAACATGGCCAAACTTCACATGTGGCTCCAGCAATTCTTTATAAAATGGAACATATTCATGCTTACATTTTAAATTTAGTAATGCTATACCAAGATACCAATAGATCAACTGAAGAAGCTTGTATTCAGGTAATTTTAAGTAATTATTTATTTTAAAACAATGTTTGGGATATGTAAATCAAACTTTAATACATGTATTCTCTAATTTCCTTAATCGTTTTTTGTTTTTTAGGTGTTTAATGAGGCCAGAAAAAATGTACCAAGTATAGTTTATATTCCTGCCATAGACAAGTGGTGGTTGCTTGTTTCAGAAACTTTAAGAGCGATCTTTAAATCACAATTATCTTCATTAGATCCTAACATTCCGATATTGTTTTTGGCTACTTCAGAAACTGTATATGATAGTTTACCTACTGAGGTAAGAGTTTTATTGAAATAATGAATTTTTAAATTTTAGTTGCAAGAATATAACAATGTTCTACTACAATAATCAAACACAAATTGATTTTAAACCCTGTTAAATTTCATATACTTGTATTTATCTCCCCCGATCTGCGCCTGAATGGATTTTTTGAACCTCTGTATCTCATAGTTATCCTTTATTGTCGAAGTTTCAAATATTTCATCTTCAGACACTCCCAAATGGGCAAATTAAATGGTGGTGCAAACTGTACTGCGATAATTATATACGTAATTAAATAATTGAAACGTTTATAGAAAAGGTGACCAAATAACAATCCCTGTAACAAACCCAATGAAATTAGTTTATTGACACATAGATGGTGGGTGTGGAAAAAAGTTTAAAGGTAAATGTTGTCACTGCATTGGGTAACTCAAAAAACTTCATGTAGGCGGACTTCCAGACGAGTTGGTAACAACGGAGACAGCACCGAACTGATTGAAAACAGCTTGCACGTCAGTGAAATGAAACCAATATTTAGTAGTAAAAACATATTGAAAAAATTATTGGCAAGGTCTTAATTACAGCCCAAAATCAACTCATATCACACTTTGTATAAATTCATATTTTTCCTAATTTTAATTAATTATTTAAATAACATCCTGTACATAAAACTTTGTTTATGTCGTCAATTTGTTTTGAATTGCAATCATGTGCAAGATTGGTTATTTAATAATTATTAAACATTAGTTTCATAATAATAAACTATGGAGAAGTTATAAAGGTAATGTCGAGAGGACGCGCAGGGCTTTTTCCACAAGGAAGGATCCTCCCCTCCTTATAGAAGATTCCTAGTAGCAGCTCCAAATCACTGAGACTCCAACCGGAGGCTCAGGATCTCTATAGTTTATTTTTTATCGTCTATTTGTTAACATATATATTTGTGTATGTCAAGTTAGGACATATTTTGTATAATCGTTTTAAATTATGTTTGTTTTGAGAACACTGTATTTTCTTCAGCCCCTTTTTAGGGACGTCTTAAGTTCTAATATCAAGAGTACAACCTTTAAAAAGTTAAGGGCTACGAAATCAAGTTTAAGGCTAAATTGTGTTTTTACATGATTGAGGCCCGGATTCATATATTTTGTTATTCAACTCCCGGGACATAGCTGGTTCCTAATTATTAAATAACACGTAAATCGTGACATTTTTTTAATTAAGAACACGCATAACGTGGCACTGTGTTATTTTAATTAACTCTCTATCTATTAGGTGTTGTAGCATTGCATTTAGCTAGCCTCGTAGAACAACCTTACCACAGAATAGAGAACAATACAGATAAGAAACAAAGGGCTAGTTCCACCACAGAGATACTCTTAGAAAACGTATCTATTCACAGTACACCTCAGAGCTAGGTATATGGTGAATAGTTACGTTTTCTCATAGTATCTCTGTGGTGGAACTAGTCCTATGTTTCTTTTCTGTATTGTTCTCTCTTCTGTGACCTTACAGACGTTTCAGTGGAGGTAATCCTGTCGTGACATCTGTTAGAACAAGTACAAAACTTCATCAAAATTAGCGTCTCTTCGATCATTCAGTATAAAATTCTAAATACATAAAGTTTTCGTTATTTTTAAATTCATTTGGATAAATTGCCAAATTTAAATTAATATTGTAATATTTTGTAGCACGTTGTCACTTCTAAACTACTACATCTTATAATAAATGTATACCAAAGTATTATTAATTTGTTTAAAATATTTTGACTTTTTCTTTGAACTTTTAAATTATTTTAGTATACATCATACTACCACAATTTTTCCATTTAGGTGTGCTTGAATATGAAGTAATATATATTTCGATTTTTCCAAATCTGTATGAAATCATTTCGCATTCCCTAGCCTTGAGTTTGATTATCTTACTTGAAGGTGTACATAAAAGCCTAATTTTATTGGATATTTTATATTTATTTTATAATGGAGCAATTCATTTTATTACTTAGGTTTCTTTATATATTATATTTTTTTTATTATTTATTTATTTATTTACATATACATTTTATATTTGATGGTTAGTCACTTAATAATGACTTAAAGAATGAAAAATAAGCACCAAGGTATGCTATAGTATACAAATAAACTAAATTATAAATTTACAAAACTTTTTATTCCAATGTGGGGTGGAGGTGTATCAATCAATTTATAAAATCTCCTTAAATAAATCTAAGTTTACAGTAACATATTGTTTAGCTTTAAGTCGAAATATATGTAATTTGGTTATATTTTTTGTTTATTGGTGGTTTATTAAAAATTTTGGGTGCAACTGTGGTTGCAAATTGTTGACTAGCGTCACGTTGACATGTTGGTGTCATCAAGCCGTTATATGACTTGGCTCTTGTGTTGTGGGGATGTGTAGCAGTAGTTCTTAGATGTAGTAGAGTGTTCTTATGTTTAGGATATCATCATTGTATAGAGCTGTCGGGTAAAGTGATGGTTGTTGGTAGATCATTTTGACAATGGGATTCTGTATAACTCTGAGAGGTTGTAAGGTTGTTTCATATAAACCCCCAAACAATTATCCCATATTGAAGGATTGGCTCTACTAGTGATTTGTAAATAATTATTAACTATTTGCGGTTCATAAACTTTCTTATTTGATAAAATTTATATATAAACCTTCGCAATTTGGTTATAAGAGATTGTATATGTTCATTCCATTTGGTATTGTCATCAATTATGATTCCTAAATATTTTGCCAGATAAAGAAATACTGCTACACATTTATTACCTTTGTCCAGGTTAATTTTAATTTGATTTACCTTTTCAAACATTGCATCACAAGTTCTCGTGTTTTGTTTATGCATTGCGTTTTTTTTTTTTTAGATACAGAGATTATTTTCCCATTATCGAAAAGAAGTATTAGAATTGACACCACCGACTTCTGAATTAAGGCGGTTTTTCTTTAAACCTCTTATCATAGATAGTAGTTTGAAACCAGCGAGAAAGTCTCGCGAATTGCCAAAAAGTCCACCGCCGCTTCCGAGAGCACCAACCCCACCTCCGTCGCCGCTAAACGAAGAACAATCTCGAAAATTGTATGAAGAAGAAGAACATACACTTCGAGAACTCAGAATCTTCCTTAGGGATATGTGTAAAAAACTAGCTAATAACAGATTGTAAGTATTTTCCTTCTAAATCAACAGAAATTTCGTTATGATGGATTATTTACCATATAGGTAGAGTTTTAATATGAAATGTAATTCTAAGTTTTGATACTGCGTTTCTTGAAAATATAGTATTGCTCGAAATAAACAGTACTGAACTGTAATTTTTTTTTTATTTATTTAAGAATGCATATTATTGACATTTTAGTACATGTTCCAAATGTACACCTCCTCGTTTAAGACAGACTTCATAACGATGTTCCCAGTTTAGGAAGAATTGATCACACACGTATCACAGATTTGCACCATTATGTCGTCGGCTGATTCCGTATGTGCGAAAATAAGACTACCAGAAACACTTTCTCCTTAACAATTAGGCCCTACTAATTAGTTGTTTAAGTACTGTTCATTTTGGGCGATACTATATATTATGTTAATATTGAGTAATTTGAAGTTTTATAGTTCAATTCTATCGTTTGTTATTCATTTCATTCATCCCATTTAATTATTATCAAATTAACTACAAATAATTAGTTTTATTGTTTTTTATTTTGTAGATTTTTCATGTTTACTAAACCTGTAGATACTGAAGAGGTACCAGATTACACAAACATTATTAAACAACCTATGGATCTGGAAACAATGATGACTAAGGTCGATTTTCATCGTTACGAGTGTGCTAGAGACTTTTTGAATGACATTGAACTTATTTGTCAAAACGCTTTAGAATATAATCCTGCCAGGTAATTTATACATATTTTGTGTAAAACGTTTAGTTTCTCATCTGGGCTAAAGTAAACACGTATGTTTTAGAACTTCTGCCGATAAGCAAATACGACACAGAGCCTGTTCTCTTCGCGATTACGCTTACACATTGATAAAATCTGAAATGGACACAGATTTTGAGGAAAAATGTCTATCGATTTCCACGAAAAGACGCGAAAGAAAGCACTGCCCAACAAAGTACCTGCCACCTTACATTAATACTCCACGTAATACTTTTGTATGATAAATGAATAAACAACGTTTGTAATAATTTCTTTGTTTTACAGAAGCTGCAGATCCAAGCTTAGTTAACGGTAATCAGCAAATGGAGAATGTACACAACGCAAATTCTAAATCTATTGGGAAAATAGAACATAAAAGAAAGAGAAGGTCCATGTGGCAAAGGGGACATATAAAGAAAAAAATACGAAAAAACACAGATAATTCACAAAATCAGGTAAATTTATCTAGTACGTTTTGTTCAGGGATTAGGATCCATATAGCTTTTTTTATAACTTTTTCTTCTGAATTTGGTGATTACATATGTATGTTTTATGTGTGTATTTTCCTTTTTTTACCTTCGAACCCCGTTGCTATCACTAATAATTTTTGTAGAATGATGATTCTGATTCCGAATCAAAAGAAGAAGAAGAAGTAGTAAAGACTAAACTATCTCAAACGCCCAGATCTAGTTTATTAAATATAACAGATAAAAAGGAAAACCCACCTGGAAAGATATCTGTGGAAGCCACTTCTCCTCTTACTATTAACTGTGATATACAAAGTAGTACGAAAAGGGACATTACAAGTCCTTTACAGTAAGTAAACAATTTTATAATAATAATATTATTTATTCGGCTTTGAGACATACATATTTAAAAGGTTAACAAATGTATAAACAATTTGAAATCTGATTTGGGTGGTTTATAGAGAGATATGACAAAAATGTCCTTATTTTTAAAGATAAATTTATAAACATTTATTTCGATAACTTTATCCTCTCTCAATAGTAAAATTGCAGTATGCAGGTTCTATTTATATATTACTTTTTGCATAAATAGAAACTCCACTCCTTTGGTATTGTGTCCTACAATACTTAGTTATCAAAGAATAATCGCAAAGCTCTAACATATCAATTTCATTGGAGTTTAGCCAATGTTCTGAAGAACAACATATATCTATTTTATTCTTTTTTAAAATTTGTTCTAGCTCACTAATTTTTTTCTGTATACCTTGTATATTGAAATGCATTAGTATGAAGTTTTTGTTACCATGATTTTTTGACAGATGTTCTTCATTAATTCTGATTTCTTCAGTCTTGGTGTTTTTGTTGTCATATTCTCTTGTTACTGGCATTTGATTGGCATCCGGAAAATTTTCATCTAGTAGGTTTGCTTCCTGGTTGTTTTTATATCTGTTTTCTTATTTTCTAAAGTCATAACGGTAGACTGCTACCCCACGTGGTCAGAAACTTCCAGTGTACTCCTGGTCCATAAGATCATATTGTGTGCTGATCTTAAAACATTTGATATTTGTAGTTTTTTGTATATTGATAATTTCTTCACAGATAACAGATCTTTTCTGTCACACTGTTTTTCTAGATGTGTTATGACCATATTTTCTGTGACGTGATCTTTAACCTTGCTAATAAAAAGCCACAATCGTTTTTCTTTAGTTCTTACAAAACAGTTTAGTTCTTCTGCTTCATTTACTTCTGCTACACCAATGTGGCATCCCGGTTGTCTTCTTTTTCTGTATTTTACTGTTTTGAATGGTATTTCTTGATTTTTAAAATGTTGTGTATTTGTTGCATCAGGATTTGTATCATCCATACCATTTATTAACTTAGATAGCTAATTGTCCTTTTTCTAAGTTTTAATAAGTTTCCTTAGTTACCATAGGGGTTCTATTTTCAATATTTCCTTCAGTTTATTGAAGAAGAACAATAAAAATTTATAAATGTAAATACCAAATAGAATTAACGAGTTCTGGTTGGGCTTTTGTAATTTTCTGTTTTTGAATGCATTATCCTTGTGATGAATTCGACAAGATTCAAACACTTTATATACACAACTTACCTTCAAATGTACAAAAATCTTCTATAAAATGCAAAGAACACTCGCATTGAGGTAGAACTTGAATTTTTAGAATATAAATCTACCGTTTTCGCATGTCAATTCTCTCATAATTGTCCAATTATTTTTAATAAGTACTTTACGGTTACCCTTTTTGGAAAATGATGAAAACTTAACGACTCCATTTTCAATTGAAAGTACAACTTTTAATATAGCAATTTACTTGAAAGCTCTTTCGCAAATTTCATTTTTAATAACAAAAACTATCACAGTTATCACACACTATGAGAAAAAACACATTTAATGCTCACAATCTCACAAACAAAAAAAATTCTTAAACTAATAAATCCACTGTAAAAAAAAAGTTGGTCGCTCTGTAAAATTGATGAAAAACTACTTTCCTGAAAGAAAATTTTAAATTTTTCGTCGTGAAGACGGAGAGACAGACCACTCGTACTTAGGTTCTTTTATTTCACTCTTGCTACGATACATACACACAGATGGGAATAATATTAAAATAAAAATAGACATTTGGCAACAAAATTTAAATTCTGTGAATTTATTGGTACAAATTGGAATTCATAAAAATGTTCAACTTTAATAATTGAAAGGTTTATTGAATTAACATTAATTTATTAAGGAAATACGTCTTCAAAGGTTAAAATAAACTTCTATGACTATTACAACTTTGTTAAAACACAATCACTTATTTGTTCAAATAATTAAGGTATTTTTTGAAAAATTTTCATTTGATTCAAGCTTTTATGACATTATTTTTTATTGTCTTGAAGTAAAAAATGCCTTTATTTTAAAAATGTGGCTCTTATCATGTTTTTACAATAATTTCAATTATTTCTTTGGTTTCTGGTGATATCTGAATGTCCAATTTTTTTTGCTATGAATTATATTAAACAAATATGACTACTGTATTGATAATAATTGTTAATTTGACATATTTCTTTTTTTAGATCCCCTAAAAGAAGACTGAGCGATATTCTTAGCCCTTCCGAATTGTTAGATAATCCCTTAGATTTTGATGATGTTGATGAAGCTTTGAATGAATCTGGTAGGTTTCCTATAATATTTCATAAAGTATTCGGTTATTATTATTCCTTATCTTTTCAGCAACCGAAAGGATTTTAAATATGAAACCAATAGAATGTTCTATGGCAGAGTTGGATAAGGTTTTGGATACAGCAGTTAAAATAACTGATGGTTTTTCTTTAATATCTCTATTGGATTTGTATAATCAGTTAAATAGGATAATTAAAAAGCACTCGAGGACACATTTAAGGGCGTCTTTACCAAAGGTATCTTGTATTACATTTAAACAAACATTCATCTTTGTAAATCATAATTTATTTTCAGGAATTAGCGAGAGAACTCGCAAGGTTCAAGAAAGAAGGAGCTGCCGAATATAAAGCCCATTCGTCTCCTTAAAATTAATAAAATGTGAAATATTTTTTTATATATTTATGTTGCAGTATTTTTAAGAAACAGAAAAACCTTGAATTGTATTTAAATTAAATTACTTAATTTTATTTATTTTATATTTAAAATATACTTTTTTGAATACACCATCACCAAAGATATTTTCAATTTGTTGTCACTGCCATAGACGAGTTATAATTGATTTAAGTTGTATTTTTTGTATATACGTGCCTTCCCCTTTATTTATAAGTGGTTGTTGCATATTACAGAATCATTTGATAAAATTATGAATCTTTTAAGAGTGGTTTAATCTTCAAATTAATAAAAGTATGGTTAACAAATGTTTAATTTTATTTTCCTTTTGCAGCATCTCTATAAATGTTCAGAGGATAAACTAAATATATACATTGTCCACATACATCTACCTCGAAACATTTTTCTATAGATATTCATTGAAAACGAAAATACTGAAAAATTTAAATTTAGCACTTTTCCAATACGGTCCATTTTAGAAAAATCATGTATAAACAAAAATTATAGAGATCGATATCGCAAACAACTTTTATTTCAACAATTTTCATAAAAATCAGAATTTTGCACATTTTGTCAAATTTCTCGAATACGGACCATTTCAGGAAATTTTGACATAAAGCCAAAATTATAGATAATATTAGAAGTAACTTTTATTTGAACAATTTTCTTCTCCAAACATAAATAACATATATTCCATAAAATATAAAAACAGCCTCCCATAAAGTACTCCCCCAGATGTTCCGACTTTGTCCAAAATCTAATCATTTCACGTCAGGCCGAAATAAACCTTAAGTTTAGAATTTAATGTTTTTTTCTTTATCCGTTTTTGAGTTTTCTTCAAAATTTACACATTTTCTCAAATATCTCGAATACGATCCATTTTAGAGAACTTTTGTTTAGATTAAAAATTATAGAGAATTATATTACAAACTTTTATTTGAACAATTTTTATAAAAAATTATTTTTTTTACATTTTGTCAAATTTCTCGAATACGGACCATTTTAAGAAAATTTTGTATAGAACAAAAATTACAGATAATTATATTAGAAGTAACTTTTATTTGAAGAATTTTCTTCTCCAAACGTAAATAACATATATTCCATAAAATATAAAAATGACCACCTATAAAGTACCCCCCCCCAGATGTTCCGACTCTGCCCAAAATCTAATCAGTTCATTAGACGCTGGAATAAAGCTTAAGTTTAAAATTTGGTGTTTTTCTGTGTATCGGTTCATGAGTTATGCGACATACAGACACACACACAGACATCATCGCGAAAATAGTCAAAACGGATTCAGGGGACCTCAAAACGTAAAAATCCGTCGAAAACTCGAGGTCGAAAAATTTTAGCGTGAATCAAACACTTCAAATCATATTTAAAAAAAAAAAACAACTTTGGGGTTGATTTATTAAATCTAAAAAGTGTCTGCCTAAATTACTAGTATTTTTAGAATTACCTAAACTTTCAATTGTTGTTTGAATCAAACACTTTTTTTGGGTCATATTTTACGACCCCTTTCTATTATGCGCAGTACCTGGTGCCCCGGGGTGGGTCTAGCCAACACAGGTATTTCTGCTTTTCCATCCATATGATTTCAAATTACAAAATTTCAAAGTGTATCAAACACTTAATGGAATGTGTGTTACTAGCTCTCCAACTATATTAAGCCTCAGCTCCCTTCCATTTCTAAATTCCATTATTTTTAAAACAAAGATGGATTTTAATAAAATATTTTTGTGCCAATACTATTTCTATTTCTACGAAAAAAATAAGACGTATCGAGTGCACAAAATGCGATCATCTGAGAGTCAGTAGTAGAAGCTTCCGTCCAAATTAGGGAAAATAGTTTTGAGAACGTTTTTGGTTTATCGCTGTTATTACGGGTTCGAATATAAGATATTTAAGGGCTCCCGATCGCCGAGGAGGTCCTATTAAACTGCCACCTTAAACCAACACCAATCATCAAAAATTATTAATAACAAAAACGAATTAGAAAAAAATTAAAAACTTTATTTTAAGTTAAACTTAAACATATCAAATAATACTCTTGATAATAATAATGATTGGCTAAAAGGAGTATTTCTAAATCTAAAAATATTCACTTTAGCCAAAATACCTTTTAATAATTAAACGTTTTAAAACTTACAATGTAATGACTATAAAACATATTTTGTCGAAATGATAAGTATTCACGTATAAAATTGGAATGGAGTTGCTAATATAAAAAGGGAATAAAATAAGATTATATTGATAATTTATAAATGCTGTTAGCTGCAACTTCACATCAAAGATCTAACCAGACATAATGGCTTTAACAAATTCTTCATAGTTAACATTACCATGGGAATCTTCGTGGCCCAAGAGGAGTTGTTCAACCTGAAATAGTAAAGTGTTTTTCACAGTCAAAACTTTAAAACACAAAAATAATAAAAAGTAGATGGGAAATTCAGAAATAAATTCCTATTCAAATCCAAATCAGTTTCCCACCAATATTGTATTAAATTTTTCTTTTGTCATATTATAATATACATAAACCTTATAGCTCTGGAGGCAATCCACTTATTTTCATAGAAAATACAATGATTATATGAAATTATATCACCGACATGACTATCTTGTCGATCATGGCCTAATTAAGAAGTTCCAAAGTTATTGTCTATCAAATTTTATGGAAATTTTAACAGAAATAAGTGTTTTTGTTAAATAATTTGACTATCGTTTAGACTAGAAAGAAGTGGTTTGCATAGTTGAATTTCTTTTAAAAAACTCTACAAACTGGTTTTTATTAATTCATGCTAGGTTGTTTGTACAGCAAGATAATAGGATTTTCAGATTAAATTTTAAGAGAAAAAGGTTTTTGGTAAATAACTTGACTATCATTTAAACTAGGAAGTAGTGGTTTGCATAATTGAATTTCTTTTTAAAAACTCTAGAGAAACTGTTTTTTACTAAAATGATGGAAAGTTAGGAGAAAATTAAAGAAAAGTTAGGAGAAAATTTGAAGGAAAGTTAGGAGAAAATCGATTAAAAGTTAGGAGAAAATTGAAGGAAAGTTTGGAGAAAAGTGATTGAAAGAAAAGTTAGTAGGATTTTCAGATTAATTTTAATAGAAAAATGTTTTTGTGAAATAACTTGACTATCATTTCAACTAGGAAGTAGTGGTTTGCATCATTAAATTCCTCTTTAAAAGCTCTACAAAATGATTTTTAAAAAGTCACCGTTAAGTTTTCCATAAGGCTAGAAAATAGGATTTTCAAATTTGGGAAAATTTTAACAGAAATAACTATTTTTGTTAAATAACTTGACTATCGTTTAAACTAGGAAGAAGTGGCTTGCATAGTTGAATTTCTTTTTAAAAGCTCTACAAACTGGTTTTTACTCATTTGTTACCAATTTGGCTTCCATTAAATTTGATAAAGTTTAAACTCACCTCATCATCAGTAAGTTTTTCGCCCAAAGTCGTTAAAAGGTGTCTAAGTTCTGCTGAACTTATATAACCATTACCATCTTTATCAAAGTGACGTAAACCTTCTATAAAATCTTCAGCAGTATCAGCACTTCTGGTTTTAGAAATTTGCTAAAAAAAAAATAACTCAAGTAAAAATTTATTGTTTACTGCTCGTTTGTCAAATCGAATGCACATAATACAGGGTGTTTCATAAATATCGTCATTTGTTTCATAGGCTATAATTTCATAAAACAAAAAATCATATAGATACTTAAAAATTAGAGATATATGGCCCTTTAAGGTTTTAAGTAGGGATATATTTCGTTTGGAAATTACATTTTGGGGTCCCCTGAATCCGTTTTGACTATTTTCGCGATTCTGTGTGTGTATCTGTCTGTCTGTCTATGTATGTGTCTGTCTGTCTGTGTCTGTTTGTTTGTGTCTCTGTCTGAGTGTGTGAGTGTGTGTAGAAGATATTTTGAAAATTTATTAAATTGATTATTTTCAGCTAATCTGAAATATTTACCATTTTAGAGATCCATACCTGAAGGAGCAAAAGAGATAACATTAATAGTATATAACCATAAATAATGTATATGGAGGTTCATTTTATATATGATTTCTAGCCAAACTAGGCCCCACGTGACTAAAATCACAAGCTTTTGACTTTTGTCAATGAAAATCTCATAGCCATATGTGACAAAATAATAGATCTACTGTTTTCCACCGACTACTCCTTTGGCTAATGTCCCAACAGGCATTAAATTATATCCAAAGAAAATCAGCAAAGATAAAAAATACATTTCAACACTCAAATTTTGATTTTGCTTACTAATGAGAACAATTACACCTTAGTAATTGACTTCTACAGAATTCAAATATCTTTAATAGATATATATGATTTGGAGTGAGGGTAGCCATATGTGAGCGCTTCCTTTATGGAAATAGTCAAGGTGTGCCTGATGATGAAGTGACAGCTTCGAAACTGGTCGCCAATTAAATTGACTTGTGAGAAATAAAGGACCTTTTCTTTAACTCCTTACATTTAGATATATATGAGGTGGGACACTGAGTACAATCATGAGTAAAAATTTTGCATATTGTAATATTAATAGTTAATCAAAACTGATTTTATATTAAAATAAATATTTACATTAAATGTATGTTTACATTCCAACTCAAAATATTTATACATAAACTTTTCACATAGCAACCAATATGAAAAATATGTAATAATTTTGTTCCATGGGTACATAATATCGTTAAATAATAATATATTTGTATAAAAATAGATAAGATTACTTGTAGGTACAGGATTTTAATGATTCATTTAACCATAATGATAAGAGATAAGGCACATTTTCTTCAATTGCTAAAATTTATTTAAATAAAACACTAAATTGGTATAATATAAATTTTCAATGGAAATTATCTCAGAAATTATATAATTAAAAATGTATTATTGTGTGCAATTAAAATGTAAGGTGTAGGTATTTATAATTATATGATTTGAGCATTTTCGAAATGTTTGAAATTAGGTACAAAAACTGCGAATAGAATAGGCTGACTACATTTTTAAACTTACAGAACAGAGTAATTTAGATTTTTAACAATTTTCCATAAACTATCTTTAATTAAATGTAGTGAAAACCGGTTTTAAGTGTGTTTTTAAATACAAAAAAATGGTGATAACAGCTTAATCACTTGATATTCCATTAACAATATTAATTTCAAAACTAGGTAGGTAATTTAAAGTTTTTCAAATCATTAATAAATAAAAAGCAATCTAAAATAAACATATAATACCTGGTAAATTGGCAGGAACACTTCAAATGAGACTCTTTCATCAGGTTTATGTTGATGAGTATATTTTTTTACATCAGATTCTGTGGGGTTTTGTCCAAGAGCTCTTAAAGCATCTCCAATTTGCGCTACATGAATCTTTCCATCCCCACGGTTATCAAAAAGCTGAAAGGCTTCTTGGAATTCTGAAATATACAAAAATATATGTAATTACACTAATAATAAATGAAATATTTAGCACCTTCAACTGAAGTAAGGGTAAGTTTACTGGGAATGTCATAGAGATACATTTTAGATGTTAAAGCACAGCTGGTTCAAATATACTGTGCAATTCACACATTGCGCTAATTGCAAAACTCGCATACTTTCAAAATAATACCTTATATGGTCAAAAAATTCTAGATGATTCACTACCAGTTTTTACGACCTACTTCAGGCTGTACACCTTAAATGTGAGTATATATTCTAAAATTTCAGGTGTAAATTGGTCATTTAATTAAAAAGGATGTATAGTATAATTGTTATTTTATTTCATTGTTTGAATGTGTTAAGAAAAAAGCAAAACATCCACCAAATCAAAGTTCAAAGAGAATGTAAGGTGGGGCTACTTAACCTACATTTTCAATTACTCTATACCTACCGGCCATCTGGTCTTCAGAATAATTAGCCTGGAATAAAAGAAATAATTACTATTAATTAAATTACGTTTTCAGTTTAATTAAAAGAAAATATAAGTGAATATTGTACTCTTTCTTACCATGGTTGTAATTTATTTGTTCAACTGTCAAAAAAAAATGAATGAAAAATTTACATGACGTTTACAAATTTGAATTAGTTCAAATGTCTAACACTAGAAATAGCGGGACTTTTAAATTTTATACGAAGGAACCTGTTTATGTTTACTACAAATAATTGGAAAAAAAACCAATTTCGTATGCCAACATTTTTTTTTAATCTGCAGGTCGGATTATTAATTTGTATTCAACATATAATAATATATATAATGCAGAAGTTGATGTAATTTTGATTCAAATTATAAACTAAAACTACTGCTGCAAATATTAGAACGTTTTTCTTTGCCTACAAAGACGAAAATAATTTTAAATAAAATATCTGCAGTCCTTAATTATGTTTTACATTTAAATGTAAAATCCCAACAAGTTATGTACATTTTGATTGGCAGAAAAAACCGCGACTAATTTTGTAATACAATTTGTATAAATGGAACAATATTTTCAGAAGTGGTGTAGCTGAGCACTAGCTGAGTGCTACACTTTCGATGCAAAGGAAAAGACCTATTATTTGTTATGACCTCTGCACCATGGTCACAATATATCCCTATATTGTGACCATGGTAGAACAGAAGTAAAAGTTGGAAATGCTTTTGCCAGTTCTCCCACTTTATACACATAACTTGACAGGTTGTCAGCGGATCTCACCGAAGTGGACACGATACATTGGCGTACAAAATTATTTTATAGATGTTAATAACAATTTCGAGTAAATAGTTTAATAAATTGTGAATAGCTGTTGAAATTTTGTAAAATTATAATTTGAATATTATAATACATGTTTAATAATTATTTATAATCCATAAATACATGCGATTGTCCGGTTCCGCCGATAACAATTTAAAATTACTTATTCTATGAAACGACACTGGCAGGTAAACATTACTGTGAAATTCTCGGAGCCGCCCGACGTGGTTTGACGTTTACCCCCTCTCTACCTACCAAAAGACTTTTCAACTTTTACTTTCTCTATAGTAGGAGTGAGATTACAGAACGTCTGCAACTTTGCAGTTCTGCAAATATGGCGGCAACTTTGAAAATCTACAAATATGACTGACTTAGACATGCAAGTGTCAAGTTTTCGTATTCCAAATTTGGGTTTAGTGTTGTTGGGGGTAATAAACCACAATAAATATTGCGAATTTGCAGATATTTTTTGGAATACTTACATTTGTAAGTCTGCCATATTTGTAAAGTTGCAGACGTTCTGTAATCTCACCCTAAACTTTTTTGGTATATTTGAATAGTTGCACACTGCTTTATCTCACTTACGGCCGTATTCACCAACAGAAGTTAACAGGCTAACAGACTGTTAAGTAGCTTATCAGTCAGTTAAATAATTTTTTGGTATTCACCGACCATATTTTACGGCTATCAGAGAGTTAAAGTTAACTGCTTGAATTTGAGCTGTTAAGTGCAGATAAATAATTGATTTCGCGATTCATAAGAAAGTTGTAAGTTTGAAAGTATTGAACGAGCTGAAATTGCCGAACTCAGCTAATTATAAACCGACGCTGTCGTGTCATGTGTCATTTGTCAAGCTGTCATATTTCTGTTTACTAGTTTTGGTGGTGCCGCATTTTAGTTTCCGAATTAAATATCTAAATATTCTATTTAATAAGTTTTATATATAAATCTCGACAATGGCTATGACATCATCGCAAGTTAAACGAGAGCAACAAAATAATTTAGCAGCTGGAACAGGATGGCCCAGACGAAACAGTCAGACCACTACAAATACTCCGGCACAAACGAATACATTCTCACCCGCTACAATAAATAGAATAATAAATTTATATCCTTTAACAAATTACATATTCGGTACGAAAGAGCCACTCTTTGAAAAAGATCCTAGCGTTCCAGCAAGATTTCAAAGAATGCGAGATGAATTTGAAAGAATAGGAATGCGACGCAGCGTTGAAGGTGTTCTTCTTGTACACGAACATGGACTGCCACATGTGCTTCTTTTACAACTTGGAACTACATTTTTTAAGCTTCCGGGCGGAGAATTAAATCCAGGAGAAGATGAAGTAGAAGGGCTGAAAAGACTTCTCACAGAGACGTTAGGTCGTTTAGATGGAGTTAAACAAGAATGGGTAGTAGAAGATATAATTGGAAATTGGTGGAGGCCAAATTTTGAGCCACCACAATACCCATACATTGCTTCACACATAACGAAACCAAAGGAACACAAACGTTTGTTTTTGGTCCAATTGCAAGAAAAAGCATTGTTTGCTGTCCCTAAGAATTACAAGCTAGTAGCTGCTCCACTTTTCGAATTATTTGACAATTCCCAAGGATATGGACCTATAATTTCTTCTTTACCGCAAGCTTTGTGTAGATTTCAGTTTATTTATATGTGACCTGTGAAATTAAGAATGAATGTAAAATTATGACCTATTTAATAAGTAAGGATAATTGTTGTCAGGACTTGTTTTGAATCTAGTGAATGGGTTTAGTCTTTGAAGGAAATTACTGTTTGTGGACTCTAAAAATGAAACTAAATATTTCTCAAGAACTAATATACATGAATACCAATATTTAACTTTTATGTATATAAACGATTTTTGCTCATACCTCGGGGCTGCAAAATAATGAATTTTAAAGGGCAATCTTGGAAGTTCTTTTAAAGATATCAAAATGTTTAGTGTCACTTGATTCTTAAACCAAAATCTCCTACTTCACAGATAGCTGTTCAATAATTTATAACTTTCAATCAAAAATTAGGATAGTTTAAGTTTTAAATATCTTAATAGGTCTTTTTTGTAAACATTTTTCAAAACAAACTTTGCATGTTGCATGCCTATGTGACTTATTGAACCTCATGCTTAGTTAATTGCAAATAGAAGATTTTTCATCAAAATACCAAGTTCTGTGCATATTTCTTTATATATTATAGAGAGAGAAATGCATTGTTCACAACATTATTCTCAACTTTTTCTATATATGCAAAAAATGATTCAGTTTTCAAGTAGAAAAAAATTGAAAATGGAAGTTTGCAATAATGTAGTACCTAAAGTAAAAAAAAATGATTTTTTGATGTGTTATTTCTGTATTTTTAATTTATGGTTGTATTTTAAGTACAGAAATTAAAAAAAAATGATACTTGTGTAAAATTAAAGTATTGAAATACGATTTATTGCATAAAACTAGTGAAATCTACAAACAAAAATGGCTATACTTTTATTACAATATAATTTTTCTACAATTTTTATTGTAAAAATTATACTACATGTGTCGCTCCTCTTTTCCATATGGTGTAAGGAGAGAAAATTATATAAATGATACATTTTACAAATTTTTTAACTTACTTTATTTAAGTCAATTAATACTGCAAAACCTTATTCATGTGAAAAAGATAAAATTTTAAATATAGAGGAAATCATGAAATTATAATCTTTGGATATTATCTGCCAAAAAGATGTCAGGGTTTTGCAGTCCAAGTAACAATATATTAAAGAATTGTATAATTTAATAAATAAAATAACTAGATAGAACAAATATCTAGCTTTTTTATTTGACAACTTTGAAAATAAACATTTTATATTCTTATTTATATAAGAAATATTTGGAAGCAACATTTATCTTTATTTAAAAAAAAAAGTGAAAACGTTTTTGAATGTCTCATATTTCACTAGTTCTTGATAAATATTTAATAAGGTTTTTTGTATCACTTTGGTAGATTAGATTATTTTTTATTCACTTGATGCTGTATGTATGCTACGATTCAGTGACTAAACTTGAGTGATTCCTTTCTAATTTTCCATTTTATGTTTAGATAATTTATCCTGTTTAATAATGAATAGGTAAAATTAATAATCATGTTTCCATTAATTTTTACAGTAAATAAATGTGAATAAACAATTAATTCTTTTATTTTTTAAATTTTTTAGGCTATTGAATGTATGTGTTTGTAAAGGTATAATCTTTCAGCAGGGCCCCTGCAAGGGTTATCATCTCTCACGTATCTGATATATTTTGGCCTCCTCTGAATATGTTGTTCTTATATAAATAATATTTCAGAACTTTACTTTTTTTAAAATTTCCTGGTTTGTTGTAATATTCTTGTAGTTGTTTAAACCTTTAATTTTGTAATGAAACAGATTTCAAAAACTAAAATTGTATTTTTTAAATTTGTTACAAAGGAAAAACAAACCAAACAATAAACAAATAAAATATTCAATAATTTAACAATTATATAGGTTTTTTTCTTGATTTGGTGGCTTATTGTCAAAATAAACTTAGTGTTTCAAAGGACTTGAAAAAAATTTTGTGATACTATTTTTTCAATTATTATCTTCCTTCCTCTGTCTGATTTTTAACCCTCATGGTATTTGTTATTTTAAATATTTGTACAATGTATTACTAATAAATTCATTTAATATCGGATTCAAAATCTGATGATCTGTTTAGTTATCGCTGTTGCAAGGTACACGCTAAAGTGTACACAAATCAAAAAATTATATACACGCGAAACATGTGGTGGGAGGTGTTTGTGTGAATGCGTCTTGTTTGTTTTCATTTACGCCGTGACTAGCACAGTAGTATTTTATAAACCTTAGAAGCAAATTTCACATACATGAACAAATAATAATAATACCGTGACAACAAGAAAACAAAGTAATGATCTCTCACAAAAAAATTTCAATCCATACCTAGCTACAACCGGCGTAAACACCAACGGCCTGCACACAGGTCACCTACTCTGTCAAGACGTTTCGCGTGTATATAAATTTTTAAATTGCAAACAAGTTAGCGTGTACCTAGACACTGTGTTTAGTTATGGGCTTTTTCTGGTTATTTTATACAACCTAATATATCATCCCTGTAAATGTTTAGAGGGTGGACATACATTTTCCATACACATCTTACTCAAAACTTTTTATATATATACAGGGTGTTTCTAAATTCATGCGACAAAATTCAGGAGGTGATTACTCGTATGAAATTAAGATGGGTCTTTCCTATAACAAAATTTCCTAAGCCAACTCCTTTCCGAGATATCACCCTTAAAAGGTGGTGACTAAAATTGAGTTTTTATTTTTTTTAAAATTTCAGTAAACCTTGAAATTTTGTAATTTTCGTGCACTCGCAAAGGACTAATCACCGGTGTTTTTTCAATGTTCCTGTTATATTATAGGGGGGGGGGTATGCCTAACACGAAAAAATAGGCACTGTATATATCACAAGAGCGGATACAAAGGGGGGGGGGGGGAATAGGGTAATTACCCCCCCCCGAGCGGCTCGAACAAATCCAGGAATTTATTAAATTGTAATCTAAAAACAACGGGATTTTACGAGAAAGCAAAAAAAACAAGGTGACGAATGAAGAATAGGCTGGCTGGCGTACAGTATTTTTTGTTATTTTTTAAATAAACGAATGATTCTTTGATAAAATTTTAAAGACTTGGCGCGTGTTTTGCGACAATTTTAGGAAGCGGTAACATCAAAAGGTTTCGACATTTAATACACGACATGCTGATTTGTGATTAATACCATTTTAGTCTATAAAAATCTCAAATTAACTTTTGTTATTAATCTGAGATAATAAATAATAGGTATAAATACAAAAATTATGTTTAGGGTTTTATTCCGTAGACTTCAAAATCTCAACCTGCCTCTCAGAACACACATCAATGCCCAAGGAATGATTCGCCTGACACGTCAAATCACCCCTGTTGTAAGAGTTTCTGGACGAGTCCACCCCTACCCTTACAAAGGGTTGGGGACTATTATCGCAGCCCCCGAGCGATTTTGCATTTCATTAGAAATCTTCACTTGTGGTTTGACTGTAAGTCTTCTACCATTCTGATGTGCCAGTATTCCTTTAACCCCTTACGATTACAAGAAGTAAATTTTGAACAATGTCTAGATTATCTGTTGAGGCAGACTGAGTTTGAAGTCTAGGGAGTCCAATCTCTAATGGACTAATGAGTTTACTTTTCTATACTGTTTTGTGTTTTGTAGTTATGATTTATTAAGTCTGTCACTAGTGCTGCCATCTCTAAGAAAATTACGATTTTAGCCATGCGATCGATTTTAATTTTTTGGACGTCTTGTATATATATTTTCACATGGTAGGTATATATCCCTATTACAAACATTTTTTTTAAGATCGCACTCTAGTTAAACAACTATGAAGAGTGTGTTTGGTTGCTCACCGAGCAAGTTCATTTTTATAAACACTTTTAGCACGAGTTGCATACAATATTTTTTCTACGTTCATGCAAAAAACCAAAAAAATGTTTTATTTAGGCGACTAAGTGCAGAAGAATAAAAAGCGTAATTTTTATTGCACTAGTGCAATAAAGAACCAGTTTTTTCACTAAATATATATAGTTCAATAAAGTTTTGTTTTTTGCATGAACGTAGAAAAAATTACTTTAATTCTCTTTGAAACATTTGAATTAATCAAATGATTTTTTTTTTAATATCTAAAATAGGAAATTGAAAAATATAGTTAAAGCGATTTAATGGTTGATGATTTGCATACAAAGTTTGTTTATATTAATTTTTCATTAGTATTTTCACTGTTTGTGAGTTTTAGCACAAAAAAAAACCGTCTGCGATGTGTGCTCCAGTAAGTTTTCAAGAGTTGATTATTTAAATATTACCTAAATAATCAGACATTAATTTATAAAGTTTTGTTCATCGCCTGTAAAACTAAACAGATGTGTAATGGCGTTTTTTAATTAAACAGACAAAACAAAACTGGAACTTTACGTAAACATTTTAAAGACTGGCGCGTGTTTTGCGACAATTAATTGTAGGAAGCGGTAACATCATAAGGTTTCGACATTTAATACACGACATGCTGATTTGTGATTAATACCATTTTAGTCTATAAAAATCTCAAATTAACTTTTGTTATTAATCTGAGATAGATAAATAGGTATATATAAATAAATACAAAAATTATGTTTAGGGTTTTATTCCGTAGACTTCAAAATCTCAACCTGCCTCTCAGAACACACATCAATGCCCAAGGAATGATTCGCCTGACACGTCAAATCACCCCCGTTTTGTAAGAGTTTCTGGACGAGTCCACCCCTACCCTTACAGAGGGGTGGGGACTATTATCGCAGCCCCCGAGCGATTTTGCATTTCATTAGAAATCTTCACTTGTGGTTTGACTGTAAGTCTTTTACCATTCTGATGTGCCAGTATTCATGTAACCCCTTACGATTACAAGAAGTAAGTTTTGAACAATGACTTGATTTTCTGTTGAGGCAAACTGAGTTTGAAGTCTAGGGAGTCCAATCTCTAATGGACTGATGAGTTTACTTTTCTATACAGTTTTGTGTTTTGTAGTTATGATTTATTAAGTCTGCCACTAGTGCTGCCATCTCTAAGAATATTTTACGATTTTAGTCATGCGATCGATTTAAATTTTTTGGACGTCTTGTATATCTAGTTGAATATATTTTCACATGGTAGGTGTTTTTGGTTGTTCACAGAAAGTTCATTTTTTAGTATGAAGTACGCTTTAAATTACTTTAATTCCCTTTAAAACATTTGAATTAATCAAATAATATTTTTTTTTTTAAATACCTAAAATAGTAGTTAATTATACCTAATTATTTTTTCTCTCTCTTGGCATATTAGCTTAAAATTTATATTCGTTTCAGGTGACCAAAGAAGAATTTTCAAATTAATACTCTACAATTAGTTTTGGAACATGTAAGAATGCAAATAAAGTTTTGTGAATAAAACGAAGTGTCATTTCATTTGATACAATTTTTAAAATAGATTTTTTTAATCTACTCAATTTACTGTGTTACCATCTGGGCAAAATTCGAGGGAGTGCCGAAAAACAGAAAATTTTAAATTATTTTGTTCAAACATATAGTGCGGAGATGGTGCAGAGTATAATATAGAAGCCAAGCATTACATCTTCATTCTAATTTAGTATGACCAAAAGGAGGTGGCGACTAAACAAAATTGGAATATCAAGAGTTTAACTATGGTGCATGTATTTATAAATCCCACTTGACCAAGATGCTTACTCACATTTTTTTATACTTAATAAATATCAGAAATCCTTTTGGTACAATGCTAGCCAAAGTATTTAATGAAATATACCTATATAGAAGTATCAGAAACAAATTGTCTTCAGACATAAAATGTAAATACAAGAAATTAACAAATTGGATGCACACATAAATAAGAAAAGACTTTTAAACCATGGAGGAAAGATTTTTAAATAGTGAAAAATTACTTCCTTCTCATTACATTAGTTATTACCATTTCTGATACAAGCGAAAATATCAGGTTGCCAACTGAGTTTTTATAAAAATTTAATTAATTAACCGAAATTGAAAAATATAGTTAAAGTGATTTAATGGTTGATGATTGACACACAAAATTTGTTTATATTACTTTTTCTTTAGTATTTTGACTGTTTGTATTACAAAAATATAGTTCAATAAAGTTTTGATTTTTGCATGAACATAGAAAAAATTACTTTAATTCTCTTTAAAACATTTGAATTAATCAAATGATTTTTTTTTAATATCTAAAATAGATAATCCGACATTAATTTATAAAGTTTTGTTCATCGCCTGTAAAACTAAACAGATGTGTAATGGCGTTTATCAATTTTTTTCAAGACAAAACAAAACACAAACTTGTGTCGAAAAAAACAAAACTGGAACTTTACGTAAACATTTTAAAGACTGGCGCGTGTTTTGCGACAATTGTGGGAAGCGGTAAACATCAAAAGGTTTCGACATTTAATACACGACATGCTGATTTGTGATTAATACCATTTTACTCTATAAAAATCTCAAATTAACTTTCTTTTATTAATTATCGGTTTGTACAAATAAATACAAAAATTATGTTTAGGGTTTTATTCCGTAGACTTCAAAATCTCAACCTGCCTCTTAGATCACACATTCAATGCCCAAGGAATGATTCGCCTGACACCTCAAATCACCCCCGTTGTAAGAGTTTCTGGACGAGTCCACCCCTACCCTTACAGAGGGGTGGGGACTATTGTCGCAGCCCCCGAGCGATTTTGCATTTCATTAGAAATCTTCACTTTTGGTTTGACTGTAAGTCTTCTACCATTCTGATTTGTGCCAGTATTCCTGTAACCCCTTACGATTACAAGAAGTAAATTTTGAACACTGAGTAGAATTTCCGTTGAGGCAGACTGAGTTTGAAGTCTAGGGAGTCCAATCTCTAATGGACTGATGAGTTTACTTTTCTATGTAGTTTTGTATTTTGTAGTCATGATTTATTAATTCTGCCACTAGTGCTGCCATCTCTAAGAAAATTACGGTTTTAGCCATGCGATGGATTTTAATTTTTTGGACGTCTTGTATATCTAGTTAAATATATTTTCACATGGTAGGTTTATATCCCTTTTATTACAACCAGTTTTTTAAAGAACGCACATGAGTGTTTTTAGTTGCTCACTGAGCAAGTTCATTTTTTAAAACATTTGAATTAATTAAATGATATTTTTTTTTGAATACCTAAAATAGTAGGTAATTGTACTTAATTGTTTTTTCTCTCTCTTGGTATTAGCTTAAAATTTATTCATTTCAGGTGACCAAAGAAGAATTTTCAAATTAATATTCTACAATTACTTAGTTTCGAATAAAATTTGAAGTGTCATTTCATTTAATACAATTTTTAAAATAATTTTTTTTTAATCTACTCATCTTATTGTGTTACCATCTGAGCAAAATTCCAGGGGGTGCCGAAAAACAGAATTTTTTTTAATTATTTTTGTATTCAAACATAGTGCAGAGTATAATATAGAAGTCGAGCATTATATCTTCATTTAAATGTTAAGGATAGTAGGTATTACTATGATGCATTATAAATCCTACTTGACCAAGATACTTACCTACATTTTTTTTATGGTCAATAAATATCAGAGATCCTTTTGCTACAATGTATTTAATGAAATACTTATAGAAGTATCAGAAATAAATTGTCTTCAGGAGTTACGAGATGTCACATAATATGTAAATTACAAGAAATTAACAAATTGGATGCACATAAATAAGAAAAAGTTTTAAATCATGGAAGAAAGATTTTTAAATAGTGAAAATTTATTTCACTTCTCACTACATACTACCATTACTGGTACAAGCGAAAATGTCATGTTGCCTACCGATTTTTAAAAATAAAATTAATCAACCAACGACGTGGGGAGCGATGAAATGATTCTTTTACTTGTGACTAATAACAAACTTTCACAAACACGAATTGTCCAAAATTTAGAAAACAAATTTAAAATGACAACACAAACATTTCATATTGTACAAAAAAAAATCAAAATAAATTCCCAAAACAAAATAAAAACTTATAGTATAGGAGCCCATTACAAAATTTAGGCAGCCGCAATATTGTGAGCGCGCGAATTTTGGTCAAAGTTTTAGAGGGTCGCGCTTTTATTATATGTTTTGAATATTTAATATTTCTGCTAGTTTTATAAATAGATAGTCTAACTGTTGCTTTCTCTTTTTTTTATTGTTTTTATTTTGTGGTCTACAAGGAAAATAAAAATAAAAGAATACAATGTAAAAATATTAATTAAAATATTGATAGGAATTTATATATGTACTTAAGTTTAAATCGTTGCACTTATATATTTTAAAGTAATTTATATTTACTAAATTCAATAAAAAATAATGCACAAACATAAAGTGAGTATTGGAATTTTTTTAATTCTAAAAATTTCATGTTTTATTATGGATTTCCAAGTAATGCAGAACATTTTATCGAATATCATGTATCATTTTTTTGTAAAATAAAAGATAAAACTTTTTTAATGTATATAATACTTTTTGAAACACTTTGAATAATAACTCGAATAGCACGTCGTTAACAACAATGTGCGAGGTAAATAAATTGTAATAGACAACAAAAAAAGGCAAGACTCTATTCTTTACTTTAGATATACAAGGTTGTTTTTAATTAACTGTAAGTCTTCTACCATTCTGATTTGTGCCAGAATTCCTGCAACCTCTTACAATTACAGGAAGTAAATTTTGAACAATAACTCGATTCTTTATTGGAGACAAACTGAGTTTGATGCTTAGATAAACTAATATCTTAATTTATCTATATGTTCGTGAACGATGAAGTTCGCTTTGATGTAAGTAAAGATGGACAGGTTTAGGTACGTCGTTATTACGTTATTCGATACGATTATACAGTATCGGCTATTAAACGTTTTCCAATACGCTTCTAACAATAATGTTATGATATTCCTAATACGACCCTGTGCCTGTGTACGCACGCGGCCTTCACATGACAACCAACTCGCGATCGAAGCAATGCTGCACAACAAACGCGCACCTTCAGCCGAAACCGACATCACCTTTGTGAGAGAGCCGGTAAAGATGACTCTGCGTACATTCATATCTGGTCTAGGACAGCGCCCTGCTTGTGACGTATAATCCATCGCATGTGTCCATCTCTTGCTAAGCGATATTGTCATTGTTCTTGTTTTTCGCATCATAATGAGAGAGAAAATAACAGAGGCACACATTTACTGTGAAAACTGCATAGGGTTGGCATTAAAGCAAGCAGGAGCCGAATAATATCGGCGTTGCCAGTTTGTAACGATGGCCAGGCGTTATGAACTGGCATCGCTGGTATTATTCGTTTCTTGCTTGATCTAATGCTGGTTCTTTTTAGTTTTTTCACGCACTTACGGCAAGAGGTATTATAGAAGGTATTTGTGTATCTGTAACGTCTGGAGGGTGGGTTGACCCACGGCACTTAGTCCTCACTAGGCATAAAATCAACATAAATATTGTTTAAACGTTATATTAAACAAAAATAGAGAGATAAATAAATACAATAAAACAAAGAGTTTCTCAAACATTGTCATCTAAAATAAAAATAAACCTATAAATAGAATTTTAAAATATATTTCTAAATAAAAAATTAAAAGCAAACCCTATTGTAAAACTAATAGACTTTCGCTAATACACATATGAACTCTAAATGTTGCATTGTTGCAATATTTTCATAATACGCTGCGCATTCACCAATAACCGAGTAGTGTTATCTCCCCTTAACCCCCCCAGAAAACAACCATAGCTACGCCACAGCATCCACCCATCCACCGCGCTTGGTTGCTGTGAGCTGACTGTATACACAATAAGTAGTTGGTCTCAAAATAAAAAAAGAAGAAAAACGAAATAAAACGTATTTTGAGGTTATTGAAATAGTGCACGGTGTTTCGTTTGTATGTAAACATTGAAGAATATTTAATATTATTTACTGGATAATACATACGCAAAATAATATATTTATATTGTGGCATATATAATAGAATATTTAAAAATTTAATTTAAAATCTGTAGGTACACTAAAATAGAGACTGTAAGATAATTTGTAAGCTTCAGTTTTTGAATTATGGATGCAGATTTATATGACGAATTTGGTAATTATATTGGCCCTGAATTAGATAGCGATGATGATGAAGAAGAAACTCAGGAACAGGAAGATGAAGATGAACAACAGGAATATGATGTATGTACTTATTAAAATTACTAAATCTGGGTCCATTTATCTTTAATGATTGAAAACATGTTTAGGTTTTAATTTTATGCAAGATTTTTATACAAAAAAATAGGTCCTTGGGGCTTTTTATAGTGGTGTAGGAAACTTGTTCAAAATATAGACTTGCCTTTACTTCACAGTCTTCATCTTTAGATTGTCTAAATAATACAACTGCATAAAGGAGGACCATCAGACGATTTCTATAAGAAATCCTTTGATCGTTATAAGTGAGGTTTCATCCACTTCAATCGTAATTTCGGTGCATACATACCAATTTTACAAATGCACAACTTTCAGTCTGCATCTGTGAAAAATGGTGTCTACATCATTAAGTTTAATTAAGTTCTGGGTTGCTAAAAGAAAGGTTTGCATTGAAAGGCTTATTAGAATAATATGACAAACCACAGTGTTAATTTATTGAGAAAACACGTCTATAAAGGTTAAAATAAACTTCTAAAACTACTAAAGCTTTGTTAAAATGCAATAACTTAGTTTATCGGCTGATGATGGTATTTTTTGAGAATTTACATTTGGTTTATATCTTTTGTAACTTTATTTTTTATTGCCTTGAAGTAAAAATTGCCTTAATTTTAAAAAGTGTGACTTATCATGTTTTTATAATAAGCCCTTCAATTGATTAGGGTATGAGTAAAAATTTGTTAGGTTAGCTAGTTTATTTACACCAAAAATAGAGATACATTTTCTCCTGTCAAAAGTGCAAATCACAATTTATTTTATCAAGTGAAAAATACAAGTGATTCTAATTTTCTAATAATAGATCCCAAATTTGCAAAAATCTGAATAAGTGATAATTTTCTTTAGGATGAACAAATGGAAGATGAATCACAGCCTATGGCTATAGTTTTACATGAAGATAAACAGTATTATCCATCAGCTCTGCAAGTCTATGGACCTGATGTTGAAACTATAGTCCAAGAGGAGGACGCACAGGCTTTAGATGTTCCTTTAATAGAACCTGTTAAAAAGAAAAAGTTTCAGTTGAAAGAACAAGATTTGCCAGATACAGTTTACAGTATGGAGTAAGTACCTACCTTCATGGTATTCATCTTATTTATTGTATTTCTGTTTATTTGTTGTTATCAATTATGTACTATATTTATTTCTATACAAATAAACATTGTTATTATATTTAATTATTAATAAAGTTTTTCAAGGTATATCTATCTATCTATCTATCTATTCCTAGTTCTTGATCCAACATTAAATTTTTTTTGTCTAAAGTTGTTTGGGTCAACAACTCCTTGAAACTTACAGTTAGGGTTATTTTTAGGTTTTTGGCAGATATGATGGATAATACTTCTCTTATAAGAAACGTTGCTCTAGTAGGACACCTTCATCACGGCAAAACATCATTTGTTGATTGTTTGATAAGACAAACTCATCCAATATACCAGGATAATGAAGAAAAGAATCTTAGATATACAGATATTCTTTTTACAGAACAAGAAAGAGGTTGTTCAATTAAATCTATTCCAGTTACTTTATTACTTCAGGATATAAAAAATAAAAGTTATCTCATGAATATATTTGATACTCCAGGTACACTTTCATTCAGTTTTAGTAACCACAAAATGGTTTTTAACATATTACTTTTTTAGGTCATGTAAATTTTTCTGATGAAGTAACAGCTGCAATGAGACTGTGCGATGGAGTTGTTCTATTTGTAGATGCTGCTGAAGGTGTAATGTTAAATACCGAAAGGCTTTTGAAGCATGCCGTCCAAGAACAATTGCAGATTACCATTTGCATAAACAAAATAGATCGTCTTGTTATGGAACTCAAGTTGCCTCCTCAAGATGCTTACTATAAGTTGAGGCACATTGTTGAAGAAATCAATGGTCTTTTAACGTAAATATATTATCATTGTCACATGAACATTTCAAACTACCATTATTTTTATTTTGGTCATTTTACAAGCTTCAATCGATTATCTTGAGATAAGAACTGAATTCTTTTAAGTCACTAGGTTATGACATATTAGACACACTAAGGTAGCTGCACCAATAATTGACACTATTAGACACTGATTTGTATTAAATAATTATTTTCACCAATAACAAAAAAAAATTTAAGCATATAATACGATTTTTTCTTGTAGCTTATAGTTTCTTGAGTTCATTAGTTATGTATTTTTAGTTCTAATAATTTTGCTTTTCATGAAATAAATATTATAAAAAAAGTGTTTTGAAGTACCAGTTCATTGACACTTATTTTTTTCATGTACCAATCTTAGATAATATAATAGCAGATAGGCCACCACTGCATAAAGTTATACAATATTAATCTCGCTATCATATAATCAGTATCTCTCTTTCTAATGAAGGCTTTCTCACTCGTTTTAGAATTCTCAGCAGTAGCGTACCGTAAAACAATTTCGCTGGGTTAATGTTTTAAAAGGTAGGTAGGTGCATTTTTAATTAAGTGAAAACAAAATATGACTTTTTTGTTATGAATATAATATTAATAACAATTACTTTTAACACCACAACACGAACAAATTTAAATTAAACAGTGGAATAATTGTCTGAGAAAAGCTTTGTAAAACTGACAAATACAAACAAAGAGATAGAGATATTAATCTATTTCTCTCTAATTAGAATTCTCGACCATATTATCATGGCGACACAAACATTGTTTACTGTCCTCTCTTTACTACTTACTTACTCTGAGGTACCAATATAATTGACAAACCAATTATTGACACAAATTAAGGAACATTTTTTTATTATACTTTTAATTTTGAATACTCTAAGTAAATAAAAATAAACAGCAAATTCATAACACAAAAAATAAAAAAAAAAAATGAAAATTTATGGGTGCTTTAGGCTTCAAAAATATAAAATACATATTTTATTCTGTCGCCGACATTGTGTAGTTCCGGTTGGGATAACTTTTTTATGATATCCTCTATCTTGATTGTTGAAATAATACTATCAACAAGTTTGAAGGTATTCGTTTCATTTGTTGATTTAAGGGATATAACTTCAATATCGTTTCGGGAATATTTCTTCTAAATCACACAGATATACCTATAAAAAAGTTGTTTTTTTCTTCCTAATAATTTCGCTAAAATAAAATCTACATGGATATCGTTGTATTTGATTGGTATTTCGTATCTCTTCTTCATTTTCTAAATTGATACTGACATCATCAATACTGTCTCCACTTTCTATTCATTCTTCGTTTTCGGATAAATTGTCAGAACTTTCCCTCTTTACTGACTTAGCCTTGTTTTGTATTTTTATAATTTTTTCTTCCCTTTTTCGCTTCTGCCCGGTTTTGTTGTTCTTCTTGTTTTCTCTTTTTCTCAGAATCCTTTTTTATGTGATATTTTTGATAAATTTCTGACGTAATAGCACAAGGAATTTGCTCTTTATTCTTTTTTTGTGTTTTTTACTTCTTCTACGGCCAAAACAAGGCTTTTTTAAATGGAGTGGGATCTAGTTTCTTTAAAGATAATACATTGAATGGCGTTATATTTTCCAATGAATTTAAAGGAGATCTATCACTTTGTGATACAGTAGGAGGTGTAATATTGACATCAGAATGTATAACAATTTTGAATGGGGTCATATCAGGTCTCGAGTTGTCTAATATGTAATTTTCTTTCTTGTTGCAATTTTGGTTTTCACTTTTATTTATGTTTTCTAATGGTTCAACACCTAAAGCGGATTCTATTTTAATTTTTTTTTTCATTGTGTTCCATACATTAAATAGTGACACGTCTTCCATATTACCTGTCCATGCAGTATCAAAATTTGTTCGAAAGTTTTTTAATTTTTCTGAAGGAATAAATTTTTCCAAAACTGCCAACCCTTTTATTATTTTTAAAAATTTTACATTTTCTACGGCGAAAGTCCACATGCCCTAAATCCATGTTGAATTGTTTTATCTGTAACTTTGGATAACGCTTCCTCAAACACTTTTCCGAAATTTTCTTTTCGCAATATTTTTCCGTGATTTTCGATGTGCCAATCTCTTACAGATTTTTTCCAAAATTGTTTTAGCTGCTTGAATACAGCCACATACATAGGTTGAATTAAATGTGTAGAGTTTGGATATAATGCAAAAAGTTCTATTCCGTTTTTTGAACAAAACTTTGATATGTGTAATGTCATGTGCGACACATGGCCGTCAATAAACATAATAATAGGTCTTTCAATTTTTTTCTCATCTGGCCATGGTACAAACACATTTGTTATGTATTCAAAAAAAGTTGCTCCACACATCCATCCACTTTCGGAACGGCCTATTCCCCAATTTTTATTGATACTGACAGCTACATGACTTGGAATGCATTCATATTTAAACACCACCATGGGAGGAGCTAGTGTCCCAGCGGCATTGGCGGTGACTAATACAGTTAAATTTTCTTTCTCGTCGTTGGTTCCAGCATTGTACACGCTTTTATCCCCTTTTCGTGCAAGGACTTTATCACCTTTTGGTTGAAGAAAAAAGCACTCTCATCAGAGTTGAATACTCTGGGAGGATCCTCCGTTGCGGCAAATAAATTTTTTCACTGCAAGTATTCTTTCACTTCCCGAAACCATTGTCGCAATTGTTGTTCAGTAACTTTTTCGCGGGCTGGTGTTAAATTTTGTGCAACTCTTTCGCTTAAATTTTGATGCCTTTTCAAAAACGACTCGTATCATTTTCGACCTGGTCTCGAATCAGTGAAAGGGTTTGGTCGTTTACTTTCTTTAACGATAAACTGGACACTGTCTAGTAATTGCTCTTTGCCTACTGGATGGTGCACTTTTGCTAGAGAAAGTATCCACTGCTCGACAAGAGTTTCTTCATTGCTTGTGAGGATGGTACTTGGTCCCATTCGGCAATGTATAGGTAGCTTTTCTGTTGATTTATAAAGTAACGTTGTTCGTGGAACAAAGTAAGTTTTAGCAGCTGTAGCTACTGGCATCCCTCTTGCTATAGCAGCAAGAGCTTCATCCAACTGAGCCTCTGTATAATTTTTTTTAGGTGCCATAACTGTAATAAAAAACGTGTTCCAGTTATTGACACTTCTTGTACCAATAATTGACACCCCTGTCAATGACTGGAACCAAAAGGCTGTTAGATCTCATATTTAAATGGTATATTGCAGACTTTTTAGACAGTATGACAACAGTGTATATCAGTATATGCTTGTGGACCAGTGATTGACAGGGTATGTCAATAACTGGAACATACTGGTTTTGTTTGTTCCAATTATTGACAAAAATGAGGTTTTAGGATTTACTTGCATAAAAATCAGTGAAAACCCATCAGTGTTGTTTAATACACCCCCAGGAATAGTTTAAATAAATTTAACATGAAGTGATAAGTAGATATATTCAATTTGATATACTGACCTTATGAAATGTCTTAACACTTTATCACTGCACGTGCTCTTTTCACCATTTTGTAACTGACCATGGTGCCACCTAACATCTGTTACGAAGACTCCACGGTTGCCAAATATTCTAAAAATACCGATGTTTAAGATAAATTTCTCATATATAGTCTAATGTTCTTATTTTTGAAGAACAATTGAGCAAGTGTCAATTACTGGAACACTGTCAATTATTAGTGCACTTACCTTATTGTCCTAGCAGCAATTCTACTGGTGGAAACTTTACGGTTTAGTACAACAGTGTAGGCTTCTGTGAGTCTCTTGAATTGTTGGAGCATCGATGGTACAAGTTTATTAGGATTAGGGCAGAAATTAAGTAATTTTCTGCCTTTTATTTAACAAATATGCCAGTGGTGATTAATCGTTTGTCTGCATTAAATGAAGACAATGGAATTTTGAAATCTACAACCAGAAGCAGTAGCAATGTATATAATCTTCAAAATATTGTTTAAGGTTATACTCCGATGATGCTAATCCCCATATAGTGTCACCTGTCTTGGGCAATGTCTGTTTCGCCAGTTCACAGTATGGCATATGCTTTACTTTGAAATCTTTTGCTAACATTTATAATTTGTACTATGGAGATGTAAATATTGATGAATTTTCCAAGAGATTATGGGGGGATATTTATTTCAATAGTAAGACGTAAGTAATTTGAATAGTTATTAAATAGTTTTCATTAATTAGTTTTTAATTTATAGGAGAAAGTTTACAAAGAAAGCCCCTCACAATTCTGCTCAGCGAAGTTTTGTTGAGTTCATTTTAGAACCTTTGTATAAGATATTTGCGCAAGTGTTAGGTGATGTAGATAGTACATTACCAGAAGTATTAGAGGAACTGGGAATAAAGTTGACCAAAAATGAAATGAAATTAAATATAAGACCGCTATTAAGACTCGTATGTGGGAAGTTTTTGGGAGATTTCAGTGGTTAGTTTAATAAAATGCAATAATTTGAAGTGATACTGAATATATTAAAATTTTAGGCTTTGTTAATATGTGCGTAGAACATATAAAATCTCCTTTAGATAATGCAACGAATAAAGCTAATCATATTTACACTGGACCCAACACAACCAAAGTATATGATGATATGGTAAATTGTGATCAAGAAGGAATCTTAATGGTAAATATTTCAATTTTTTCCAATGGTTTTCCGAATAGAAGGAAAATTTAATTTTGCAATATTGGGCGTCCCAACAAGAGCCAAAAATTTAAATTTTAATTTAATCGTAAAAAAGTTGAAGGTATGGAAATTGCGAGTATGTATGGAACAACACATTTGGTAAATGTCCTTCTCAGCTTTGAGGTACATGTAAACTTTTAGGGGTTTGGCCTCCTTTTCATTTATTGGCTTAGGCCTATACGGGTGTGAACTTTAGTTATGTACCTGGAGATAAATTTCTTGTTCAGGAAAATTAAACACTGATGAATGGTATATTGATTTAATTCACTTGTTACGAACAATTAAACATTTACGTAGGTACATATAAAGGGTAGGGTATCCCATTCATTAGTGCATAATTGCTTGATAATTCAATTTGAGTTATAGACACCCAAACACGTTTCAAACAAAAGTTATATGGATTTGAAAAATGCACACTTTAAAAATATACAGGGTATTACACTTTTGCCTGGCAAAAAAATGTATATTATTACCATCCACTGCTCCCTGCTGATTGGAAGGAAACCCTTCTTTCTGTGACGACGATTGAGAAGATAGGTATTCAAAGTCACAGAACACTGCAAAACTAAAAAATCTGCAAAACAATGGGGTTAAGGGGAGGGAGGGTAATTTTATAATTCATTCCACTACTTTATCTCTTATAAATTTGTTCAAAGTAGTATTTTTAATTGACCATCCATTATTAACACTCAAATCATCAATTTTGATGAAGAATATTTCCATATAAACAAACTTTTCAGGTACACAGTACTAAAATGTATCCAACTGAAGACTGCACATTTTTCCAAGTTCTTGGCAGAGTATTGAGTGGGACCTTACATGCCGGCACTGACGTGAAAATTTTAGGAGAAAATTACACTGTACAAGATGAAGAAGATTCTAGAATTTTGACTATAGGAAGATTGTGGATATATGAATCTAGGTAAGTGTAAATTATTGTTTAATAATTCATAGCACCCTTCTATTATCAGAATTTAGGGCAGTGTTGTCTGAGTAAAGGATATATGGGGGTCACTGATATGTATGGAAATGGTCGATTTATCTTCTAAATTAAGATAAAAAGTTATGACAAAAAAAAGTTGCTTTTTCAATTCATCTCAACTTCTAAACAAAATTCTATAGTTCATCACTTATGGAATAATATATATGGCATTTCATTAAAGAAAAAGCAACTTTGTGTTGTCTTTTTTGTGACTTTTTGACTGACCCTGTATACTTAATTTGTTAGAAATGGGTTACTTCGGGGGTGGTCCTATATAAATTGGGTCCATGAGAAAATCCTTAAACTCTTAATTTTTTATGTATGTTTAGCGATAATTCTTTACCACCTTGTCCGATTTCTATGATTCTTTTTTTGTTAGTAAGGGGGTACCTCAGGGGTGGTCCCATATAAATTTGGTCAAAATTTAATAATTGGGTCCTTGGGAAAATCCTCAAACACTTCATTTTTTATGTATGTTTAGCGATAATTCTTTACCACTTTGTCCGATTTCTATGATTCTTTTTTTGTTAGTAAGGGGGTACCTCAGGGGTGGTCCCATATAAATTTGGTCAAAATCTAATAATTGAGTCCATGAGAAAATCCTCAAACTCTTCATTTTGTATGCATATTTAGTGATAATTCTTTACTACCTTGTCCGATTTCTATGATTCTTTTTTGTTAGTAAGGGGGTACCTCAGGGGTGGTCCCATATAATCATTTTGTATGCATATTTAGTGATAATTCTTTACTACCTTGTCCGATTTCTATGATTCTTTTTTGTTAGTAAGGGGGTACCTCAGGGGTGGTCCCATATAAATTTGGTTAAGACATGGTGATGGCATCGGCACGGTTTTTTAAAATTACTTTTAAACAAATTGTTTCCATATTAAAAAAAAAACACTTTTTAGATACAAAGTCGAACTAAACAGGGTACCTGCAGGTAACTGGGTACTAATCGAAGGTATTGACCAATCGATTGTTAAAACTGCCACAATTACTGACATAACTGCAACAGAAGAATTGTATATATTTAGACCACTTAAATTCAATACCCAGAGTATAATTAAAATAGCTGTAGAACCAGTTAATCCATCAGAACTTCCTAAAATGTTGGACGGACTCCGAAAAGTTAATAAATCTTATCCATTATTGACAACAAGAGTAGAAGAAAGTGGCGAGCACGTTGTGTTAGGAACAGGAGAGTTATACTTGGATTGTGTTATGCATGATCTAAGAAAAATGTATTCCGAAATTGATATTAAAGGTAGGTAAAACTATTTTTTTTTTATGCCTAAAACTATACTAGATTTATTTTATAGTTGCAGATCCTGTAGTAGCTTTTTGCGAAACCGTAGTAGAAACATCAAGTTTAAAATGTTTTGCAGAAACTCCCAACAAGAAGAATAAGCTAACGATGATAGCTGAACCTTTAGAAAAAGGACTAGCTGAAGATATAGAAAATGAAAACGTACAAATTGGTTGGAATAAAAAGAAATTGGGAGAGTTTTTCCAGACAAAGTATGATTGGGATTTGCTGGCTGCAAGAAGTATTTGGGCATTTGGACCTGACACTACAGGTAATAACATCTCTCCCACATATATTTTAGGATATGCAAACATTGGTATTTTCATCTCTTATTAATGTTTACAATTTTTTGTTTAGGACCCAACATTCTTGTAGACGACACTCTTCCGTCTGAAGTCGATAAAGGACTTCTCAGTTCTGTAAAAGATTCGATTGTGCAAGGTTTTCAATGGGGAACAAGAGAGGGTCCTCTTTGCGAAGAACCAATTCGGAATACTAAATTTAAGATTCTCGATGCTGTCATAGCGAATGAACCATTACACAGAGGTGGAGGACAAATTATTCCTACAGCTAGAAGAGTAGTATACTCTGCCTTCCTCATGGCTACTCCTAGATTGATGGAACCTTATTTGTTCGTCGAGGTACAAGCACCTGCTGATTGTGTGTCAGCTGTTTATACTGTTTTGGCTAAACGACGGTAAGATGTTGTACGAAAAAACTTCAGATGTATCATCAAACTTGAAATTATGACGGATTTGTTCTAATTAGTTATGAAAGTTGGTGGGAAAATAAATTAAAATTGAAAGATCTTAATCGACTATATCCACAACACCCTGCCCTTTCTGTTGATATTTCCATTAAGACTACTCTAAAGACATTATCTCCATCATGTTCTAAAGAATATAATTTTAAAAAAGCTCATGTGTTTGATTTTATAATATGTTTTCTTTTGTAGTGGTCATGTTACTCAAGATGCACCTGTACCTGGTTCTCCTCTCTACACAATCAAAGCCTTTATTCCTGCGATTGACAGTTTTGGATTCGAAACTGACTTAAGGACACATACGCAGGGTCAAGCTTTCTGTTTGTCGGTATTTCATCATTGGCAGGTAAATGTTATTAGCGAATTAATTATAGAGTTATTAGTCAAGTCAGAATTTTTTTATTGTTGAAGAATTAATTACATTCTAGTTAAAAAGAAAAAAAAATTTTTGGTTGTTTTAAAAGTTTTTGAAATTTTAATGTCGAGATATAAAATGTAAAAAACAAAAATGCACATAAACAACACCAAATACAAATATGACAATCGGAAAATATATATTATAATACACATAAATTAAAATGAACTACTCTTGTACTGAATTCAACCAATCACAGAAAAATTCATTTGATCTGATTTCTAGTTCATCTTTATTCTTGTTAAATATTCTTATTTTGTAGATCGTTCCTGGTGATCCTTTGGACAAAACCATTGTGATCAGACCTCTTGAACCACAACCTGCCACCCACTTGGCTAGAGAATTCATGATAAAAACGAGAAGGAGGAAGGGTCTTAGTCAGGACGTATCGATCAACAAATTCTTCGACGATCCTATGTTGTTGGAGTTGGCCAGACAGGATGTTATGTTGAATTATCCTCTTTTGTAAATAATTTAAAATTAATTTTAAATAAAAATAGAACTTCTTTGTTATATAACAAATTAGCGGTTTTTATTTGAAATTTTTCTGTATATAAGAAAAAGAAGCTGTATTGCAATAGTTGGAAACATGAGTGATTTATTCTGGCTTTAGTTACCTATAGTCCAAATAACTTAAAATTATGACGGATTTGTTCTAATTGGTTATGAAAATTGGTGGGAAAATAAATTAAAATAGGTATTGATAGATCTTAATCGAAAAGTTAAAAATAATGTGGCTTGAAAAGGAACAAAATATCGATTGTGGCAATGTTTTTAGAAAATAGAGTACCCCTCAGCGTTCACCTTTCATGGCGCGTGACAAAGAGCGATTTATGAGAAACAAGCATGACTGTCTAATTCTAAAGCGTTCGATTTAATTGATCACGAACTTTTGTGAGCAAAACTTCAGTACTATGGATGTAGTGATATTGTTTTATCTTTTTTCAAATCCTATTTGTGGAATCGTACTCAGAAGGTAGTGATTGCTAATAACTTCTCGGAATCAAAAATCATTATTCAGGCGTCCTCCAGGAATCCACCGTGGGTCCTTTATTATTCTTAGTATGCATCTCTGACTTATCAAAAGTACTTTACACTGATAACACCCAGTTATTTAATTTTATGATCCCCAAAATATACACAATGCTAACAATCTGATTAATATAGATTTGCAGTTTCTATTACAATATTCAAAAGAACACAATCTTATTATTGTGACGAAAGTCTAATTTATTTGAAGTTTATTTATTTAAAAACACACTATTTACAATTTATTTCAGACGTACTATTTAATTTATATAATATTTAAACACCAACTAACAATTCTAATTTATTTCTTACATTTTAACTTTTTCAATACAATGTTCTGTATTAAACTAAACTCGGCGTTGATACGTCGGCTATTTATATTAGTCCAACTCCGCTACTGGAAAATGCTAGAGACTCGCGAAGATTCAACCCCTATGACTAATCGGCACTCCCCGCCGTTCCAGTTGCTTCCAGTGCATCAGCGGCAGACATTCCATCGTATTCTTGTACATTCGAGACGCGGGCCGGCTGTTTCCACAAGTCAGCGTTGCTTCGATCACGAGTCGGTTGCGTGCGTACACAGGGTACGCTTTAAGAATTTTCATGACATTATCAATCCTTTAAAAACTACTGCTGTTCTATTTTGCAGTGAAGCCAAACGTGTTGTTATTGAGAGATCAATGAGACTCGAGTTGGATGATGTTAGTATAACTTTAAATAACGAATCAAAAAATTTGGGTCTACTTATTGATCAGTCTCTTAGATTTAAGAGTCATATTAAGACCTTGATCAAGAGATGCTACTCAAAATTGCGGTTGCTTTACATTACTAGGCATATATTGAACTTTAAAATGAAAAAAAAAAAAAAACTTTGTGAATATTTAGTTATTGCAATATGGTTTACTATCCTTGTCTGGACAAATTGTCACAGAGCCAATTACAGCTTATACAAAATGCTTGTTGCAGATACATTTTTGGTTTGAGGAAATTTTATTTCGCTCAGCTGAAATGGCTCAAAGTTGACAAGCTATTTCAACTAAATCTTTTAATATTTTTACATAGACTATTAAAGACAAGGAACTCTGCCTATTTGTTCATAATGTTATAATGCCTCATCATTCCACTGCAAAGTTTGAAAGAGGTTTCACTTAAAATGCTGTTAAAATGTATAAGCAGTTTTATTTTCTAAATTGGAACGAATCATTGCATATCTTTAGACGTGAGATTAAAAAGTATTTTTTGGCTAAGCAATAATCTGTTTTGATTAGGTTTCTCATTATATATTTTTTTCTATATTTAAATTCTTGTTTTTTGTAATTATTTATATGTATATTTGTTATTAATACTATAAGAATACAGATCATTATGTAAATAGTATGCTATTATGTCAACTAGGAAGGTTAAGGGTTAAGAGTAGCTGTATAGCTAACCTTTGCCTCCCTGGTGCAAATGTATGTATGCAATTGTTCTGATAAAGACGTATTATTATTTATTATTATTATAAGCTTCCTCCCTTCCTGAAGGGCTATGACTTCCACCGCAGACTATCTTTAGTGACAAACAACACTTGGTAGCCCTTATAATTATTATTGTAAAAATCAATAAGGTGATGAAACAACGAGAACTACATTTGAAACATTTATTAAATTTGTACTTATTGTCAAAGATCATACACTATAAGGACACAATGTTCATATTACGTAATATCTAGATTATTAGCTCACTGGATTTGAAACGCATTTAAATACGTTTTCGTTCCAATAAGCTAACGTTCGTTCTGAGTAACACACAGTCTTACATTCTTAAATAAAAACAAAAAAAGGATTTTAGCGGAATTTATTTTTCGTACACACCAAAAAATAACTTAAAAATATATTAGACGGTAGTCTTTCAACTATTTCATGAAAAACTCAAAATCACAGGCTACTTAAAATATCCGTCGTAATGATGAGCAAAAGTATAGTTTTATGAATATATTTCATGAAAAAAAAAAAAATAATAAAACTTACATTGTAACCCTGGTTAAAGTGTAACCTAAAACTGCCTGGGATTCTAGAAACAGATAATCGGATTTGCTAAGACTTCGACTTTACATTTCATAAAAAATATTCTATGCTGCACTAATTGATATTCGAAAGCCTGTTCATTTATAATCATGTAATCCCATTTTACAGCAAGCAACTTTTCACGTGGAAACATGCAGCTTAGCGTTTATATAGCAACGATTCTATGCAAGCATATGTTTGTTTTTGGGTCATTTAATTTAATATTTAAATTCTGTTAAATATTTAACAACATATTTACAAATTTAAAACTATAATGCTGCGTTTTGATCGGGTATACATGTGGAAAACAATAAATAATTTACACTACGGGGTCGAATGGGCTAACATCACATCAAGTATATATTTATTAAAGTGAAAATTGTAGTTGCTTTCTTTAAATAGGGCATGATACTCTGGCTCGGTGAGATTCCCAATAAATGTACAACAAAATGAACATGCAATCACGATAATTATTAACTGTACAATTTATCTATTTTAATTCATACTTCATTAATCTAAGCTTTTGAATCTGCGTGAATTCATAGAATCCCCTTAAATCGTGCAGAGTATCTTAAAAAGAGATTAAAAAAATGTTTTTTGCGATAGGCTTGTGCTGTTTAAACAACTGGCTGCTTATATGCGTTTACTTTTATTTACCTTTTAATTTAATTACAGATGTTTCGTTTCAAGATACCCTGCATATACTATATCTTAGTTTTAATAAATTAAAAACAATAAATTACAATACTCTTACTAATACCTCGAGTTAATACGGTTTTTTTTTTATTTTTCATTATCGAATACATCAGTTCCCTAATTGACATTCAATTATTTTCGCGCAGGTTTATTTTTTAGTTAATACACTTTTCGTAGGTAGCATTGAAATATATTTCCTTACAATCAACAGTCTATCTATTTTAATTAAAAAAAGAGTGTAGTCAAAGAGTATTAAAATTCTAAAAATCTATTAAATATCATTTTTATTGAGATTAAAAAAAAAACAACGAAAAAATCGACCTGCACTCAAAAAATAACCTTAATTTAGGCCTTGCGTCCCATTAGCTTAAACTAGGTGACTATGAGGAATATTCACGCAGATATTTTCTGGAAACCGTGTAGCTTATCAGTTGGGTTTGTCGTTTTTTCTACTTATCTACAAAGAGTAAGTCTTCAACTAAGGATAAACCTTTTTCAGTATGTTCATGGGGGACTGCATTCAAAATCTGTAAACAAAATTAAATATTAAGAGCAAACATGACGGGTGCTCCTCTGCCAAAAATCAATTTTACAGTTGAGGCAGTTAAAAAAAATTGTAAAAAAATGATTCAAGCCAATCGTTCTAAAAATGAACCGAGAATGACGCTAAATCGCGAAAAACTTATATTTTTAAAGAAAAACAACAAAAATTTTAACTTTTTAACAAATTAAATTTTTTGGCTCTTTAGCATCATTCTATAACAAATATCTTAACTAATTTCTAAATAACTTTTTTTTTTTTAAAAGATTACCAATTTTAAACAGGACGAAAGATTAACATAGTTTTCATTCCGATACTAATTCTATTAAAACAATGATACCAGTGAATATGGCAACGCTGCTAGTCTATGTAGCCCGTGGTTAAAAGGGTAACTGCTGTTTAGTTAAATTTATTAATTCCTGTGTCGAAAAATAGGTAGTTGTTTTTAAAGAGGTGCGAAGTTATTGTGATCGTCTTAGTTTGTTGTTGAGGCGTTGTTAGGTTTTTGTTTAATTTAGTTTTTAGCTAATTTATGAAATGAACAATTCTGGAAGGCAAAAATGCTACCACAGCTGACAAATTTATATTTTAATTGTTTGCTGCCAGAGTTAGTAAATCCTAGAGAAATACGACATGTGCCAATTACGGAAAAGAGATTGTCAAGAATTTCGCCCGCTTAAAAAAATGTGTAATATGCAGGGTAGATATGTCAAATTATCGCAGCAATGTTGCACTTTCGATCTTCTTGATGAAACTGATTTTTAGTATGTCAAATATAGCCTATATACTATACAGAAAATATAGATCAGTGGTTAGGCCACTCGAATGGGAATAATTTAAACCATTCTCAAACTGCATAAAATATATTTAAACCAGTCGACCGCTCGAATATGGTTTAAGATTTCTTCTTTTCTTTAGAAGCTTGTTGTTATTGTTTAATGTAATTTTCACTTTATTAAATAGTGTAAGAATGTAGATTAGACGTACTTTTTATATGGGAACGTAATTTCCTTTGGGTGTGTAAAATAGTTGTCCTCGGGACAAGCGTCTAAAAATTTCCCTAGCAAGCAAACTCTTTTCCTTTTTGATTTTTTGTAAAACACCTTTATTTTCGTGAGCTCTTCTAGACAAATACGGGAGAACTTCGTTTACAGGGCCGTACGGGATGTATTTGTACGATGAATAACCAGATTGACCTGTAACAATAAAAAAAATTCGAATCAATAAGACAAACAATCAAAATTTTTATGAATTTACTCATGCACAGTAATTATTTAGAACCGGGGGACCACGCTTTAAATTGTAATTCATAGGATGCTTGATTTAGGTGTACCGGAAGTTGATTCATCAAGAAATTCATAGTCGATTGCTTATTGATTGAAAAGTGTGTTGATAAAAAACAGTAATTTGAAAGACAAACAGTGTGGTGGTGTGACCCAGTAGGGACGCCTATGTGTCTGAGCAGTGCACGACGAACGCTAATAGCGCAAGTGCGAGTGCAGCGAAGGACGGAATCTGGTCAGTCGAGCTTGGACCATGGAGTGGTCAATGTCAACGCTCGACATCAATTACGAACTTTATTTTTTATGTTTACGTAAAGTTGCCATCACGGCATTGTAGTTTTTGTTCAAATAAAAAGTTGTTTGTGTCTTAAGTTTTCTGGTCCTTGGAAAACCCACATCCCACTTCAACAGACAGACATTGGCACGTTAATATAGTAGGCCGTAATCTTTGACATCTCAATTTCGTTCATTTAAATTTTCGACCAAATTCTATATCTTGGGATCCACAAAAGTAGGTACCATGATTTTGGTGTCATTTTGCTTCTCTAAGTGTCCCTAGCTTGTATTGGAGGGCACACTTTTTTGAATAAGATGAGTATACCAATAACATAACGTTTCAATGAATGTCAGAACTGTTAAAATTCGTAGGTATATTTCTAGTACATTAAATTTGTTGGAAATGCATTTCCAACATATTGTATCAGATCATAAGGCTAGCCCTGCATAATAAATTTCGAGAATCAACTATTGTAACCGTAATGCTTAGCGTTCTTGCACTATATTCGACAAGAAACAATTTCAAGACTATTATTAATTTTTAGCCAATCAAAATACGACACACATACGGACGCACGACGTCACAAAGATGCAACAGTTTCCTCATTTTAATTTACTCCCGGAAATGACCGATACTTTCAAAAAAATGTAATTGCACAATACACAAAATTTCATGTAATTATTGATCAACGTTATTGTGACAAGTTACTAGGCCGGAAAAGTGTTACTGTCTCAAAGAAAAAGCGACCCCGAGCAGGAACTTTGTGGACAGTTGCCGAAAAAATATAACTGTTCAAGTAATAGAATTGATTTAAAAAATAAATAGTATTCTATTCTTACCTAATGGGAATGTGATATAGTCACACATAGCAAATAATTGCCCAAAACATATCACTTTATCAGAAGGCTCTATGCCGAATTCTCTCATTTTCTCGATGGCAAATCTAACGGTGTCTTCATTATGGGACGCCACCATGATGGCGATCTTTTTGTCTTCCCCTTTCTGTTTGAATGCTTTGATCCTCCTCAGACATTCTGACAGAGTCATATGGTACATTTCGGTGGTTGCTTCGTAATTGGAATTCGTCGGGTCAGGGTAGTCCATCGCTGCTGCCCTAGCTCTTTCCTGTGAACATAAAGTATTAGATAATTTAAAATTATAACATAACTGAAAGATTTTTCGTTTTTATGAGAGGATTGAAAAGTCCAAACAAAAGCTTAGCTTAGCAGATTTGAAGGTGTAAAATTGGTGATTAACAATTTCTTACCTGTTCGAGGTATGCACCTCTTACAAGTTTCGCTCCAAAATAAAAGTCTTGACGTTTCGCTTGTTCTAAATCGGTAGATACCTCGGAGAATGCGTTCTTTAGGTAACATTGATAAGTGTTAAAAACTATAGCTTTTTGTTTATTGTATTTTCTCATGAATTCCAAAGTAATTCGCGTGATGGCCGGTTGGAAATACGTTTGTTCTGCGTCGACCATTACTCTGACGTCCATTTCTTCGGCTGCCTATAAATAAAATACAGGTTTGTAAAAAAATGTACGAGCCATAGGGTGTAGGGACGCCCATCTCTATTCCCAGATAGCACAGGACGTCCCATGGACGCCCTGATTTGGTCCCTTGTTGGTCTGGGATCTAAATCGGACGTCCACTGAACTTCCGATTATCGTGAACACTAGGACGTCTATGGGACTTTCTATGTACTGGCATCGTTGGTCTTTGAATCGATAACTTGAAATTCAACGTGTTGCAAGAGTAGGAGAAGGTCAGAAAACCTAACCTATCATTTAATTTCAAATAAACAACAACAGCTATAATTTTCGGCATTAAATAAATAAGAAGGTTGTATAGCGTTATTTGATATTTTTTTTTTCTATGTTAGTGGTAAAGTGGTTATAAAGTGAAATGAGTGTTTTGTGTTGAGGTGAGAATAAGTGATGTGTATTGAAGGTCTCAGATAGCACAGGACGTTCCATGGACGTCCTGATTTGGTCCCTTGTTGGTCCGGGACCTAAATGGGACGTCCACTGGACTTCCGATTATCGTGAACACTAGGACATTTTGGTCCCGTTTCGACAAAGCGTTTAGTTTTCGGTCCGAGTCCAGGATGTTAATGGGACGTCTATGGGACTTTCTATGTACTAGCATCATTGGTCTTTGAATCGATAATTTGAAATTCAACGTTTTGTTTTTGCAAAAATATAAGGAGAGAAAACCTAACCTATCATTAGGTTAATACGCTTAAAAGTGTGACGAAATTTTGGTTCCACTGAGAGTTAATTATATAATAAAAATCAGTGGGTACATAAGGGTGTAAGTATAGAACAAAATATTTATTTACTCACTTTAACGATGGTATTGAACCTCCTGATCATATTCCTAAACATCTCTTCCTCTTTGGTTGATAGTTGTGTGATTAACCTGATCATTCTGCCCGATTTGAGATCTGGTACTCGGAAGGTGGTGCTCAATTCTTGATTTTCGTCAATGATTCCAGACCACGGGAACAAATGCAGCACTCTAAAAATTGAATACCCCTAAATAAAATCGATTATTACAGTTAATTGTAGATTAATGTGACTTCTTTTGAGCCTTGTAAGAACTGAAACAATGAAGTTGTCTATTTACTATTGTAAAAAATATAACCAAAGGTATGTAATGAAATTTGATAAAAATAACATTCAGTAGTAACCTTAAAAAAATGTTACTGATATATTTGACAGACACTTAAGTTGTCATAAAAGTCATTAAGAACGGCTATTTTTATTAAATTTCTTGTTTTACCAGATCACGTGGGATACCGAGATTGCTGAAGTATCTGTATATAACGATGAAAGCTAACAGAACATCAGGAATGGTAAAATACTTTTCGAAACGCTAATTCAAACAATATGTCAATCAACGAAAGGGATAATAATCAAAGGTCATCGTTATTTATAATGTAATAATCTGTAATCTATTTTCATTTCTGGTAAAAAAAATCAAAAACTCAAATGGAGTGGTACTGCTAAACATTAACTTATCACAGGTAGAGCTCGAATTTTTTGTGAAGCGCACACTTCGTCATAATGTGCAGAAACCAATTTGAGTTTGTAGGCGTGGTTAGACAGATTTAAACGTGATCGAAGCCGCCTGCCGCTCATCACCGCTCATACAAGTTGAATTCAGTAGCGTAGTGTTACTTATTTGTACTCGTTGCATTTATTTAGCTATTTTGAGTTTTGTGCTTCGATTTTTGAGTTTCCCAATTTTTTGTGCTTTGATTTGTGTGTATATAAATTTTAATTTGTTATATTTTTTGAATTCCTAATTTTGTGTATATTTTGGTAAGTACATTTACAAAAGTTCTTAATATTAATAATCAACAAAAAAGTATTACCACAACGCAGAAAAAAAAATTAAAAAAGTCTGAGTATGATCACTGTTTTAAGGATTCGATGAACATATTATTATTTCTTGATGAAAAAACTGAACTAAAATTAAACACATTTTTTCAATACAAATTGTAAAGGAAATATTGTTCTAGAGAAATTTTAAAAGAAAATTCTAATCGAATAAAAAATAAAAGAAGAATCCTTAAAACAATGATCAATACTTTTTTGTTGATTTCATACTACAGAACTGTAGTTTAATTTACTATATAGCAACAAAAAAAAAATATCACGTAAATATCTTAAATATTAAGAACTTGGTGATAAAATATATAAAACCTACGAATTTTATCTTATCACCGAAGCACTAGCTCTTAAGTAACTTTAATTTGTATTACTATTTCAAAAATTTTCCTTGGCTAGAGGTTCGGTTTGCCCTTGATGAATAGAAAAATACGTTTAATATTATTTAAAACAAATTTTCTACAAATATCTATATTTGTAGCTCGTTCAAAATGGAACAGAAAAAATTATTAGACAAAAAGGGCCAAATTCTTCAAAGTCAAACGAAAGAAATAATTTCACGCCTCATAAATTTTATGAAAAACGAGGCTAAACACGGTATTCAAATACTATTACACAAATACAGAGACAGAATTTTAGCTGATACAAGGATTTCTAGAAGCAGTTATTCTAGAATTAAGAAGATGGCTGGTGAAGTAGAAAGTGGAGTTAGTACTTCATTTTCACAAAGAGGATATACAAAAAGAAGTACAGTTGTAGAATCTATAAGGCCTGAAGAGTTGGAAAAACTCAGAGGTATAATCCATGATTTTCATATTATTGAGAAAAGACTACCAACTCTAAATTGTAAGTTACTATTTTGATTATAATGGCCAACGTATTTAATATAAATATTATTTTAGGTATATTACAAAAAAATGAAGGATTGTTGTTTTGAATTCCGGGACAGCATCTCATCACTTAGGAAAATATTATTAAACATGGGTTTTAAGTAAGTATAAATAACGTTATCTAAAAAAATCAAAATAAAATGATACCAAAATAATTAATTTCTCATAGTCAATTTTTGTACGTATAAAATTACAATGTTTATATTTTCAGGTGGAAAAAAAAATGAAGACAACAGATCTGTTCTGTTGGAATCCTACGACATTAGGAATAAGACGACAAATTATTTAAAATCTTTAATAAATTATCGGCAAGAGGACAAAACTATTTATTATTGTGATGAGACCTATTTACATAGTAGTCAGACACATTCGAAAGGATGGACCGATGTCAAAGGCAAATTTAAAACTCCAATGAGCAAGGGGAAAAGGCTCATAATGTTGCATGCAGGGAGTAAGGATGGTTTTGTAGAAAATAGACTGTTGATATTTACTTCAGGTAATAATCTATTTTTTATAGAAAATTATTTATTATTTGCCTCTTTACCTACTTCATAAAAATTCATGATGCTTAACAATCGAAAGTTATGATCAGCCTAAATTTAATTTAAACTGTTAAAGTATCTAATTAACAAGTAATTTAAGTACTTAATGTAGTGGTTTATTTTATTATCTTCAGTTTAGTTTAAAAGATCTTTACCTATACTTAATCCTTTATTGTTATACAAGGGAAAGTTTTTAGTAATTACTTTTTCTTAGGATTATTATAATAGATTATTTTAGATTGCATGTGTTATATTGCGAGTTGTGTTGTGACTGGTGACGAAGTTGTAGCTACAAAATATATGGACAGTTTATCAGTAGTGACAAAGTGCACAGTAGCATAGGTATTTTGTTAATTTTTTACCACTAGAATCATGAGTTCACGTAAATTAAGTGGAGCTCAACGAAGGAAAATTCTTAGGGAGGAGGAAGAGAAATCTAAAGAATTGTTGAAAAAAGTTCCAAAAGCTATAGCATATACAAAGATTATCAAATAACTAAATTACATTGCGGAAAAGCTATTTTGACTCGATCAATTCGTTTGGGAGGTATTTTTACAAACTTTACAAAAAAATAAATTAGACCCAGTTAAACTCACAAAAAAAGCATTAAATTAAAAATCATAGAAAACAATAATAATAGTAAAGAAATGCACGCCAATGTATTTGTTTTTTTCTGTTGGTAGAATAATAGCAACGTTGGTGATACACCAATCTAACGACAGTGGTCGGGGCGCTATTGATGAAAACGTAACAATTGAATACATGTCCCGAACAATAATATTTCAGAAACAATGCTAAGCATGAAAAAAGGTCTTGAGCAACAATCTTAACTGCAAACTGCTTTAAAATCGATATTGTTAAGGATCATTTTTGCTTAAAAAAGTTGCCTCGACCAAAACAAGGTAGTCCATCAAAAGCTTTGTTGTTCTGAAAATGTGTAGGATGATAAAATTTGTTTTTTGATGGTTACAACCTCGTTCGGGGCAGGCATTCTTTTATTGTTGAAAAAAAAAAGTGTCAATTTTAATTTCGAAAGCTTACCCTTGTTTGTCGTAGGTAACTTGAGTAAGGAATTTGCTTAGAGATTCTTTGTCTTGAATTTTATCAAATTTGGCTTCGAGATCTTCACGTGTGACATGATGAGACAAGACGTTACCTTCTCCACCAACAATTTCAGTCATATAGTTTCTTGCCCTCATAATTACTTCTGATAATTGAAGCTGTAAAAAATGAAGTTAGAAATAAAAAAAAAAAAGTACAATGCGATAAACTTTGTACTTGTTTAAAATATAGTAGTATAAAAGAGACGGTTCGTATACAGCGATCTCAAAAAGTTTTATACAAATGGAAAAAAACTTTAGCGTTATTTCACAAAAAAAAATATTTTTGATAAGAAGTTCTTCATGACTTGGAAATTTATAATCAAGCATCAAATTCTGAAAAATGCTGAAGAGTAAACTACTTTTAAATTTCAACATAATATAAATAATTATTCAGTGGATTTTTAAAAGCTTACAACTATTCTTCATAATTATTAAAATTTCAAAATTTATCGGAGAAAAAAAGAAATTATTTATTCTGGTAAAAACAAAGTAAAACTAATATCAAAATCAGAGAAAGCACTGTGAGGAGATAGCAAGGCACTCAAAAATGTGCCAGGCTCCAAAAAATTCTCTCAAAAGACACACAACATACAATAAACACCCTTAAGAATAAACTGGGGGAGTACACAATCGCAGAGAAGGAAACCGTAAAGGAACTCTTCAGGGTTCATTTCCCTGGTACACAAACCATAACACACATACCGGCTAACCGGAATCTAAACGGACTGAAAGCTCATAATAGAGCCAAGCGCCAATAGCCAAACAAGTGGTGAACTATGGTAAATTGAAATGGGCAATTACCTCATTCGAAACATATAAATCACCGGGCATGGACGGGTTTTATCCAATAATGTTACAAAGAGGTCCTGATATTTTATACAGCAAACTCTGTAACATATTCAGAACATACCAAAAGCTTGGAGAAATATTAGGGTAACTTTTATACCAAAACCTAGCAAAATAGGACAGGAAACGGCAAAGTCCCAAAGACCAATAAGTTTTATGTCCTTTGTACTTAAGACTTTGGAAAAACTGCTAGATATGCATATTAGAGACGGGATATTGGTTCAGAGGCCAATATACCAAAATCAATACGCTTTTAGTGCAGGGAAATCAACTGAAACAGCTCTCCATCAATTAATAAAAGGGGTGGAGAACACACTGGAAAGACAATAGCGGCACGGGTAGCGAGAGGATGTCCGAAGGGTGGAGTACTGTCTCCACTCCTGTGGAACCTTGTAGTGGGCGGGCTGCTTAGGGCTCTCAAAGATAAGGGACATAGAACCCTGGGATATGACGATGATCTAGTGATCATGGCACAGCGAAAATACAACACTATAATAAGAGATCGAATGCAAGAGGCTCTAAATATAGTAACAAAATGGACGGAGGCAGAAGGACTAAACATTAGCCCAAACAAACTAGTAAAGGGACACTTGAACAAAATTGGCATGTACAATGGAGAACTCATGTGCCGACTATGTCACAAGAAACCAGAAACGGCCAAACATATACTGTGCGAATGCGAAGCTCTAGATCGCAAAAGACAGGCACTTTTTGGACAACCCCAGGTCGTACCAACAACGTATAGAACCGACTCACCCAAGGATCTGTACAAACTTGTACAAGGTACAAAGGTGACAGAGTGGATGCTATGAACTAACATGGGGTAAAACACAATAAGCCAATAGGCTTTTGTGTTATTTGGAGACATAGTCAGACGAGCTCAGGAGAGAAAAAAAATCAAATAAAATATAAATGTACACCAAAGTACGCATCTTAATGGTATGTCAAAATATGTCTCTGTCAATAAAAATTGACATGTTTTGAGATTTTTTATGACATTTCTATGATCTGAGATATTCAATGGATCCTTTTTTTTAAAACATCCCATATACAGGGTGTCCCATTGGTGCGTAATTGTTCAATATTTCAATTTGTGTTATAGACACGAAAACAAGTTTCAAAAAAAAATATCGAGCGCAGCGCCATCTACATATTGACCTATTTAAAATTAATTTATATCTAAAACTGAAGCTCTTCTAGCGCTCTATGAACTGGCTTTTACAGAATTAAAATATCTCTATTACTTACTAAAATATCCGGCCTGGGAGTTTTTATTGGTATACCCTGTATTCAAACATATTTTTTAAATAGGTATTTTTTAAATTCATATGACACAAATTGACAATTATTAGAGCGTAATTGGACTCCCTGTATAAAAAGTGATTAACAAAAATGTTTCTAACAATATATTAAAAAACTGAAATCCAATGTTAAAATCAAAGATAGAAAGTTTTGTTTGGCTCACTGACGTCACACTAATGCAATGCATTGTGATATCGATTATACTCAACATCGGACAACTATGTTTTCGTAACAGTAATATAATCAATATTTCACTACCGTTTCTGAAAAATTATAAATATTTTATGTCTTTCGAGTTTATTACATTTAATTTAATTCAATCGCTATACCATGTCGACAAAATTAACAATTTTAAATGGAACGAACGATTTGTACTTTAATCTCTGGTCATAAAAGCGAAAATAGTTTACTCCAGCATATTTTTAAAATATATAAGCAGACTAAGTAAATATAAAATAGGGGTTTTAATAAATTAGTTTTGTCAACAACATTTAAGGCCGATTTATAAACATGCAGTTGCAGTTCCCGTTGGATGTTAAAAATCTATTTTGTGTACGTGTACATGCCTGATGAAAATGACATTTCCTATCTCCTCTATCCATGTCCGTGGAAATATCGCATACATAAAATTTCATAAGCCAAGCCTGATAATAAAAAAACACCATGATTTAGTTTCAAATTACAAGGAGACATGAATGTTATATCTAGAGTTAGTGGCAGAAAAGACATGATCGTTAGGAATGATAGGAAATCAAAGTTTTGATGATTATGAATAGGTTAAGCCACGTGAGTCAGGTGTAGAAAAAAAAAATGTAAAAAAAAAATTTGATCGTGCATAAATCTTACCAATAATTGTGGCCTACCCAAGGCAGTTAGTTTGACAGCTGCTATTCCAGTGCCGTAAGTGGATCCTGGAAATATATACGGATTTATAAATATTAAACAATACCTTTTTTTTTAGTTTCTAAGTAAAATTAAGCCTTGACAAGTAATTACAGTTAGTTACGTTCAATATATATACAATTTAAAAATACTTGTTGAATTGTAATATTTAACACATTGCGTGCCATGCTGTTATCGGGAAAATAGCCCCAGGGACCAAACTACATTTTTGCAATATTTGCATGTATTTACTCAAAATAATTCTGTTTTTTTTTTTGTAGTTTTTAGCTATTTATTTTTCTGTGTCTCTCATATATGAGCGACGTGGCCCTGAAGCAAAGAAAGTTGTAATATTTAAGCTGGGGACCATGTTTCTCAAATATGATCGATGCAAGTTTTTTAAAGGTCTCTCTTTTTTCTTTTTTGCAGTCGAAAGTTTTATTACGCAAAATAAATATTTTTTCAGTTTTTTTTCTTTTTGCAGTTGAAAGATGTTTTCACTTTGTTTTTAGGATAAACAATTTCAGAATAAATTTTGTTCCATTATTACGAATAGGCTATTTCAGAATACATTTTGTTTTTATTACGCAAAATAGATATTTTTCAAAAATTTGTCGTGGTAAATTTATTTTTCCAAATTTGCTCAAACCAAGACCAATATTACTTTCCCCAGAGGCCAAGCTTGGGATTCTCCATTTGAAATAAACGGTAGCGGGTATCACATTTGATATACATCACCAGAAAGTGAGAGATGCGTGTCTCTCATAAATGAGAGACGAAGCCCCGGCGAAATGTTTGTGTCTCTCATATATGAGAGACGTGGCACACAATGCGTTAAGGTATTTTAACAAATTTTCTATTGTTATAATTATTTAATGATCATTATATCTTTTACATGTTGACAAAATTATTTAATCATATGTCATTATTTCACTTTGTTCAACTATGAAATAATAAAAAATTAATGAAGATGACATTTAAAATACTAATCCAGGGACGTACTCAAGTGTTGTTTGAATTTTGTATACAAACAGCTTGTTCAATTAAAATTTATGAGCCTTATGTCATTTGGGTTGACGTCTAAACATCTTATCTGTCAAAATATATCATGCTCGTAAATTGTAATGTACTTTCTTGCAACTGACTGTAAATGTACGAAACTACAAGCAAAAGACTGAATACAGGTTTACGTTTGTTTTTGTTGATTTAAACGTCTAGTATATAATGACGTAAATAATGACTGACTGCTCTTTCTGACGATATAAAAACCCATAACAATTACTACCCATCACTTTTTGACTTAAAATTAAAGGATTGACGTAAGATAAGAGGTAAGGCTATCAAGTTTTAAATGATAATATTAGACAAATATCGTATAGGTACTTTCAAACATTGTTTTTTTTTATATTTATGGGTCATTCCATGTCAAATCGCAAATGGCCGCCATCAGAATTGGTTCAATGCTTTTGCGACATACAAAAATTCAAATTGTAGATCTTTTAACGTAGAATCAAATGCCGTGTGGTGTTTTTGGTGATAATTGATTCTTTGACAGTAATACTGTCAAATCTGACCTGCTGATATGAAATTTTATTGACATTCAAGTGGCGCGTAGAGTTTAATCAACGGATTATGATGAAACTTGGTAATCGGGGGCTATCGGGGCCGCTGATCACGAATCCGAGGTCATATTTGCAAAACTCAATGATTGCGCCCCTACATGACACACGCGCACTAAAAAAGCGATAGAACTATTACTATTTCGTCTGAAATTCAGATTCGCGAAATTCGTAGATGGCGCCACATTTTGGCGCATGTGCAGAAGGAAAGTGATTGAGAATTGGCTGGTTACCCTGAAACTTGGTACTCGGGGGGTTTTTAGGGTCGCTGATCATGAATTCGAGGTCAGATTTTCAAAATTCGTAGATGGCGCAATGGGCAGCTGTAAACTGTTTGAGAATTGACTGGTTGCCCTGAAACTTGGTACTCAGGTGTTTTGGGGTTCGCTGATCACGAAAACGGTATCTGAATATAGTATTGTTAAGATGATTATTCAGCTCGAAGCACTCCTATTGAAAGAAATAAAAATTATTTATTATCTGGCATCAAAGAGTCAGATTTTCTTTCTCTCAGCGTAACCTTAAACTAACGACGTAGACGTGGAGAGGTACTAGTTCCATTTTGTTTTTTGTATTTTTTTTAAGCTATTGCATAGATTTTATCGCGGGCTTCGAGCGCGGCGACCGAATCAAGAAATTCCGTAACGAAAATAAACTAACACCCTCGAAAAATCGAAAAACCGAAAAATCGAAAAACCGAAAAATCGAAAAAGAAATTCCGTAACGAAAATAAACCTAACATCCCCCACTCCGACCGGCACAGCTGTGCGGCGTTGAAAGTCGTGTATCGTCTAACGTCGTTTCAGTTCGGCAGACTTCGACACGGTGTTTGTGTGCGTGCGACTAGACGTATGCGTGTAGACTAGCTGCTAACTGCTCATAACTGATTCTATCTCTTTTAGACACAATTTCCGAAAAATTGAATTTGAAAATAAATAATGATCCACAACAATCCACAACAAAATATGGGACCACCATTGACGCGGTATTTTCCAGATATTTAGAAGATATCAAGTCTCAAACTTATGTTCCTTATTTCAGTTACCATAAACCTATATTTTCAACGATAAAAATTCCTGAATAACCTACATGTAAGATAATAAAGATATTTTAAACAATATTAACTTCTCATTTATTCAATAAAAGAAAAAAAATTGTTTTCTTATCGGTCACCACGCTCAAAAAGTGTAACTTGAATTAATATCAAAGAAAAAACTTGGAATTAATATCAAAGAAAAAAATATACTGTATAAATAAAATAAATAAATAGCTTTACCGCGGCAGTCCCCGAGTGCCACAAGTTTTTTTTAAGCGGTTTTTTGTTTCCCGTTTTTTTAACCCTCTCTATTGTAAGGATTAGCACATCTATCTTTTTTAAAATTCGACTGCGGTTCATGTTGGTGTGACGTAATCTGTCATAAATTCAAGGCAGCGCGTGGCCGAACAATGGATTCGATGCCTGGTGCAAAATCTTACTTATACTCGATATCCGTTACCTCACTTACAAGAATCGCCATACGGATTGTTGCCATCTATTGACGAGTAAATAAATGATAACTGCGACAACTTCAAAATATTTTGAACCCAGATACCATCAGCAAGGTTGGCTCCGCTGAGTGGGGATGACGAATCCGTTATCAAAATGTTGCAAATCCACGATGACGACACGGTACTGCGCGTGCGCACTGAAAATTGATATACCTTAGGCTATTTAGAATGAAAATCATTACTTGGGGGTTTTCACGGTACTTTATTTGGTTGAAATACTTCAAACTCACACATCTTTTGCTAACCTAATCTAACCTAACCCAACGAGAATGGGTTAGTTTGGGATAGGTTGGCTTAGGTTCGGTCAGACTGGATGAGGTTAGGTCAGGTTTGATTTCATTGGGTTAGAATAAGTTATGTCAGTTTAAAATTCTTTCGGTACTTCAAACCGAGAAAGTACCGCCAAAACCCCCCAAGAAGGGATTTTCAGACGGAATAGTAATATTTCTATCGCTTTTTTTAGTGCGCATGTGTCATGTAGGGGCGCCATCATTGAGTTTTGCAAATATGGCCTCGGATTCGTAATCAGCGACCCCCAAAATCCCCGAGTACCAAGTTTCAAGCTAATCTAGCCAATTCTCAATCAGTTTCCTGCTGCACATTGCGTCATATAGTGGCGCCATATACGAATTTTGAAAATCTGACCTCGGATTCGTGATTAGCGGCCCTGATAACTCCCGAGTTCCAAGTTTCATCATAATCCGTTGATTAAGTCTCTGCGCCACTCGAATGTCAATAAAATTTCATATCAGCGAGGTCAGATTTGACAGTATTACTGTCAAAGAATCAATGATCACCAAAAACACCACGGCATTCGATTTTACGTCAAAAGATCTACAATCTGAATTTTTGTACGTCCCAAAAGCATGGGGCCAATTCTGACGGCGGCCATTTGCGATTTGACATGGAATGACCCATTTATATTTTCGGATATTTATATATTTTATAGCTAGTAACAAAGGAATTTTTACGGAAGAAAGGAAAAACTTTTGCTTTAGAAGTTAAAGAGTTTGCAAATAAATTGTTGATGTATAACAATGCCATGGACAAGGTGTATCGGAAATTTGTTTGCAATAATTGTTGAGTATTGAGTTTAATGAATCAGATATCTGTAACTTGTTCTCTTAAAATCGAGTCAGTCTTTAAATCTGTATTCGGGTAGTTTCGCGAGGAAAGGGAACAATTTTAAGGACGTATTCTGGAAGTAGAAATAAGTAACATGTCCGGAAATACGTCATTTCCGAGATATACAAAAAAATATAAAAAGTCCATTTTTCTAAAATATTTTAAGATAGTACAGTAAGCTATGGTGTTATTAAAGCTGCTTTCCAAAATCATTTACAAAAAATTTAAGACCTCTGCCTATTAGGGCCTCGTACCAAGAATATGCTATAAAATAAGTCAACCCCCGAAACCGCACCTAATGGGACGACTATGGCCAACGCCAAAAGTCTGGAATACACTAAAATCTTCAATAAATAATCCGAAATTGCAATTTTTGATAAAGATACCATATTAGTTAGTCAGTTCATAGAAAAATATTAATGTGTAAAGATAAATTGTAAAAAAAATAATAACATAAGTGTAGTTATGAGTACAAATAAACTTAGTTAATAAACAAATTAGTGTTTTAGTAAATATAAATTTAAAATAAACAGTCACTGTATAACTCGAAAAGGACGTATTTCTGAACACATGTTTACATAATTTTTTTTTTGCTTTTTTCGTCTTCCAGAACACGTGCTTAAAATATTTCCCATTCCTTGCGAAACACTTCGTATATTGTTATTAAAATACAAACTACTAAGCTATTAACTATCTACTAGATACTACATTACATAATATTACACCTACACCACAGTGGCAAATTAAAAGATACCCATTTCTATAGTTGAAATCGTAAATAATAGACAGTAATGGAATGTGTCACTAAGCCAAAATTTGGATGATATTTTTTAGCATTTTTCAAAAATTCCTAACGTTCTATTATTTCCTTATTGAACTGTACCTAATTAGTTTAAAAAATATACAGGGTTTACCATTGAAAACGAAACAGACGAAATATATCTGATTCCATGTGTATTAAAAAAAAAAAAGATTAATTTGTCAAGGGGGAGGTTTTTGTTACCATTTGTAACCCTCTAGGGGGAGGGACCTTATTATTTCAAATGGAACAAGGGGTCGAGTGATACCTTTTTTGAAAGAACGGTTGATTCGTGAAATTCGGTCAGGTAGGGAATAAAATGTCAAAATATGAACGGGGCAAATTTGATTTTTGAAATAATGTAAGTTGGTTCCATACCCCTAGAGGGATAAAGTTTAAAGTTTCAGTGTTAAAAATATCAGTTTTCGTTTTAAATGAACAAAACCTTGTATATTAAGAGTTTATTTAAAAATATCGTTTTAGAAGTACATAAAATGTTTAATTTAGCTTTAAAACAATTGTAGATATCTATTAATGTAAATACATAATACTATTTTTCCTACGACCACTATTAAGTCTTATGGAAAGTGACCTAACATCACACGCATGTGGACAAATCTACTTTCCTTCCGTGTGTCAATATGAATCTACTTTTCGCATAAGCTGTCAAATATGTCAGACGTCTAAATTCTATTTTGATTGATTTAATGTCTGTTTTAATAGTAAAATCGATTTGATGATTAAATTATTGTTTATAGTAGATATAACTACTTCCAAAAGTTACCGCTAGATGGCCCCATCTATCAGTGTTGAGAATTGAAACTTGGATAAGTGGTTTGCGACAAGGTTAAGCGATCCAAGGTGGCGACCATCGTTTACGTGGACGAGTATAGATTAGGGTTAAAGAAAAATATCATGAGCAGTTGAAATGTGTAACGGTTGGAACCGTTATTTCGACACAATCACCTCTTACTCAAATGTCATTTGTCGTTTATGCCATGTGTCAAAAGTTCATATTTTATTTCATTTCATTTGAAGATATCAAATAGATCACAATTATTTTATTTTAACTCGGTCATCTGAAGTATTAGATGATATTTAATGTTCTTAATCCGTCTGATTTTATAAAGTAAGTTTTAATAATGATATATTGTTGAAACTATATATTTTGTACAAGGATTTCTTAAATAAATTGTCAAGTTTTGAACACTACCTCAATATCAACAATAAATAACGCATGGTTAATTTATATATTATTTTTTTGGAATAAGATATTATGCTTTATTATGTTTAAATATATTAAATAAGATTTTTCCTTTTCATATTAATTTTAGTCTAGTGAAATTATTCATTTAATAGTTAAAGCATTTTATCTAAATCCTGTTCCAATTTCCTTTCTTAACATTTTAACCCATTTTAGCTTGGCTATATTTAGACGGTTTTGAATTCCTCTCAAGACGTGATTTGGATTTATCGCTATACGTTTTTTATGGTATAATCTCTAGAAGGTTTTGGTTCCATCTCAAGAAGGTTTTGGTTCAATCTCTAAACGATTTTGATCTCATCTCTAGACAGTTTATGTTAGAATACTGAAGATCATTCACAGTGCAGAATTATGCAGAATTACGAATAAGGATCCCGAATCCCTTGTGGCAGTTGCCTGAAGAAATACCGTGTTATAGTTATACATTCCGTATATTACCTTACCTACCAAAAGATAAGTGCTTATTTAATAATTCATCTTAAATTTGAATTTAGTAAAACTTATGTGAATTAGAATTTGATAGCTACCTTATCTAAAGCATGGTTTAAATATTATTTGTTAGTGGTTAATGATTTTCTATATTTTTATCACTAATTCAGAGTCAAGTGTAGTAAGCTTTAAATATAGTGGTGCCCAACTTCTTTTTCAAAATTATTCAATTGAGCTCACATAATAAAAATGGATAGAATAATAAGATATCACGTTGCAAATGTCTATATCTTCATTGCTATTGGTCCAATTTAAACGGACCTAAAATAGTAGTTTGTGCAACAAGAGTGGATATGATGAGGAAAATTTGGGTACGAGTTGTAGAGTATATTTTTTCTACGACCCACTAACGAAAATCTACAAATTAAAAAAATATTTTAGGTTATTAAGACAAAATAATTTATGAATTTTACTGATTTTTAAAATAAAATAAATTTGGATATGAACTATATTCGTTCAGTTAAACGTTATAACATACTTTTTCGTTTTGTAATCTGTGGGTGTAGAAAAAATACATATTATATTCTATTCTATATATATAATTAAAACATATTAAATTATCTTGTTACTTTCGATGACAATAAATATAGAACTTAGATATTTCTATTTAAGAAATTAAAAAAATCTACTTACACTATTTCTGCTTTTTCTTGGTTCATATACATATTTAATTAGATGAGTAAAATGACATAACCGTAATAGCTCAGATCGTATACTGTCTAACTTTTTCAACTTGGCATTTCGCGACCATTTCGTGACGCTGGTTCAATTCCCGATAAATTATCTTTTTTATTTTTGTTTATTTTTTTTTTAATTTGAAAATATATGAAAATTATAAAAATCTATAAAAAGCTTTAAAAATTATTCCATAAGGCATACAAAGAAACAAATCTAAAACCAGCCTCATCTTGAAGGAACTTATATAGCCAGATTTCCTTGTTTTACATTTTTTTATAAAATTATTTGGTGGTCGTAGGAAAAATATTGTATATCACTTGTGTGAAAGTGATTTTTTCAGACTCGCGCGGCCTCGTGCGACTTTTATTTCCCACTCGTGTGAAAAATGTCACTTTCCAAACTCGTAATGTAATATACTATATTGTAATCAACGTTATATCTAATAATTAAAGGTATATTGGCTAATAAGGATAATTTAATCGTCTTAAAAAAATCATAGACTCTGTTAATAATTGTTTCCAGATAAAACAAATTATTTTTAAACAGGAAATATGTCGCCATTATTTTAATACATTTTTCGATCTATTCAAAATAATTAAAGACCTACTCGTACATAACAATAAACAGGTATATGTTCTAAATAAAATAACTACATTGTGAAATAAATTCTACAAGGTAACGCCACAGTTTATTGCTAAAGAATCAGTTAGCTCACTCGGACCATTTGAATGTTCCAAAATACAAATTCAGGTTGCGCAGAAGACTGCTGTTTGAATATATGCGGTTGTCATTAATTGTATTGGTTATGATTTGATTCTGTATGCGCCAGGGATACAAATCCGAGTTGCGCAGTGTATAAACTGGAACATTGAGATCAAAAGTGCCGACGCAGAGTGAGCGAACTGATTTTTTAGCTATAAACTGTAGTAACGCTAAATTTAAACAATTTTTTTTTAATGCAGTGACCTTAACAGAAATTCTAAGGCCATATTGTACTTTTATATTCAATATGTTAAAACTACGATGAATGTTATTTTACTACGAGTCTACAGGAAAATATATAACTTATTTTCTTTATAGTTACCTTTAGAAGTCTGCTGAAAGTCTGCATGTAAGAAAAACACAAATAATGAATGAGTGACAATGAACACATTTTTGGAAAACAAATTAAATAAAAAATATTGTATACCGGATGATTCAGTTAAAATTGTGGTGCTGATTTTGAATATTTATTTTTATTAATTTTTTATATACACGGTTTCAATGGATTATAAAAAGTAATTAAAGTTATATTATGTAATTTAAATTAATTGAGCAAAAATTTTATTGAATCATTTTTAAATCGTAGTTAACGAACATTTCGAATATATTACAATTTAAAAAAATGCTATTTAATATTTTTTTACTGAAATTAAACATCAAGTACTCGGGCGCGAATACTTAGCTGAATCACCCGGTTTGTATGGGAAGAATGATTTAGTCTCTTGTGTGATTCTTAATAGCTATATTGATAATGAATTTGGCAATAACTACCGTCGCCATATCCTATTCCTAAATCCTTATAAGACAGGTAAACTTGTAAGTTCGCAGTAATATTTCGTGGGCTTACAAGCAAAATGCACTAAGTCAAAAATTTGTCAAAATGGGTTTATATTTTTGTATATTATGTAAAAACTATATTGTATTCTGAAAGCATGTACATTTTCTTTAAAGCAGTTGAAACTTTAAATTGTTTATAACTCATAAGCCTATTTTTTGACTTAATGCCTTTTTCTTGTAAGCCCACGATTAATGCTGCGTTTGAAAAGTACCTCAATTTGCTTTTTTCTCTATATACCGCCCATTGCATTTTTCTCCGTTTGCTCCATTGATATGGTTTCCTCGATGTCACCAAAAAATCTACTCCCTCTGCTCGAGGAGGTACATTTCAAACGTAGCATAGCTCTAACACGTAGTCGTTTAGCTCTTCTTCTAATTTAACATTCTTTATTGATTAGTGTAGTTTGCACATACCATTTTCCATACCTGTTCATTTAGAGATCCTGATAATTTGAAAATGGTCTTTCTTTCTATTTATTACTTATATGGCTATTAAGAATCACGTATAGCTCCTTAAATCATTCCCCTTATCATATATATCAAGAAAATATGAGCAAACCTTGTAACTTCACTTATTGCCAAATAAATATTAATAAAAACTATTAACTCCAAAAAAAGTTCCTATTATTCAAAATGGTTTTGTTCTTTAACAATGTTAGAAATCAATGTAAAAAAATAATTTGTCTTATTTTTCAAGATTTTTAATCTTACATAAAATTATAAACATATTTTCTTAAGCTCCTAAAAAGTTAGGTGTTTTGGAGTTACGAGGTTTGCTAATTAGGGTAACGATATGGAAAAAGCAGGACAGGATTTTAAGGAAATAATGAAAGTATGATGATTCAGACTTCAGTCTGTTTGCTATACTTTGGTAAAAGAATTATACAAACAAGATAGATCAGAGGAGAAGGAGAAATTGGAGATACACTGTTGAGAATGCTGTTTTGGTAATAATCAGAAGCAGCTGGCACTGCTAATATAAATACAAGGGCGAGCGGGAACAAAATGAAGTTGAAAGGTTGAAGTAATCGGGATATGTTTTACAAAAACGATGAAGAAACGGAAGAAGGAGTTGTAAATACATTTAGAGTAAAATGGTTAAAGTGTAGAAGAGTTGTGTGTTATTTGAAAGGCGAGTATGAAATTAAAGTAAGGTTAGTGCAAAGAAGATGAGAAAAATAGATTTAGATGATTGGGACATGATATTCGGAAAGGAGAACACCCCACTAGAGAAGCAGTATGGTTTTAGAAGATAATTGGAAAACTTTTGTTAAAAATCGGATTGAGGAAATATATGACAACTTCCAAAGATTTAATTAATGACAACAACAAACTTATAAAAAACAATATATAGGGTGCTGACAAGAACACTTCATAAAAGTGAGTTATCTTTAACATTATAAGTCGAGAGAAATAAAATGTTTCTACACCAAAAAAACGTGATGAGATACTGTTAGTGGTGAATATAGGTAATCTAAAAACTTATCATGATGGACCTGGACTAAGGGAAAAGGTCTTGATTATGATCATGATGATGAAATTAACATAACTATCGTTTTACCGTTAAAACTGGATTGAAACAATTTATAGGAAATTTAGTATAGCAGTGATAGAAGACGATAATGACCCAATAATGAAAAAGCAAAATTTGTTTTTATATAATCTTTGTTCAGCTTAAAAACAAATTAATATGTAAATAACATCTCTTCTATCGGTTAAAAAATTAACATAAAGTTTAAAATCTCGTATGTAGTTGGGCCCTTTAGTCTGATCCTAACTGTCTTATTACTCTGTATAGCAAGATTTATTGTGAATATCCTACATCTATAGAAATCTCAGATTTCTAAGAAACTTTCCATAAATCTAAAAATCTGATATAGCAGCTAGTCTCGCAAGAAAAGGGATGCACTCGAACACCTTTTATGTGATCTGAGAACTGAAAAATCAGTACTAGTACGCTATTAGAAGAGATCGAAATAGAGTTAGACGATAAAAGAACTGGCAATTGGAGAGATAACTTCTAGATAACTATAAACAGGAAAGATCTAATACATGTTACTTCCTAAGCCAGAACAAACTACGCATATTTAAAAACACTTCGTTTAGTAGATGAAAATGAGTACACATTTGGCGTGGAAGAGGATAAAACATCCATCCACATTTGTGTGGTTTAAAAGAATCTAAGGGAGTACCAGATAGAAGAAGTTGATGGAGTCACTTCAAATTCTATATTAAAATATAATAATAAAATCATATAACGTAACAGATTTGGCGCCCAACGTGGGGCAAGACCCCACGACCCTGATATTAAAAAAGTATTAATCCCGAAGTCTTAAAAAGTGTATACTTGGTCACGTATTCCTTGCTGTGAACTTTGGACCGCGTTGTTATTTATATAATTTTACTGTACCAGGTGTACATAGCAGGTAAACGTGTAACCATCAAAATAGTACAGACTATTTCAAAAATGTAAATAATCTTGGCATTTTGTCAAAATATAACAAAGGCGAATTAATTTTTTCGCATATCGAATGGGTGTAGATAATTTTGATTTATTTTATGTAAAATGAATATTGAATTATACTTTAGCTGCACTGTAACTGCTAATTGTGTGCCAAATACTTCCTATCTATTTTATAAACAGTGCAGAAGCCAAAAATATATATTTTATTTGTTGTTTGTAAACAGTTTCTTTGTAAAAGTTGAGAAATAACCACATTATATAAATCATGGGTTTTTCTGTTTTTATAATGTTTTCAGTAACTGCAAAATGTACATCTACATTTATCATATGACAGTAATAATTTAGAACAGCTAGTTTAAATTAATTTATACAAGAATAAAAAGAAACAAATGTATATTTAAAAACGTATATCGGATCTTTTTAATTGATCTTAATATAAACGTTGCGTGTAGATTATTTCGGTTATATAATTCAATCCATTTTGCCAATAGACTAATTAAATTTATGTCATGCCATTATCATTCACATAGCGTTACAAAATTACATTAGGTATGCTGGTACAGGTCAAAAACACTCTTGTTATCCAATAATTTTAAATCGACGAGATTTGTATTACTTTCTAATTTCTAATATTTTAATAATGAATGAATTTAAAAAGTCGTGAATGACATATCCAATGGCATTATTAGTAACTTAGATTTTAACGTAACTTTTCATGAAAGTTGCCATCACAATTAATTTTTGTACATCCAGATCTGTCTATATCTTTTTTTTTTCTACAAAGTAAAAAAAAAATTAAATTGTATTATAACGGGTAGTAGGAATATTCGTGGTGATGTAACGACTATCGTTGGCTTAGACTTTCTGGCTTTACTTTCCCTCTGAAGCAAGCTGAGTTACCGATCTAATAATATCACTAAAGTTTGGCACATGATTGAACTGTCGCACATGCGAAGTAAACATGGCACCGTTCGACAATGGCACCCACACAAAGTTTAATGAATGGAACATTAGCTTTATTATTTAATTAGGTGTTCTTATAAAAGCCAAGTCTTTGTATCGCTTTCTGTCACCTTTGAAGTATAAGTTACAGTGGATACTACTACAACCCTAGTGTCGTTAATTAGCGATTTCCTTTTATTTTAAATCTTCGCTACACACGTAAGGGGGAGCATTCTTGGATATCGAAGGTGCATTTGACAATACTTCCGTTGAATCGATCATTAGATCTTCAAATACAGACGAATTGAGGACACGTGCGTGTCCTGGATCGACTCTATGTTAAGGAAGAGAACTATACACACAACCTTTATGGGAGAGACAATAGCGGCACGGGTAGTGAGAGTATGTCCACAGGGTGGAGTGCTGTCTCCACTCCTGTAGAACCTTGTAGTGGACGGACTGCTTGGGGCTCTCAAAGATGAGACATAGAACCCTGGGATATGCCGATGATCTAGTGATCATGGCACATGAAAAATACAACACTATAGTAACAGATGCAAGCATCCAGCTTAAAGGGGAGGTAAATTATCTCGGGGTTATGATTGACTCGAGACTTACCTGGAATCAGCATCTAGAAAAAACCACAAGGAGAGCGGAAACCTCGTTAATGATGGCAAGGCGATCCTTTGGAAAAAAATGGAGGTTAAAACCAGACATGGTATATTGGCTTTATAACATGCTGGTGAGACCGATAATAACATACGCAGCTTTGGTGTGGTGACCAAAGCAATAACGAGGCTAAGCAAGGTACAAAGACTTGCCTGCCTCGGAATAACGGGGGCAATGAAAACAACCCCCACAGCTGCAATGGAAGCACTAATAGGACTCCCACCTCTTTACTATGTGATACAAGGAAGGGCAAGATTAGGTGCTTACAAATTAGGGAATACACTGGGAAAAATTGACATTAGGCCAGGTCACATGAGTATCTCAAGGTTAGTGACAGGAGACGTGCTAGACATGAGATCGGACCATATAACCAAGAGGTACTCTTTTAATGACGTTTAAATACAGGAAGGAGCCATAACCATAAGGGAGCTTAATGCCCAACGACAGGAACAAACCTGGTATACAGACGGGTCTAAGACTGCGGAAGGCACTGGGGCGGGAGTATTCTCCAAAAACCCTGATACTAAACATAGCTATGCTATAGGAATACATTCCTCGGTATTTCAGGCCGAGGTATACGCAATTTTGCAATGTGCAAAAACGAACAATGAAAGAGCTGTCGAAAATCAGCATATTCAAATAATGTCAGACAGACAAGCGGCACTTAAGGCCATATCGAGTCAGAAAGTTACGTCGAGGCTGGTATGGGAATGCATCGAAGAACTAAGAACACCGGCAGACCGAAATAGAGTAAAACTATTTTGGGTGCCAGGTCACCAAGGGATCGAAGGCAACGAAAAGGCTGACGAACTTGCAAAAAGAAGGTCAGAAGATACACCAGAACTAGACACAAACCCAGGAGTACCAAAAAGTACAGTCCGGGGTTTCGGGAACAACATATTAACTATTGGGGAAGCACCCCAAAACAGGCACATGGAAAAGCCTTCATAGGCAGACCATGTCCCAAAAAAACTGTAGAACTATTCTTTATGAATGGGAACAAGTTGAAAGTGATAACATGGTTCATGACTGGGCACGCCCCAGTAAAGTGGCACTTGAACAAAATTGGCATGTACAATGGGGAACTCATGTGCCGACTATGTCACAAGAAACCAGAAACGACTAAACACATACTGGGCGAATGCGAAGCTCTAGATCGCAAAAGACAGGCACTTTTTGGACAACCTTCCAGGTTGATCCAATAACGTATAGAACCCACTCACCCAAGTATCTGTACAAACTTGTACAAGGTACAAGGTGACAGAGTGGGTGCTATGAACTAACATGGGTTAAAACACAATAAGCCAATAGACCTCAGTGTTATTCGGAGACATAGTTAAACGAGCACAGGAGATAAAAAAAGGGTTCCTTCTTGTTACAGAGAGGCAAGATGGACTGTATATCTGTAAAAACTGGTAGAATGTATGATTTTAGTGATGATCTTGCTTTGGATTGTTGAAATTAAAGTAATTACTTTTGCTAATTGGTTTATTTTAACACAATAAACTTCGCATCATCTATCACATAATAATTTTTCGCGTCATCAGCGGTGTATTGACGACCTTCGCGAATATCTTAATCAAACGTTGGTTTGTCACGCTGAATTCTGCAAATCCTTTGCAAACCATACCCAGGCAGCACACATTGGTATACTTAACGTATTTTATACGTAATTCTCGTTTATATTTGGTATTGGTTGATTCCGTATACGTTTACAGTTTACGATTATTATACAATACCGTTTTTAAATGATATATTATACGTTTTTTTATACGTCCTATGGTATATAATTGTAAATTATTCTACGTTTAAATATAGTTAACAATATACGACTATTTTTAGTTTGCGATGAACGATTTGTAAACATTGTGCCTAAATATACGTTTAGGTTTATTTAAATTAAATTCGTATAAATTTATGTAATATTATAATATGTATTTTTCGTTATTAACTCCCGTTTAAATTTCGTCTTGGTTGATTTCTTAAACGTTTTTATATTTGACATTTTTTAACGGATAAATTAAACGTTTATAGATACTAGTTATTGTATATTATACGTTTAAATATAATTTACCTTACACGTATATTTCCTGTTGGCGATAAACTAATAGACAGAAGTAAATAATATGTATACATTTAGGTTTATTTATATTAAAAGCTTATTGGTATATTTGTTATTAAAAAATAATTTAAAGGTATATAATTCGCAACTAAACGATTGTATATTTGATGCACGTTATCTACTTTAGGAATATATTTATTAAAGTGAAAAAACTATATAATTTAGGTAAACAAAACGCACGCAAAAAATCTACTGTCACTTTAATTGTCAGTGGAACCATAATTACATTATCACTAAAATGGCGTACACAAAGAGTACTAGATTCCGTAAACTTAAGCAATACTCGAATAATATTATTTTAGAATTGACATTATACAAAATAACATAATAAATAATTTATTAGAGAATTGTAAACAAAAACAAACTGTCACATCACTCTGGTCTTTCATTTGCTTTTCCCACATTTAATTAAATGTCCGGCATGCACAATTATTTTGGTTGCAATCAAATATCTTTGAGCTAAATCTGATGAAAACTTCATCAATGTCATTAAAAATAAGCGAGAATAAAATATTCTTTGTGATTATCGACTCTATATCTTGGAATCTTGGACAGACGTCCATGCCCTCGAGTAAAGAAAAACAAACAAATAAATAAAAATGAAAACATTCACCGTGATATTTGTCACCGTGTCATTATTGGACAACAAACAACATGTTTCGTCAGTCGCAAATTAACATGATTATCGGTGGTTTTTTTCAACTAAATAATTATATTCGTTGAGTTAAATGATTTTTAATGATCTATAATTAAATAATTTTTTTGGGTTTTTCTTTACAATAGTCTGTTTGAAGCTTTGAAACTATATAAGAAAGTTCTTCTGGTAAAAGGTATTTATCAAAATCCTGTAGATATACGAATTGTGGCTAGAAAAAACCGGACTGACCGTTCTACAGACTAACGAATAAAAATTAATAAATGTTAATAAAAGTTATTAAAAATCAATAAAAACTAATAAAAATTAGTAGAAAATAATAAAAATTAATAAAACAATAAACTATAAAAAAATGATTAAATAATAATAAAAATTAATAAAAATAAATTAAATAAAAATAAATAAAAACTAATAAAAATTAACAAAAATTAACAAAAATTAACAAAAAATTAATAAAAAATCCAGCAAAGCGATATCGGCTAGTTTCCATATAAAATTGGTTTAAACTTCTAAAATACTCAGTATAATCTCATACATGCTAGTATTTTCTTGAAGGGCAAAGTCAAGAGAATTTAAATTTAGAATCAAATACAAGGTGATTCATTTAAAATAAAACATATGTTTGATCAATTCTGAAGTTATGGATCATTTTGTATATTCGAAAAATTTTAAATATGTAGATTAACATTATCTACAACTTTTATAAATAACATTTTTTGATATAATAATAACGGATATATCGAACTTCCACACAATATATATACACGGTGTATATATAAATCAATGACAAGAAACTAAATCATACCAAATCCAAGAATGACTGAAAAAGTGGCAATTGTATCCAAAAATAACTATTGGCTTAATACACAAAAAACTAAAACCATGACCAACACGGACGAAATATTACGGTTAATGCATTCAGTCTGTAGAGAGTAGAAACAGTTTTTATACTAAACAAACAATCAGACCAAAGAAATTGTTCAAAAAACAAGACGACTTATTATACAAAGTGTTCAAAACATTATCGTGTATGCTTAAAACTTCTTAAAATGGTTTGTGAGCAATAGTGCCAATGCCAGTTTAAGTAGTCCATTCTCATAGCAGCAAACAATTACCAGAACCAATATCACTAGAAGGAACATGCTCATCTATACATATAGCAGATAAGCATTACCCTTGAACGGGGTGTGGTCGGTCACCTTAGATGGATCAAAAGCCACACCATATCGAAAGGTACATGACCTAAGTGCTTTGGGACAACCCACATTCCCCATCTTAGAGGTACATAAATATATTTAAATATCGTAAAATACTTCTGCACTTTTAAAAAGACGGATACTTTCTCAATTTTAACGTAACAAACATGGGCATTCGCGAAACGTAAATGTGGAAAAATGATTAAAAATATGTTAAAGATAACATCAAAAGATAAAAAAGAAACATGTGTATTAGAGGGCAAAAGTTGAGGACGTAGCAAATTAAACCAGCTAAACTCATCAAATGATTAGTAGATCATCCAATTATAAAAAGAAAAGAATTAGATAAGTTTCCCAAATGAGATGATTTTAAGATAGAGATAGATGGCCAGAGTAAGAGATGCCTATTGTACAAAGAAGGCCAATAGCTAAGAAAGTAAAAGAAAGACGCTAATAGGTCTGTTCCAAGACGCGCGAAAACCGTAACATTACCGTACAAATCATGCGCCGTATACAATTTTTGGGTAGAGCGCACGATTTGTACGGTAATATTACGGTTTACGCGCGTATTGGAACAAACCTATTATTAGATTTATTACTAATTAAAATTGTTAATAAAATTGTTTAATAGTATGTGAGTAATTATTACCTGCTATGGTCTCCAGACATTTAATGAATGTTTCCATATTTCTTTCGCACGTAGCTTCATTAAGGTAAAAGTAGGTTCTTGCAGACTGTACTTTGTACCTCCTGTCTGCGAAGGTTTTGTCTACGTGGTATTGTTTTAGGGGTCCTTCGACTTTTTCTTCTCCGGCTTCGGGTACGGAAGCTCTAGAATAAAGAAATACGATATTTAAAGTCTATTAACGTTTTAAGTATTTATACAGGATGTAAATTAAATATAATATCTGTCTTGTCTGACACGGTCCCGGCGACCCCTTGGGTAAACAAATTAAAAACAGTCAATAATAGCAATTGGAGGTTTTTATTAATTTTTAAATCAAGATTGAAAGGATATACGTTTAATGAATTAGGATGAGATTACAAAACGTCTGCAACTTTGCAGGAGGTTAGACCGTCCTACAAACTTGCAGATTGTCTTTTACTTTACTTTTTCTTTTTTAATAACCATGAAGTCTTCTGTTCCTTTTGATTGAATACAGTTCGTGATGTCAAATTATCGAGTTTTTAAACATAGTAACGGATTTGAGTTTAGTATTGTTGGGGGTAATAAACCACAATAAATATTGCTAATTTGCAGATATTTTTTGGAATACGAAAACTTGATACTTGCATCTGTAAGTCCGCCATATTTGCAGATCTGCAAAGTTGCAGACGTTGAGTAATCTCACCCTTAATAATTTGGCAATCATAATGGAACACTTACAATTCTTAAACCCTCGACTTGTCGACGTATTTTCTTTAAAAGTAAACATATTTAGACGTTTTCTTTTCGTTACCACCCGTACAACTAACATATCAAATAAATGAAACAAATCACACATCAAAATAATGTTTAGTTTTCCTGAAAGCTTGGTTTGAAATAAAAACTAATTATTAATTGACCTAATCGGCTAGGGATAACGTGGATCAAAGATGGTATCTGCCTTAACCAAAGATTGCAGGAATCTGTGCAGTAAGAAGTTCAAAGTAATTTTACAGATGGCACTATAAAACCTTTGTTATTTGTATTACTGTAACAGTTGAAATAAAACAGGGCCGGAATAAATACAATTTTTATACGACCGTTTTGAAATTTAATTAAATAATTCGATATATTATTAACAAATATGGTTAAATATATGTTTATTTGCGAATGAAATTTAACTTACTGCCATACTTTGTAATTATTGATTTGAATTTTAATAATAAATACCTACTGCTGTCTTTATAAATAAAACAACACTTTTTACCAAAGTTTAATATTTTTGGCTAAGTTTATACGAGTATATGCGTTTCTCCCTAGGTACTTTTTAATATTTTGTTTTCTCTAAAAAACAAGTCAGAAAGTTTTGATAGATATGTCTACTTCAAATTTAGAAAAATAAACCTTGTAAGGCAGGATGGGCCACCGGTAACGTTCGGTGTGTGGAGCCAAAACTATTTATTTTTTTTAATTTGTTTTCACAACGAGATGTATGTCAATAAATATAACAATTTAAAAATAATTTTAATCATACAGGGTTCTCCAAAAAAGTGAGACCTATCAGAATTAGGTTTTTTAAATGGAATGCCCTTTATTTTATATTTGAATTGCCCTCGCTTTTCCCATTATAAAGATACCAAATAGTATGATATTATACTACCAATTTTATATGAAAATCGTATTGATCTCAATGGCCTGCATACTGCAAAAGAAACAATTGAAAACCAATCTTTTGTGGAAAAAGATTTTAGATAGATATGAAATAGTGTGTTAAAATAGAAGAACATGTGCTAAATTAGGAGGAACATGGGTTAAAATTAAAAAAAATCTGCTAAAATGGAAAAACCTGCCGTTAAAGTAAAAAAACATCTTAAAATTTGTTAAAATATAAATAAGTGAGTTAAAAACGAATATTTTAAAGAGAAAAATCTAAGGGTACTGTGACATTCATGCATGAGAGATATTTTTGGCATCAAGGTAGTTTTTATATAAAATCAAAAGAGAAAAAAATTGGGATATATACAATTCAATGTACGCTCATTAACCCTCTAACTAGAATAAAGATATATAATGCTTGACATTCTATATTATACTCTTCACTCTTCACAGTTTAACAGACCACCCTTAAACCCCAATTTTTATTCAATTTTTGTTCAGAATCAATAGGCTTTATCTTCTTATAGAACTTAATTTTTACTAAAAATTTTAAGTTGATATCGCTTTTCCGTTTTTATTTCTGAATTTTTTTAATTTCATCCCCCTAACTACCCCATTTTTGTTTATAGGCTTCGTCTTCATATAGAGCTTGTTCCTCGTTTTTGATTTATAATTTTTTTTATTTCAACCCCCGTTAAGAGCCTTATTTTAAATCAGATTTTTTGAAGAATCAATAAGCTTTGTCCCCTTATAGAGATTGTTTTTAAGTTTCAACCCCCCTTAAACCCCCATTTTTATACAGAGGTTTTTCAAAATTAATAGGCTTTGTCCCCTTATAGTACTTGATTTTTCCTGAAAATTTCAAGTTGATATCATTTTTCATTTTTAACTTATCTTGCAGACAAACAATGTGACATCAGATGGACGGACGGACATTTTTAAAAGAGGTTTAAAATTTGATACAAAAATTTGGACCAATATTAAAAATTATGGTTTGTTGAAGTAAACCTATAATACACAGACTACTGTGTGAAGAATATAACTAGTTCCACACGGAAGAGCAAAATGCTAAAAAATTACTATAGTATGTATGGTGCCTTAGGGTAAACAAAAATCGTCAAGAGTGGACACAAAATAAAATCTTTGGGATATTATTGTGTGAATAGTTAATGGGACTATAAGGGAAGGTGTTTGAGATTCATTGCATCCCCCTACTTTTTTTAAAAGTCGCCAAGAGTGTATTAGGAATTAAATTGAAGAAATGTTATTGTGTGGGTAGTTTATGAGACCAAAAGTCGAACGCTTTGGTACCAACATTTTCTCGTCTTCTTCAGTAACCTAAAAATTAATTTCAGATGAAATCCTTTTAGTAGGGTATTTTGAAGGTGTTCACTACATTCCCCTTTTTCAAAAATCCTCTAAGAGTAAACTTGATATTTTTTAATATAACAAAATTCACACAGTTTATAGGATATTGAATTCTGAAAATTTTAAGGTATGTATGACGTTGTCCTCCCGACCCCCAAAAATAAAAAAAATATTAATTTTATTAACAATTTTAAAAAATATTAAAAAATGTTTTAAGTAATTTTGCTAAAGAAAATAGTGGAACTATAAAGGTCTAAATTAAATATAACCTTCAAGTACTTTTATTTGTTTTCATGTACTTGTTTTGTTTGTCACCAATCAAAAAAAAAAAAAAACTACATAAATTTTTATAACAAAAAAAAAAGGATTTGTTTTCATTTCTTTTAAACGAACACAAAATACTATTAATAATCATAAGGTTGCATGCTCTGTCCAGAAATACACGTTTTAAATAAATTTTAAAACTGAATGTATATTTAGAACACAAAATTTTTATGAATCATTATTTTAATGATAATGTAACCGCTAAGGTTTTCGTGCGGTATAATACTATTATTTTGTACTTAACATAAAAATCAAAATTCAGATCACATTGTTCGTTACTACTATAATTAAATATATAATAATTTATGTCTAAAAACTAAAAATAATATAATTTGTATATCAATATAAAAATAGATCAAAACAAATCAAAACGAAAAATAAAGGTTGTGACACATTATCGTTACGTAAACGTAAACTCACGTTTTATCACATCAGGTGTAATAAAACATGATATTTATGTTTAAAACAAATCTGTATCATGATTTGTGTATGCAGAATAATACAGGGTGTCCCAATGAAAAGTAGTCCGTTTCCATTTGATAAAATTTGGTTACGGTGAATTTAAAACAGGAGATTTTTTAAAAGACACCTTTGTATAGGTAATACATAACTTCTGTGTCACTGAAGCAAAACTTATAGCAAAATATCACATATCGGCAAACACCGCACGTTTTTTACAATTTGTTTAAAAGTTATAAGCTCTGGAAATGGGCTACTTTTCATTGGGACACCCTGTATTGTGAATATGGATCGACCGATATCGATATATCGGCCATATCGGCCTAATAAAAATATCAATAACATAGTATGAGGAGCTGATTTTGAACTAAGAGGAAATGAAGATGATTTCATTAATTTAAATGTCATAGTTATTATTTTTAACAACCATTGAAAACATTTTAATGTATTTTTTGTTTAACTTAATTTTTTATTTTGGACAAGTTCGGATTCGACTGAACAATTTGGACAAATTCGCGTTTGAATGGAACTGGCAATAATTAAGGTATATCATATAACGTAACAGATTTTGATGATATAACGTAACACACATATTTAGGTTAACGTTATGTGATAAATAGTTGCACGAAATGTCATGTATTACTTAACTAGAAAAATTACATTTATCTTACTTACTCTACTTCACGTTTCTCGGCTTCTTCTTGCGAAATGTCCTCTTCCACGGAGTAATCAAGAATGGGTTTAACTCCGAACGACCTCAACCTTTCCAAGGTCGGTCTGATTTTGACTTGATCCTCTCCAGCAACGAAGTGCCCATAAAAGGTGGCTTTCATCATCATGATGAATAATTTTTCTCCTAAAATGGCCTTCGAAAACTTCATTAACTGCAACAAAAAAGTTAATATCGTTAATCGAGTGTAAAATGGAAAACCCATGGAAAATAGTTCGCAACAAACTCTACTTGATCGACGATTTGAAATATGTTTTTTTCTACACCCGTATTATAATAATCCACTTATATGCCCATAATCCGTTTCATAATGATACCCATTATGATACAGATTTTTCATTACGATACAGATTTTTCATTACGATACAGATTTTTAATCAATAGAAACCTACAATTTTTCAATCAAGCATGCTGTTTGACGTTTGTCCTAGGTTCCTATGTAATTATTTTAGTTGTCAAAACGTATTAAATTTTCGTAGGTAGCTAAACTTCGATAATTATAATATTAAAATGTCTGATATTAGCGATATAGAAGACTCCTCCACACATATCGGAGAAAGCAGAAAATACAGTACAAAATATTTTACCGCAAAAATCTAGGGAAATACCAATACCTGAAGTAATACCATTAATTACAATTTTGTAGAATTTTTTATAGAAATACGAGTAATTACTGTTATTGTGTTCAATACCAATATAAATATAATATTTATAGGTCTTGATTATTTATCGGGTGTAGAAAAAATAGCGTATGCAACTCTCATGTAATGGTTATTAAAACACTCGCATAAACCATACGAAACTCGCCTTTGGCTCGTTTCGTATCCCGGTTAATGCTCGTGTATTAATAACCATCATTACATGATCGTTGCATAATATACTATTGTGTTTTCACGATGGTCCATTATTAATTATAAGGGTAAAAACCACGTGAAAACTATTGAATTTAGTTTCGTTTATCATTAATCAACCTACCCTTTCATTTAAAAAAAAAAGTTGGGGTATCTGCAACCCCCCATATAATTAAAAAGATAAACAAATCTCTTTGCAATATGCCCCACTAAAACATTTAATGGTGTGTCCTATACAGTAATGCCTTGTTATAAATCTCCATCCATATCAGATGATACATTTCTTACAGATTTTGAAAATTTCTTAAATAATATACCAAGAAGGCTAGGAATGGATATATTTATTGGTGACATTAATATTAATATCCTTGATCCCTCAAACCAAATAACAAATAGATATTTGGCAATGTTATCTTCCTTGGGATTTGTATCATATATTAATTCATACACCTGGGTTACAGTAGAAACGAAATCATGTATTGATCATATTTTTATAAAAATTAATATGTCAAATAAAAATGTTTCATTCAAATCGTTGGTAATTGACACTGATCTAACTGATAATTTTTTAATTTTTTTAAATATTACAACAAACGAAAGAAACTTTAACCATAATACGTTAAACCAACATACAACACAATACACCGATATAGATAGATTTACAAAATTATTAGAAAATATAAACTGGGACAACGTCATTTCTCTTTGCAATCCAATTTTGACCTACCAGAAATTTATTGAAATAATATATTCCCTAAAAGGACAATGTAATATAACTAATAGGCATAATACTTATAAAAAAATAAAACCATGGATAAGTCAAGGCATCATCATGTGTAGTAAACATAGGGATAAAATGAAAAAGCAAATATTAAAAACCAAACAATCTTCTAAGAGAATATAGATAAATTATTATTTTAAAGCTTAGAGTGTCTACTTTTCGAATCTATTTCTTTAAAATGATGTGCATTGAATAACATTATAATGAAATATGAGTTTTTAATTACTGCTTGTTTCAGAGATTTCTAGAACTCCGAAAACGTATGAAAAATGCAAATAAACAAATCAATTTTGTTTTAAAACGCCAAGAAGATACTGGAAAAAAATTTCTGAGATCATTCGAGACATCTCAAGATCCCATTTAAAACAAAAATGGGATAAAAAACTATTAAAAGAAAAAAAATATGAATGAATTACTATAAAGTGGTCCAAAATAGTGGGAAAACGCAACTTTGACCCCTTTTTCAATGTTCTTGACAGGAAATAACGGGCTTCAAGGCACATGGATCGATACCTATGGGTTTTCCCATTGTAATGAACTTTGAATCATCGAAAAATATCAATTTTTGACCGAATTCTGAAACAATTTGTCCACCCGTTTACAAGCTAATCAGCATTGCTATAGAGATAAAGCAGGGGCTGAACGAGGGGACTTTTGACTGCGGTTATCTCGAAACCTGTCAAATTCCCTACAAAAATGATAGGGACTTTTTGTAGATAATGATAAGATCTTTCTTTTTTATCTAAACAAAAATTCTCTAATTTGCATATTGTGGAAAATATTGGCGGGAAACCAGTTTTAGGGTCCATTTTGGGCCCTTTCCGACGCAGCAGAGTTGGTGAAAGTTTTCGACCATGGAAGCGACCGCCGAGACCTAAGAGTTGAGCCACAACGGAAATCGAGACCGACTTAATGACAGGTTGGTCCCTTCAGTTACTGAACTATTACTTAAAATATTCAAAGAATTTCTGTTTATGTGTAAAAGAAGTTGCCTATCTATCAACCACTTAGTAAATCTAATACACTAGATTGAGTTTAATTTTCAAGTGATCTATCTATCCTCTTATTAAACCTTGCTTTGCTGTCACTGTGACTTGAAGATCAAACTTTAAAATATTCGCGATTCAAACTAAGTAATACGCCCTCTGGAGAAAATTTGTAGAACGTAGGATATCGTTCAGTGTTGCCAGAAGTAACAAAATTTTGCTACGTCGTCGGATTTTAGCTCTTAAAGAAGTTTGATACGTAAAATGAACTTTAAACCACATAAAACATGTCCTGTGTTTAGTAAATACATATTTCTAGATGTTCTTGTAGACTGTCTTGATTTTAGGTACTCCTATTTGTAAGTTTTTCTGTTTCCATGGTAATTAAGAAATTTCTTTCATTTTGACATAAGTTGTCATTGTTTTTCTTAGAATTTGAATAAAATTCGTTAATTTGACCTTTTTTTATTTGAACATTGTAGTCTTAATTTACTTTTCCCATATAACTTTTCCCCATCATTGTTTTATCTGATATTTCCTCTTTAGTTTGAACTAGTTTTTGTTACCAATAATTCCATATTTTCTTTGATTTAAATACTTTAATAATAGCATATTTTACCAAAATGTCCCTAAATTCTTGATGTTATATTCACTTTTTAACGATTTTTGTTCATAAAATGTCCATTTACCATCATGTTTTTAATTAAACTTAAACCGTTCTTTTAGACTGGTTTAGTCCTTTATACAGTTATATAGGTTTTACTAGTAACTGTTCAATTACAAAATGTCTTAGTTCATGAAATCGCAACAAAAATATGTATTATTATATAACTTTCTATCTTAAATACTACACCTATTTCTATAATTGTTTAAATTTGATACTGGTTTCCTTTTCAAAATGATACTAAGTTTCATATTTTAATAGTACAACTTATTCTATTGAAAAGTCCTATACAATATTTTATTTGAAAAGAAAGATCACCCCTATTGATACCATTACAATATATAATTTATATTTGTGTAAATTGTAAATATGTATGCATAAAATATTTTCCTCCAAATTCAAGACAATTTTAAAATATGGCAACATGGCGTCGAAACTTTTGCTACTTTTGTTCCATCGGACACCTATAACTTAGCTGCTGAACTAAAATTCAATATGGACGCAGCAAAATTATCAATTTGACATGAAATTGTAATTTGTGCACAGTTTAAAAAGCAAGCAACATTGATTATTATTAAAATTTGGCAATAATATTCAAAAAAATATGTAGAATTCTTTTTTATATTTTTTTAATAGTATTTAATAATTAGCAGGACAAATGAAAATATCTCAATGCAACCATTAAACATTTTACTATAAGCTGCCAAAGTTTCACTAAAATCCATTCAGTGAAAGTTGTGTAAATAATTGTAAACCTCTATTTTTACCATGTAAAATACACTGAAAGTAGCCTCATGCATTGGTGGCCGAAGAATATTATGAAATCCTCAACTCTAGTTGTATTGTCGGTGACCAGTTACCATTTGCATAACGTTTCAATAAAAATTTAATAAACCTTACACTGCTAATGAGTTTTCAATTTGCATACAAAATATTATTAAAATGCTGATCGCACAATTTACTGTAAAAAGTTTGATCTTCATATAATTGCATTTCAGTTCTTATTTTGCATGTAGCACGTCATTCTCTAGACTGGTTAAATATTCAAGGTCGATAATATTGTTATGTTCACTTTCATGGGTATTGTTAGGTGGTTGCTCCGTGCAAAAAAATATTCGTCTGTGTTTTATAAAATTTTGATATAAATACTGCTTATTAGCATCATGTCGTGATTGAAAGACAATTTACATTTTATAACCTCGACAATTTTGACTGTAATCAAAATAAATATATTTTTTCTACGTTCATGCAAAAAACAAAACTTTATTGAACTATATTTATTGAAAAAACTGGTTCTTTATTGCACTAGTGCAATAAAAATTTTATTGCACTCATCCGTCATTTTATTACAGCGTTTTATGATCATGACAAACATAAATATTCAAATCAACGCCAAATATTTAGTCCATTTTTATTTTCTGTGTTACGTTTTAAAAACAATTGCATATTTTATATTATTTTCAATCATTTAATAAATAAATTAATAAAAAAATGTATTTTATTAAAAATATTACAAATTATGAACACAAACGTAATGCCTCAAACAAAGGTACACGATCACAGCTACTATGATTTGGATAATACAACTGCAGTTCTATAAAACATTTTTTGGTTTTTGCATGAACGTAGAAAAAATATTGTATGCAACTCGTGCAAAAAGTATTTATTGCACTCGACGTGTTGTCCAATTTCACGTCGCGTGCAATAAACACTTACTTTTAATTAAAATTAACGCGAAATAAATTAAAATAATCGTGATTAGGTACATCAATAATGAAAGCCTTATACCTAGCGAATAGAAAAGAAAAATTGAAAACGTGGGGCGAATATTTTATTAACTTCTAAATGAAGAAGAAGTTGAGCATGTCGGAG